CTAGACCAGCGACTACCTCAGAGGACGCTTCGCTGTCGTTCACGCTGGACTCTGGAGCCTCCCACTGCTTCTTCCGGGACAGCACGACACTTACACCACTTCCTGCGCCTGTTTCTGTTGCGTTGGCTGATCCCACTACGGGACCAGTCACTGCACGTCACACTATCACTTTACCGTGTCCTGCTGCTCCCTCCGGGCCTCTCACTGGGTTTCACGTCCCCTCGTTCTCCCGGAACTTGGTGGGCGTGCGACCCCTCGTGAGTCAGCACGTGGGTGTGTGGTTTGAGCCTTCTGGAGAGACTGCGGTGTGTGTTGACGGAGACTCTTACCAGCCTCTTGCTACCTTTACTGCTGAGCCGGGCTCAGGTCTCTACACTCTTCACACTGGCCCGCGTGCGCCGCAGCAGCAGCCGCAGCAGCAGCAGCAGCCGCAGCCGCAGCAGCAGCAGCAGCAGCAGCAGCAGCAGCAGCACCAGCGGCCGCACCAGCAGCCCCCCCTACTGCCACTGCCCCCGGTCCCCCCCCCCGTTCGGGTCCCCGCGTCTCACCAGGTTGCTTCGTCCCCCCAGGTGTCTGTGTCGTGTCTGGTTCCTACGTCTGTTCCAGTCGCTGCGTCGTGCTCCTGCCGGTCGCTTGCCCACCCCACCGTTCTGTGGCACCACCGGATGGGGCACCCGTCCCTTCCTCATCTGCGCGCTATGTCCATTCAGCGTCTTGTCCTAGGCCTCCCACGTGTCTTGCCGTCGCTGCCGCCTTCGCTTGCGCCGCCGTGTGGTCCCTGCGTCGAGGGTCGGCTGCGCGCCACCCCTCACTCCTCCTCCCTACGTCCGGCCACCGAGCCTTTTGAGACGCTTCACTTGGACGTCTGGGGCCCTGCCCCTCGTCTAGGCCCTGAGCGTGAGCGTTACTTTCTGGTGGTCGTTGACGACTTCTCCCGCTACACCACAGTGTTCCCTCTGGCGAAGAAGTCTGAGGTGACTTCTACGCTGATCAGGTGGTTGCTCACCACCGAGGACACTCGTGGTCGTCGTGTCAGCTGTCTCCACTCCGACCGTGGGGGTGAGTTTCGCTCCGGCATTCTCGCTGGATTCTGTCGCGAGCAGGGCATTCGTCAGTCCTGGACGCTTCCAGAGTCCCCACAGCAGAATGGGGTTGCTGAGCGCCGCATAGGCCTGGTCATGGAGATCGCCCGCACCTCCCTGACTCACGCCTGTGCCCCCCATTTTCTGTGGCCCTACGCGGTCAGGTACGCCGCGCACCAGCTGAACCTCTGGCCACGTGTCTCTCGACCAGAGGTGTCACCGACCAGTCTTTGGACAGGGTCCCCTGGTGTTGCGTCGCGGTTTCGCGTCTCGGGGTGCTTGGCTCTTGTCCGCGACACCTCCGCGGACAAGCTCTCGCCTCGTGCCGTCCCCTGTGTCTTCCTTGGTTTTCCTGAGGACTCCTCTGACTTCACCTTTTACCACCCTCCCTCTCACCGGTTCTTTGACTCCCATGACGTCCGTTTCGAGGAGTCCACTCCGTACTACGTCAGGTACCCCAGTCAAGGTCTCCCGGTTCCTCCTCCCCCCTTCTTCCTGATTGCAGCCCCCCCTCCTGCTCCCCCGGTACAGCCTCCCCCCCCTGGTCCAGCCCCGTCAGGTGTGTCCCAGGCTACCCCTCCTCCTTCGGTATCCCCTCCGGTACAGCCTCCCTCTTCACAGTCCTCCTCGCAGCGTGCCGCTGGTGCTAGCTCTCGAGAGGTTGGTGCTGCGCCTGTTCCTGTACCGGTTTCTGGTTCTGGGGGTGCTGGAGTTGGAGCTGGAGTTGGTGCTGGAGTTGGCACTGGAGTTTCTGGTTCTGGGGGTGCTGGAGTTGGAGCTGGAGTTGGAGCTGGAGTTTCTGGTTCTGGAGTTGGAGCTGTCCCGGTGGGTGCGGAGGACTCTTGTCGTCCGGGAGCTGGTGCTGGTCGCGCGGCCACTGGGGGTGCTGCGTCTGGGGGTGAGGGTGCGCCTCCTTCGGGTTCAGGTGAGCCTGGGTCTGGAGCTGGTGTTAGTGCTGCCTCTGGGGGTGGTGCGCCTAGTTCTTCTGGGGTGGACTCTGGAGCTGCCGCTGCTTCGCACGCTACTCCACCCCCCCACCCCTACCCGATTAGGCACCAGGCTCGTGTTCGCCGTGCCCGTGACGAGCAGCTGGCGTTGGAGAGAGAGGAGAGGGAGTTACAGCGGCTGGAGGAGCAGCAGCAGCAGCTGGACGCGCAGGAGCAGCAGTCCCAGCAGCAGCCGCGTCCGCAGCAGCAGCAGTCGCAGCCGCAGCAGCAGCAGCCACTTCCTCCTCCTGTCTCGGGTCTTCGGACCCTTGGTCTCCCCTCCCCTTCTCCTCCCTCCTCCGCCTCTCCTCCTGTCTACGGTCCCACGTTTCCTCCTCCTGACTCCTCCCCCGCTGTTTTCCCCAGTTCTCCGCCTTTGTCCTCTCCTCCTCCGTCTCGTTCTTGGGCTACTCGTCGCTCCCCTCGTGCTCGTCCCTCGTCTCCTGTTCCCTTCACTGACCTTCGTACTGCCTTCCTTCTTTCTAGTCCACCTCGTCCGTCTCAGTCTGTACTTCCGTCTCCTCCTGAGTCGGCCCTCACTGTGTCGCTCCCTACTCCTGTCACTAACTACTACCGCACGTACCGTCCTGTTCTCTCTCGTGTTCTCGCCTCTCTTGTTACTCACCCTCGTGTCTCTGTGTCCTCTGTGCCCGCTCTTACTGCCGCGGTTACTGACTTTGCCTCTACCCGCCGCCTTGACTACGCCACCACGCTTGTGGCTGCTCCTCCTACCAGTCCTCTGGCCGTCGGGGGTGTGTCTGCCCTTGGCTGTGACGCCCTAGAGGACAGGCAGTTTGAGCTAGAGTTCCTGGCGGCCGCTTCCCCTCATCTCTGTGCCATGCTCCTCGCCCCTGAGGGTGACCCCGACGCCCTTGACATTCCGACTCCTCGCACTTACGCTGAGGCAGTGTCAGGGCCTTGGGCCTCTCAGTGGAGAGCTGCCATGGACGCAGAGATGGCCTCCTACAGATCCACAGGCACCTACGTCGATGAGGTTCCCCCCCCTGGGGCGAACGTAGTCGACGGCATGTGGATCTACAGGGTGAAGCGGCCACCGGGATCTCCCCCGGTCTTCAAGGCGCGCTACGTGGCTAGAGGTTTCAGTCAGCGCGAGGGAGTTGACTTCTTTCAGACCTTCGCACCTACCCCGAAGATGACCACTCTTCGGGTGTTACTACATGTAGCAGCACAGAGAGACTACGAGTTACACTCTCTCGACTTCTCCACTGCTTTCCTTCAGGGCAGCCTACACGAGGAGGTCTGGTTGCGTCGTCCCTCGGCCTTCACTGGCACCTTCCCTCCTGGGACCCAGTGGAGGCTGAGGCGACCTGTTTACGGTCTTCGCCAGGCCCCTCGTGAGTGGCACGACACTCTGCGTTCTACCCTCTCTGACCTTGGGTTCCAGCCGTCTTCTGCCGACCCGTCGCTGTTCGTTCGTCGTGGCTCCACACCGTTCTTTGTTCTGGTTTACGTCGACGACCTCGTTTTCGCCACTCCGGACAGGGTTGCTTTGGCAGACGTGAAGTCCGAACTGCAGAAGAGACACACGTGCACTGATCTTGGTGAGCTGCGCCACTACCTTGGCCTGCAGATCACCAGGGACAGAGCCGCTCGCACCATTACACTCTCACAGTCACACATGGTGCAGCAGGTCCTTCAGCGGTTCGGGCTTCAGCACTCCACCGTACAGCGCACACCTCTCGTTGTTGACCACAGACTCACTGGTCCCTTTCCTGACGAGCCGTTTGAGCCTAGTGGTCCCTACGCAGAGCTTGTGGGTTGCCTCATGTACCTGATGACTTGTACTCGCCCGGACCTCGCCTTCCCTCTCAGCATCCTTGCGCGCTTTGTTGCGCCAGGGAGACACCGTCCTGTTCACTGGACGGCAGCTGTGAGGGTGGCGAAGTACCTAGCGACTACATCAGGCGTGGGGCTAGTTCTTGGAGGGCAGCAGTCTGTCGTACTCACTGGTCACTGTGACTCCTCTTACGCTGACGACGCTGAGACTCACAGGTCTACTCAGGGGTACTGTTTCAGTCTGGGTTCTGGAGCTGTTTCCTGGCGTTCCACGCGCTCCTCTTCTGTCTCGACCTCTACAGCTGAGGCTGAGATTTACGCTGGTGCCATGGCGGCACAGGAGTTGCGGTGGTTGACCTTCTTGCTCGCCGACCTTGGTGAGCGGCCGAGCTCTGCACCGACCTTGTTCACTGACAACAAGGCGTCGATCCTCCTCTGTCGTGAGCCGCGACTGGAGAGCAGAGTGAAGCACATTCACGTCAGGTACTTTCTTCTGCGAGAGTTGCAGAGGCGTGGACAGGCTCGCTTCGAGTTTGTGGAGTCCGAGGCCAACACTGCAGACATCTTCACCAAGGCGCTTCCGCCTCGTGACCACCAGAGGTGTTGCGTGCAGTTAGGCCTTGTTGACACAGGTTCTAGTCATGTGTAGGCTTGAGTTTATTGGCTGCTTCGTCTGTACTCTTGCTATATATACTTGTGATCTCTTGGACTGGCCTTGTGGCCACTGTTGCTTGTGCTCAGAGTGTGTGGTGACGTTGTGATCCACCCTGAGCTTTGTTTTCTTTTGGACTGGTCTTGTGACTGTACTCTTTTTATTTTGCTAGACACCCCTCACTTAGGCTATGGGGGTGTGTCAAATGTTGTAGCCTATAGTGAGGTTTGTCTTAGGGGGTACAGAAGTTAGGGTTTGTTATATGTACCCCAACCAACATCAATGGCATCATCCATTCCTCATTCTGACAGGGAGTGATCGGTAACACCAAATCCAATGCCGTACCCATCCTTGCTACCAACAGGTTGTTTCACTCAACCAATCTTACCATAGTCAGTCGAATCAGTGTACGACTTTAAGCGGCTTTTAAGTCAGACTTTTTTTTTTTTTTTCACTATATTCAGGTCGTAAACAAAATAGCCAATGATACCTACATATCAACAAACACGTTACATAGTTGGGGTTTTCCATATCTCAGCTACAGTCCCCATATCCCCCTTCTCTAAGAAGGTGGCTCTTTGGCCAGCGTACCTTCGTAAGTACATACACACGGGTCTTGGTCCCCTGTGCCCCCTGGGAAACGGCTCTCAGGCCATCTTGAGGGGGACCCTCGGTCCCCTTACCCCCTTGGGGGCGACTCTCAGGCCAAATTGGGGACCATCTGTCCCCTTCCCCCCTTGGGGGCGGCTCTCAGGCCAACGTGGGGGCCCTCGGTCCCCTTCCCCCCCTGAGGGCGGCTCTCAGGCCAACGTGGGGGCCCTCGGTCCCCTTCCCCCCCTGGGGGCGGCTCTCAGGCCAACGTGGGGACCCTCGGTCCCCTTCCCCCCCTGGGGGCGGCTCTCAGGCCAACGTGGGGACCCTCGGTCCCCTTCCCCCCTGGGGGCGGCTCTCAGGCCAACGTGGGGACCCTCGGTCCCCTTCCCCCCCTGGGGGCGGCTCTCAGGCCAACGTGGGGACCCTCGGTCCCCTTCCCCCCCTGGGGGCGGCTCTCAGGCCAACGTGGGGACCCTCGGTCCCCTTCCCCCCCTGGGGGCGGCTCTCAGGCCAACGTGGGGACCCTCGGTCCCCTTCCCCCCTGGGGGCGGCTCTCAGGCCAACGTGGGGACCCTCGGTCCCCTTCCCCCCCTGGGGGCGGCTCTCAGGCCAACGTGGGGACCCTCGGTCCCCTTCCCCCCCTGGGGGCGGCTCTCAGGCCAACGTGGGGACCCTCGGTCCCCTTCCCCCCCTGGGGGCGGCTCTCAGGCCAACGTGGGGACCCTCGGTCCCCTTCCCCCCCTGGGGGCGGCTCTCGGTCCCCTCGTTTCGATGTGCGTGCAGTTGATCCTGTCGTCGTTGCAATTTTTCCGCGCGAGTAGTAGAGTCCGACTTTAAGCGGCTTTCCATCTTGTGCCCGTTTTTCTGTCATGAGGGAGTATCGATATTGATAGGCAATAAGAGAAGAAATTAGAACTGGGAAGGAGAATAAGAAAATGAAAAGAACTTGAAACATTTTCTATATGCAGCTAAATAATTGGTGAGGTGGCATGGGGTGCTGTACTGGTGTACTGCCCAGTCAAACGCCTTAGGCGCGACAGTAGCAGTTTCTTGACTGCCGCGCCACTGGCCATTTCGTCCGTGGCGATTTCGCCACAGACGCGCGTCACTGGCGCAAGTGGCGACTTTGCCACACACGCGCGCAAGTGGCGATTTCGCCACACATCCGCGCCAGTGGCGCACATGGCGATTTCGTCAGACATGCGCGTCACAGGCGCAAGTGGCGATTTCGCCAGACACGCGCGCCACTGGCGCAAGTGTCGAGCTCACGCCACTGGCGCACGTGGCCATTTCGTCACTGATGCGCCAGTGGCCGTTGCTTCAAGCGCGCAGCTCTTTCTCGGTTGGCGCACGCCAAATGCATCGCGGGCGCGATGCTGTACCCTCCGCAGTTAACGCGAGTAGCAGCTACTAAATAAATAACGTTGCTGCTGCGGCACTTGTCTTAGCGTTGGCTCCGTGCTATAAGAGAGTGAGAAATAGGAACTAGTGAGAACGGAAGTAGTTGGACGAGAATGAAGCGGAACTGTAAAGTTCCGAAATGAAGACGTGGTTGGAGGCCATTTGGCAGTTGCCTTGCTTCACTACAGTCAGCTGCGCTTTCAAAATATACATTTTTAGAAAGTGTTTAACCTCGTTATGTACTCGGGAATATGCATTTGCAGTTGCCTTGTTTCACTACAGTCAGCTGCGCTTTCAAAATATACATTTTTAGAAAGTGTTTAACACTTTCAAAAAAAATCATTTTTGGAAAGTGTTACACACTTTCGAAAAAAATCATAATTTGAAACTTTGCCCGTGAGACCGTGAGGCGACTCCCTAAACCCAAAACCTGGATGACAAATGTATACTTCAGCTTTAAGTGCATTCAGGTAAGTGCCTCCATCAGATCCAAATTCAAGGGTCTTGAGTTGTCTCCAGGGTTCTCGTTAGGTTTAGGGCCTGTCTGACAAAACCCTCAAAAAAAAATTCCCCGCCTTAGGCTTTGACGACGAAATTTGTGTGGTCTGCAGTATAAGATGAAATTTTTTTCCTAGTCTGATAAACTAGACGAAAAAAAAAACCAAGTCAGCCTACAAGAACACTACCTGCAATTATACTCATTCTATCAAACAACCTAGGCAGTAGCTAAGGACCTAGTCAGACTCACTAGAGCCGTAGTCCTCATTGCTATCACTACTACCATCCTCACTCCCCACGGGAACTGTGGCCCGTTCTTTCCTGGTAAGCCACGGGTACTCAACATCCATCCTTGCTGCTTCTGCTACCAGGGCCGCTTCTCGAGCAGCTGCTTCTGCTGCTGCCAGTGCAGCTGTTGCTGCTGCAGCTGCGGCCGATCTCTTCCTCGCACGCTTGCTCTGTCTCTCCCCGGACGCCAACAGCACATCGTTAGCAGGCCTTCGCTTCTTGGAAGCATTCCACCTCCTCAGCAACTCGGGCCACTCCATGTCGTAGTTAAGGAGCGACACAGCCATCAGCTCTCCCAGCTTCGCGTCGCACAGGTTCCCGCGAAGCCAACTCTTGATGATGTTTTGTCGTGAGAAGCCGCGCTCGCACTCGACGGTACTGAGCGGAAGCACGGCGACAGCCATCCACAGGTGGACGAGGTTCGGGTAGCACGTCGCCCAGTCGGGGGAGGACAGCATGAGTTTCAGGCTCTCCGCACACCCGACATCCTCTTGGTGTGTGGCCAGGATGGTAGAGAAGGTGACAAGCTCTCGCTGCGCTCTCGCCCAGTTGATGCCTGCGGTTGGGGTGCACATGGGAACATGGGAACATGGGAACATGTAGTGTTTAGACAAGCATGTGGAGACAACGCTAAACATACAGCTCATTCCCGGCATTTAACGCACCTGGTATAGTGTCAGGGTCATCTGGCTTCCGCTTGAACATGTTGCGCAGAGACTGGAGCCATTGGCCTAGCCGTCGCTCACGCTTTGCCTGGTTCTTGGGATAGAATCTCTGCTTGAACAGCTTCGCCCCGTCGAGGTTTGACAGGTCCTTGAGGCGGTAGTCGAGCCGGCCGACCAGGGTCGTGATGAACTCGCGCGCCAGCACCAAACACGCTTGGTGGTCCACACCGCTCGTCTGCCCCTTGATTTTCTCCTCGTGCAGTCGGTATCGATGGCTGACCGATGTGCCGTCGGAAGCAGTGCCAGCAACGAGGACCTCGCGGAACTCCCCAGATGCGTGCTTGTCGAGGAACGGGCCCAACGCGTCTCCCCCCTGACCAAACATCGCGTCGTCGCAGTCGAGGTAGCGTGTGCGCAGCAGTAAGGTCGTGTTGTGGACCATCGGCAGCACATGGGTTGCCTCAACCTGTAAACGGGGGTGCACAAGCAGGATGGTTAGTAGGAGATTGTAAATGAAAAAACCGGCCACGTGTAACTCGGGAAACTGCTTACCTGACGCCGCTGAAACTTCAGGCTTAGCAGGTTGAGCTCCTTCAAGACGTCAGAAAGGAAGAACAACAGGAAATGGAACTTATAGCTCGTGACGACGTGATACATCTTCTTGTTTGTTTCGTGCAACACCATGACTGCAGCAGGAAAAACCTTCACCAGGCGCTGGATGGCGTCACCACGCGACAACCACCTGACGTCCTTAATGCCTTGAACTTCAAGCTGGGTCTCGCAAATGACCTCCTGAAGCTCTTGAAACCGGGCGTGGTTAACACAGGAACGACCGAGGTTCTCAGCCACGGCGCGGACCACCTTGTCCACGACGCTGAAGTCAGGATGCTTGGCGGCAGCATCCTTGGCCGCCAAGGCCTCCCTGCAAGACAGCAGATGGTAACATTAGCACGGGTTTTTTAAAAAAAAGTAGGCAGGAAACGCGCAGTAACAACGCCTACCTGTGCGCGATGCAGTGAGACGACACAAGGTGAGGAACCTTGACTTTCAGGCGCGCGGTGACTCCGTTGTGCTGTCCAAGCATGACGGAAGCACCATCAGTGCTCATACCGGTGAGGCGCTGTAGGTCGATGCCGGTACTCTCCAGATGCGTCAGGAGCACTGTGGTGAGTGACGCGGCGTCACACTGCTCCACACTGAGCAAGGCGAAGAACTCCGTCACGGGTGCGTTGTCACGCATGAACGTCAAATAGACGATCATGTGCTTCCCCCGCCGTCGGTCGGTGCTCTCGTCTAGCTGGATGCCAAGGTACGGAGTGTCGCGGATGTGCTTCAGCTGGCGGGACTTGAGGTAGCACACCATGGTCTTGACCAGTTGTGCGAAGCCGTACCTGAGACACCACGGGTTGATACTCGTTAGACTCGTAACCAAATAACAATAAAAAGATGAGTAAAACGGGACACTTACTCGCTGTAGTACGTCCCGTTCTCCTTCAGGGGCAAATCCGGTGTCCCCTGCTCTGCCATGAATTGAACCAAAGCCACGAAAAGAACAATGGGAGCATCAGACTTGCAAATGAATAGCACGATAGCCATCAACCGAGCAATACGCTTGACATCAGCGTCCCCACGGTGGAAGTCAGCAATTGACTTCTGCACTTTCTTGACGCCGTCGCGCTCCTCCTTCCTCAAGACCGCGGCCTCGTGTTTCAGACTGTGGTGATGCTTGCGCATCGTCTGCTTCTGGATGTCGATGCCGCCATCGCCGTTACGCCCGTATTTGTAGTTCGGGTCACCGAAGACCATGCAGACGCTGCAGCGCATGCACGGGCGGCCTGCCTTGTTTTCGGAGATGAGGAGCCAAGGAAAATACCGCTGCCACTGCTCCTTGCACTTCAACTGAAGCTCCTCAACCGACAGTTGCTTGCCCTTCGGGTCTTCGAAGTCTTCACTCGCGGGTTCAGGTTCTGGTTCCGCGGGGCGCGGAAGAACTGACGGTGCTGGCTGAGTCGGACCGCCCGGACGGCAGACGGTGAGAACACGCTGTTTATACCGCTTCTTCATAGATCTGTCAGGCAAGACGGGGTTAGCACTGCGAGAGGTTGTAGCGACCGACACTGGAGGGATGCTCTTATTTGCACATTCGTCAGGGAGCGGGGGGGATAACAGCGTTGTTGGGGTAGTCGTTGCTGGCACGTGTTGATCGCCATTTTCCGAGTTGGGCAAAGGTACCGCAGCAGAGGTCGACGCAATCGGAGGGGCAGCAGAAGCGATCTGCTTGCCCCGCGTTAGGAAGTCTAGGGCGGAAAGCACGGGCTCCCCATGGCACGGTCCGCCGGCTGTGACGGCCATAGCCTTAACGCTGGGAAGCGTCACGCTGGGAAATCAGACGCTGGGAGGGAAACGATCCATGCTCGGCTGGGAGAGAGGTGAGGACGAGCAGGAGAAACAGGCTTGTTTTCACGCCAGACCCAGCTGCATGAAACCTCATCACCGTGCACTGCACTCAGAACCGAAAGGCGGTGCGTGTTGGGAGCGGGGGGCACTACGACCACAGTGATGTGTTGCGCGCCCTCTACGAAAAGCAAATGCGCTGGCACAACGGGACAGCGCGTTGTCGTGGCTGTGGCTGGCGTCGGCGCCGACAGCCACCCAAACGACAAACACCTGGCAGCATATGCCGCAGATACATGCCAGCGAGGCTGCACAAGGCAGTTACAGAGCTGTATAAGACACGCGTAATGAATGCGTGCAGTTACAAGGCAGCAATCGGCTGTACCTGTGGTGGTCCTGTCCTCTGGTCAACTGGGCCTATGGCCTAGTGGGTCAAGTTGTCGGTTTCAGACGAAACCGAACTCGCTATCTGTATCCTCAGATAAAAAATTCTACACGTCTGAAAAAATCATACGAACTTAAAAGTCAAATCTTGCTCATCAGATGAGAACAAACACAAAATCTTAGGATTAAGATGAATACAAAAAAAACCAGTCTTAAACGCAGACCATCAGACCAAATTGGTCTGATAACGAGAACCCTGGTTGTCTCAGGTCCCTTCAACGTCTTCAGCAGAAGTAGCAATTATATTTGCAATTACAGGATAACCAAAGGCACGCCCAGTTCCACGACCAACCATGCACACACACCCACACACAACACCTAACCCCTCCCACCCACACACACACACACACTACCTCTCTCAGCAGCATCAGGAAGCCTTTTAATGCGCAACCAATTCTGAAAACCATGTTAGTTGCAGGCTGCATCAGCAGCAGCAGCATTGACACAAGGGACCGCAGCAACAACAGAAGCACCGACAGCAGTGGAGGCATTACCAGAAGCAGAAGCAGCGTATCGAGTGTCTTGCCTGCCGCTGCAGAACCCCACTGCACCGTGCTGCTACCAGCACCTCCCATCTCCCCCTTAAATTATCGTTTTTGCGGTCTTGACGAACGAGCCAGCGCCGGCCTGCAGGGCACCCTTGGCGCCCTTGCCGCTGCGGTACGCGTTGACTGCAGCCATAAGCGCCTCCTTGCCGCCCTTCTTCACCACATTCTTCACCAACCCTCCCGCCTTCTGCCCTGCCTCGCTCTTCGCCGCCTGATTCGCCGCGTTCTTGATCTTCTTCCAGCTCAGCAGCACCCGCACCGCCTCGTCCAGCCCGTCCGTCGCCTCCCCCACCTCCTCCTCCTCACCACCTACGTCCAGGTTACCGCCGCTCGCTTCCAGCAGCTTGCGGCCCCAACTCGCCGCGTCCACGGCCGCGCTTCCCCCAGCAACGTCACCCCGCTGCTTTGGCGCAGCCGCGGCGTAGAGTGCGGGAAGTGTTGCGAGGACCAATGCGAGAATGAACACGGTGCGAAGAGTAGCCATGGTTACTGCCGCGATGGATTCTCGAGAGTAGCACTGCGAGCGATGATGAGGATGAGATGATTTGGGTGAATTTGCGAAAACCGAGAGAAGAAACTCCGTCGGGTGATGGTGAATGGTGGAGCGGAGGCAGTTTAAGTACTAACGATAAACGTCGAGGTGAGGGTGGAGGACGGAGAGCGTTAGCTGATCGTTACCCATAATGGTACCACTTTCAGCTGCTCGCGGGTTGCATGGCGCCCCCGCACAACACGCAACATGCCGCACAACTTGGTGTGTACGATATCAGTGAGGCTAATACCACCGCGTGTTGCGCTGGGCTCCGATTCGGAGTTAGACGGCAGCGCGGCAATAATGGCTGACGGTCCATTAACGAGCCTCGCTAGCTTCGTGAACTTCGAAAGCTGTGACTAAAACGACTCGTCTGGAATAACAAACTGGAAGAGTGAGGGTCCGGTGGGGGGAGAACAGTTTGTCGTCTGTACTGAAGCGGCAGAAACCTAGATCTCTCATTCCTGGGGCTCGCAGTTATTGCTCGATCATGGCGCCGCACAAAGCGCAAGGGAGTTAGCGAGGGGATGGGATGGACATGCTTGGGCAGACGCAGATACGCACGGTGTGGTCTGGATTGGGTTGGGTCACGCTGGTTTGGGTTGGGTTGAGAGCTCTCAGTGCGAGAGAGCTCCAAGGCTGGCGGCTGTGCGGCAATAATGTTCTCTGGTGGAAATATTATTGAGGCTGTGGAAAGAAACATGTAATAATACTGTATCAGAATACCATACCATTTACTTTGTCATGTAGAAAAAAAAACAGAGTATGTCCGCCCCCGAAAAAATGGATGTCAAGCCAACCGGCCTATCCATAAGGGTGCATGCAGTGCAAGGAGATTCTTGGAATTCACTTAGAAGTAGTAACAATTTGCTCTTGGGTGCTTCTGGTATACTGCCTCTAGCTAACGGGAATATCAATCTTGAAGCATCGCTGACAGTCCTTGCCCACATTGCTCCCAAACGGGAATAGCAGTCTTGCCGGCATGGGCGGGCTTGACTTGGAAGAGCCGCATGCCGAACTGCGAGGCAGATGTGAGCGGCATGGCGCTGAAGAAGGAGCAGGCCTTGGAGGCAAATATGTTCTTGAAGCGCTGCACGTCGTGCGTCTCGGTGAACCACTGGACGACTGGAAGTGGGGGAAGAGGAAAAAGGAAGGCAGGGGGGGGTGAGTGGTAAATCTAGGGAAACCGGACTTGAGGTGTCTCAAAACCTGAAGAACACTGCTGGGAGAGGGTAGAACACTGCAGGGAGAGGGTACAGGGAATGAGCCAGAAGAGACATGTGGGGATGGAGGGGAAAAGGGGGGAAGGTGATGGGGGGTTGGAGGTGAAGAAGGAACAGATTTAGAAGGCGAGGAAGTTGCGGAAGCGTTGCACGTCATGCGTCCCGGCGAATCGCTGGAAGGCCGCAAAAAGGGAAACAGAGGAAGAGTGGGCAGAGGAAACATGACTTGAAACGCTTCAAAACCTGAAGGATATTCGGAGTGAGCCATATGAGGCAGGAGAACTTCAATAAACATCTGGGTTTGGGGGAAAGAGGGGGGGTGGGCAGGGGTGTATAGGAACGAGGGAAGGTAGGGGTGTATAGGAACGAGGGAGGGAAGGGGTGTATAGGAACGAGAGAGGGAGGGGGTGTATAGGAACGAGAGAGGGAGGGTGTCAGTGGGAACGAGGGAGGGGGAGAGGACGTATAGTCTGGTTAACACCCACAGTCCAGTGCGTGGTTTCCCTGCCCACGCCCTTGGTTCAGCCTAAGCGCACCCTACCAGCCTCCCTTTCAACCCACCCAACCCTCTCAACCCCTCCATCCCACCCACCCATCTCACTCAACCGACAATGTCCCCTGGCTTGACAGCAAGGGGAGTGGTTCCCCCGCCCCAGTGGACCCCGATTCACCACCAGTGGCCTTGGTTCTCCAGCCTCCCGTTCGTCTCATCCCACCCCACTCACACTTTCTCCACCGTACTACACCCACCCTCTGACCACTCAACCATCCATCACTCACCAAGAATGTCCCCTTGCTTCACAGCAGGAGCCATCCACAGGTTGACTCCCAATGGCTCACTCAGTTGCCCTGCAGGAGCCAGATCCTCACTGGCAGCGGCTGTTGGGAATGTGGAGAGGCGACGACAGATGCAGGGGTGCAGAGCGGTGAATGGGTCTTCCAAAAGGTTGACTCCCCCGCTCCAATGGTTCACTGGGTTGCCTTGCAGGTGCAAGGCAAATCATAACTGGCAACAGCTGTTGGGAACATGGAGAGGCAAGGCCGGATGCAGGGGTGCAGAGCGGTGAATGGGGCTTCCACAAGGTTGACTCCCCCGCTCCAGTGGCTCACTGGGTTACCCTGCAGAAACCCGACCATCACTGAAAGGGGCTGCTTGGGGTGTGGAAGGGCAAGGACGGACGCAGGGATGCAAAGGGGTGGCAAGAGATTCCACAGGGTGAATTACCCCCTTCCAGTGGCTCACTAGCAGGGGCTGTGGGGGAGGGAAGAGAGGGTGTGAGGGCAAGTACGGCATGAGAGGGATGTATTGGGGAAAGAACATGCATGAGAAGTGCGTCAAGCAAGGAGCATGCGCCTGACGCGTGTGCAAGTGGAAGTTGTGGAATCACAACAGCTCCCACCAGCTCCCACCTGCTCTCACAATCACAACAGTTGTGGCGTGTGTGGTGAGTGCCTGGCGTGTGTGGTGAGTGCCTGGTGTGTGTGGTGAGTGCCTGGTGTGTGTGGTGAGTGCCTGGTGTGTGTGGTGAGTGCCTGGTGTGTGTGGTGAGTGCCTGGTGTGTGTGGTGAGTGCCTGGTGTGTGTGGTGAGTGCCTGGTGTGTGTGGTGAGTGCCTGGTGTGTGTGGTGAGTGCCTGTGTGTGGTGAGTGCCTGTGTGTGGTGAGTGCCTGTGTGTGGTGAGTGCCTGGTGTGTGTGGTGAGTGCCTGGTGTGTGTGGTGAGTGCCTGTGTGTGGTGAGTGCCTGTGTGTGGTGAGTGCCTGTGTGTGGTGAGTGCCTGGTGTGTGTGGTGAGTGCCTGGTGTGTGTGGTGAGTGCCTGGTGTGTGTGGTGAGTGCCTAGTGTGTGTGGTGAGTGCCTGTGGGTGGTGAGTGCCTGATGTGTGTCACCTTAAGTTTCAGAACAGCAAGTTTCTTTTCATAACCCCATACGAACTTTCAACGCCTTCACCAAAAGCACGGTAGCAGCAGGTATATTTCAGCGATTACATGATAACCAAAGCAGCACCCAGATCCACTATCAACCCTGCACAGCACACCTAAGCCTTTCACCCACACACACACCACCTAACCCCTCCACCCACCCCCCACACAATCACACACACATACCTCTCCCAGCAGCATCACTAAGACGAAAGTATTAAGTAACCGATTCTGCAAACCGTGCCACTTGCAAGCCACATCAGCAGCAGCAGCAGGCAGAAGCACCGACAGCAGTGGAGGCAACAGCAGCAGCAGAAGCAGCGTATGGAGTGCCTTGCCTGCCGCTGCAAAACCCAACTGCACCGTGCAGAACCCCACTGCACCGAGCTGCTACCAGCAGCAGCAGGCACCATACCAGCTGCGCTGCCCAGCCGCTGCCCAACTCCTCTCCGCCGTGCCTCTCACCCCTCCCATCTCCCCCTTAGATCATGGTTTTCGCGGTCTTGACGAACGAGCCAGCGCCCGCCTGCAGGGCACCCTTGGCGCCCTTGCCGCTGCGGTACGCGTTGACTGCAGCCGTGAGCGCCTCCTTGCCGCCCTTCTTCACCACATTCTTCACCAACCCTCCCGCCTTCTGCCCCGCCTCGCTCTTCGCCGCCTGATTCACCGCGTTCTTGAACTTCTTCCAGCTCAGCAGCACCCGCACCGCCTCGTCAAGCCCGTCCTCCGTCATCTCCCCCACCTCCTCCTCCTCGCCGCCCTGCTGGTCCAGCAGCTTGCGGCCCCACCTCGCCGCGTCCACGCCTGCGCTTCCAGCAGTAGCGACGCCGCCCCGCATTGGCGCGGACGCGGCATAGAGTGCGGGGAGAGAGACGAGGACCAAGGCGAGGATGAACACGGTGCGAAGAGTGGCCATGGTGACGAGCGAGTTCAGAGTGCGTCGGAGCGTCGGAGCGTCGGATTTCGAAAGTAGCGCTGACGATGGCCCGAGCGAAAATTAGGGATCAGATTTCGGTGATTTTCGAGCACCGGGAGAAGAGACTTAGTCAAGTGATGGTGAATGCAGGAACGGAGACAGTTGAAGTACTACGGAGAGACGAGGAGGCGCGGTTGGTGGAGGGAGAGCGTCGGTCGCCACCATAATGGTACCGCTTTCAGCCACTCCGTGAGTACGTTCTCAGTGATGCTAATACCACCGCGTGTTGCGCAGGACTCCGATTCGGAGTTAGACGGCAGCGCGGCAATAATGGCTGGCGGCGGCCCATTTCGAACTTCGCCAGATCGCCAGCTCGGTGAATTTCGAGAGCTGTGATTGGCGGGACTCAGCTGGCGGGACTCATCTCCAACGACGAACCTGGAAGAGTGAGGGTCCGGCGGGGGGGGGGGAGAGTAGTCTGCCGTCTGAATCGCAGCAGCAATGACCTCATTCCAGCAGCTCACTCAGCTCGCAGTTATTGCTCCTATGATTGCTCCGCACAACACGTGACGAGTTCGTGAGGGGTTGGACACGATAGTTTTGAGGCCACGCGCTGGTACGCACGATGAGGATTGGGTTGGGATGGTTTCGATTGGGTTGGGGTGGATGAGGTTAGGTTTGGGATGGTTTTCCTGTTGCCAGGTGCAATAACGGCCACTGCTGACGAACCTATTGCGGGGCCTCTTTACATAGCTGTATAGCTGTATAGCTATGTATCAATTTCTGTATAGCTATATTATACTTCACATGTACATGTCTGCCACCAGAAAAATGGGTATCAAGCCAAGCTTCTAGTCCAGTCCCTCCACAAGGATGCATGCAGTGCAAGGAGCTTCTTGGAATACACTCGTAAGCGATGATATGCTTTTGAGCGGTTCTGAAATGATGTCTCTATCCAACTGTAATGGCGATCAGGGTCACGTTTCATTCTAAAATGATGCCTCGCTGGCAGTCCTTCCTTGCCCACACTGCTGCCAAAGAAGAGCGCATAGCCAGCTGGGCGGGCTTGACCTGGAAGAGCAGCATCGCATGCCCAGCTGCGAGGCGGAGCAGGCTTTGATGCTTCAGAAGCGCTGCACGTCGTGCGCCTCTGCGAACCACAGGAAGACTGAACGGGGGGGAACAGCAGGTGGAGCGGGCAGTATTAGCCTCCAAGGCTGCACGTCGTTAGTCTTTGGGAACCACTCAACGACTTGAATGGGGGGAGCAGGGCGGGTAGGGTGATATACGCTCAACTCAAGCAGCTTTAGGCTGGAAATGTGAGACACGATTGAGGATGGGGTGATGAAGGGAGGGAACCTGTGTCAGTGGGAAGGGAATGAGGGAGGGAAAGAGGGGAAATCTAGTCTCGTTAACACACATAGTCTAGTCTGGTTAACACACATAGTCTAGTCTGGTTAACACACATAGTCTAGTCTGGTTAACACACATAGTCTAGTCTGGTTAACACACATAGTCTAGTGCGTGGTTTCCCTGCCCACGCCCTTTTTCGCATAAGCGCATCCTACCAGCCTCCCATTTAACTCACCCAATCCCTCCAGCCCACCCGCTCTCACTCAAGAAGAATGTTCCCTGGCTTCACAGCAGGTGGCTTCCACAGGTTCACTCCCCCGTGGCTCCCCATTCACTTCCAGTTCGTCTCACCCACCCCAATCACTTCCTTACCACGCAACCCCGTCACTCACCAAGTATGTCCCCTGGTTTCACAGCAGGAGGCTTTCAGGTTGACTCCCCCGCTCCAGTGGCTCACTGGGTTGCCTTGCACGAACCAAAAACTCACTGGCAGCGGCTGTTGGGAATGTGGGGAGGCGAGGACGGATGTAGGGTGCAGAACGGTGAATGGGGCTTTCACAGGTTGACCCCCCCGCTCCAGTGGCTCACTGGGTTGCCCTGCAGGAACCCGACCATCACCGGCAGGGGCTGTGGGGGAGAAAAGAGGGGGTGTGAGAGAGGAGGGAAGAGCATGAGAGGGGTGTAAAGGAGAAAGATATCATGAGAAGCACACAGGCCAAGGCCGCTCGAAAAGCATACAAAAGAGTGTTTTACGGGAATTGAAAGCATAGAGGGGCGCACAGAGGTGAGGGTTGCTATGACAAGTTTACTCCCCCACTCCAGTGGCTCACTGGGTTGCCCTGCAGGAACCCGACCATCACTGGCAGCGGCTGCTTGGGTGTGGAAGGGCAAGGACAGACGCAGGGATGCAAAGGGGTGACAAGGGATTCCACAGGGTGAATTCCCCCCTTCAAGGGCTCACTGGCAGGGGCTGTGTGGGAGGGAAGAGAGGGTGTGAGGGCGAGTACGGCATGAGAGGGATGTATGGGGGGCAAGAACATGCATGAGAAGTGCGTCAAGCAAGGTGTGTGCGCCTGACGCGGGTGCAACTGGAAGGTGTGGAATCACACCAGCTCCCACCAGCTCGCACTGGAAGGCGGCCAGCATCAATGACGTTATCTCGAGCCTGCCACTCTTTACCTCGTCTGATGGTGTGCGTGCGCACGACAGACTGTGAGCCAAATATGGCGAGTGCCTGGCGTGTGTGGCGAGAGCCTGGTGTGTGTGGTGAGTGCCTGGCGTGTGTGGTGAGTGCCTGGCATGTGTCGTGAGTGCCTGATGTAGTCAGATTCAGAAAAGCAAGTTTCTTTTCACGACCCCATACCATACTAGCGAAAGCATGGTGGCAGCAGATATATTTGGGACTACAAAATAACCAAAGGAGCACCCAGTTCCACTACACTAACAACCCTACACACAAGCCCACGTGACCCTTTCACCCACACACACCACCTAAACCCTCCAACCCCCCCCCCCACACACATACCTCTCCCAGCAGCATCACCAGGACAGAACTATTAACAACCAATTCTGCAAACCGTGCCACTTGCAGGCCACATCAGCAGCAGCAGACAGAAGGGACCAAGGCAACAGCAGAAGCACCGACAGCAGTGGAGGCAACAGCAGCAGCAGGAGCAGCGTATGGAGTGCCTTGTTTGCTGCTGCAGAACCCCACTGCACCGAGCTGCTACCAGCAGCAGCAGACACCATACCAGCTGCGCTGCTGCCCTGCCTGTCCAACCCAACTCCACTCCCCCGTGCCTCTCACCCCTCCAAACTCCCATCTCCCATCTCCACTACCGCCCGCCTGCTGCACGCGAAACCTTGCGCGAGTCCATCCGGAGCGGCTTCACATACTTGCGCGGCTTCAAGACGCCTAAGTTCGGGTACCTCTTCGGGGGCTTCACACATTTGAGGCAATCGTGCGAGTTCATCTGCTTGATCTTCTGCCAGCTCAGCAGCACCCTCACCGCCTCGTCCAGCCCGTCGCCCGAAGCCTTGAGCGGCTGCTCAAACTTCCAGACCGGTTTATCTGGCACATACTTCTTCAAGTTGCCTAAGTTCAGGTTCCTCTTCGGGTTCTGCTTCTTCATCCGCTCCCACACATCTGAAGCAAGCAGCACCCGCACCGCCTCGTCCAGCCCGTCCGTCACCTCCCGCACCTCCTCCTCCTCGCCACCCACGTGCACGTCCGCACCGCCGCTCGCTTCCAGCAGCTTGCGGCCCCAACTCGCCGCGTCCACGGCTGCGCTTCCACCAGCAGTGACGTCGCCCCGCTGCTTTGGCGCAGCCGCGGCGTGGAGTGCGGGGACCAATGCGAGGATGAACACGGAGCGAAGAGTGGCCATCTTTTACTGCGACAGTAGCAATGGTTTCTCGAGAGTAGCACTGCGAGCGATAATGAGGATGAGATGATTTGGGTGAATTTTCGAGAACTGAGAGAAGACCCTCAGTCGGGTGATGGTGAATGGAGGAACGGAGGCAACTTAAGTACTAAGGAAAGACGTGGATGCGAAGGGCACGGAGGCGAGGGAGGTGGAGGGAGAGCTTAGTTGCCAAACATAATGGTACCGCTTTCTGCAGCTCGCAGGTATTGCTTGGAAGAGGCTCGCCGCACAACGCGCGACATGGGGGAGAATGTGGATCCGCACCGCGCAGCATGCGGCGGAAAAAGCGGGATCCGCACCGTGCGACATGCCGCGCAACAACTGTGTGTACGCGAGCAGAGCTAGGCTACCTCCGCATGGACTCCAAACCGGATTTGGACGGCAGCGCGGCAATAATGGATGGCGATCCAGTCGTACTTAGAACCTCGCCAGATCGCCAGCTTAGTAATTGTCGAGAGGTGTGACTTGCGAGACTCGTTCCCAAATGACGAAACTGGACGACAGAGAGCAGATCGCTATCTCTTACACCTGTAGCTCGCATATTTCCAGTAATGGTATGGGGCCGCGCGATACCCACAGAGTTGGCGAGGGGTTGGTATGGCACGCCAGTAACGAGGACACGCGCTTTTACACACCCTGTGGTTTGGTTTGGGTTGGTCTCGTTTAGCTTAGGTCGTGATGGTGTTCTGTTCGGTTGGGCTGGGTTTGCTGGGCTGAGTGAAAGAATGGGCTGAGCTGAATGGCAGTCCAGCAACAATCACACTTGGTGAGATAATTCAGGAGCGTGTTCCGAAATATGCATAATTCTTGTATCACTCTATTAAATATGATATGGTATTCGCCAAGAACGGGGCACTTGGAAAAAAAAAAATCCGTCTACCCCCAAAGATTGGGTATCAAGCCAAGATTCAGGTCCCTCTACAAGGGTGTATGCACTGCAAAGAGATTCTTAATATTCACCAAGCATGATCATGGAACAATGCCTCTACTTGACTGGAGTACCTAGCATTTACGTACACCTGGCTGGCATTCCTTGCCTACACTGCTGCCAAAGAAGAGTGACTTGCCAGCATGTTCGGGCTTGACTTAAACGAGGCGCATGCAAGAGATGTGAGAGCTACCCCTAGCTGACAGGAATGGCGATCTTGACGCCTCGCTGGCAGTCCTTACCCACACTGCTGCCAAAGAAGAGTGTTTTGCCGGCATGGGCGGGCTTAACTTGAAAGAGACGCATGCCGAACTGCGAGGCAGATGTGAGCGGCACGGCATTGAAGAAGGCGCAGGTTTTGAAGGCAAATATATTCTTGAAGCGCTGCACGTCGTGCGTCTCTGCGAACCACTGGAAGACTGGAGATGGGTGAAGACAGAATGTGTGGCACAGATTAAGACAGGAAACGCACGTTTTGAGATTCCCAGAGCTCGAAGGCTGCACATCTCTAGTCTCTGTGAACCATTAACAGACTGAAAAAGGGGAGGTGGGGGAAGGGTGGGTAGGCTGATTGAAATATCTCAACTTGAGCATTACTAGACTGGAATGGGACACACTTTGCATGGGGTGAAGGAGTGGGGATAAAGGTGCCGGTGGGAGCGAGGGAGTGGCTGGGCTGGGAGCAAGTATAACCTGGGTGACACCCACAGTCCAGAGCGGTAAATTCCTCCCCTCTCAATAGGTTCAGCCTAAGCGCACCCTACCAGGCTCCCATTCAACTCACACCCACCCCACTCACCCACTCCAGCCCAGCCACTCCTCACTCACCAAGAATGTCCCCTGGCTTCACAGCAGGCGGCTTCCACAGGTTCACTCCCCCACTCCAGTGGCTCACTGGGTTGCCCTGCAGGAACCCGACCATCACTGGCAGCGGCTGTGGGGGATGTGGAAAGGCAAGGACGGAGGGGGATATGTGGTGCAAAGCGGTGAGGAGGGTTTCTATAGGTTCACTCTACCGCTCCTAGGGTTGCATTGCAGGAACCCGGCCATTACTGGCGAGGGCTGTTGGGGGGATTGGAAAAGGGAAAGAACGGGGAAAGGGATGCAAGGGGATGAGGGGCAATCCCGTTAGGTGACTATCCTGATCTAGTGGCTCACCGGAAACCCGACCTTAACAGGCAAGTGTCGTGAGGAAGGGAAGAAAGGGTGTGAAAGCAAGGCATGGCGTGAGAGGGATGTACCGGGAATAAAAATGCAATAAGAAGTGCACTGGGCAAGGTCCGCTCGAAAAGCATAAGAAGGAGTGGTAAATGGGGTACATGGAAAGTTCATAGAAAGGGGCACAAGCGCAATCAGGTGTGAAGTCAGTTCAATTAAACAGTTTGCGAAAAGTGTAACTGGGCTAGGGGTGTATTTGCAGAATATGGTAAGTTGAGTCAAGAAAGTAGCATGAGATGATGCACAACACATGGGGAATCGAGAGCTAGTGGAATTTACCTGGGTGTACGCAACACCTGCACACATGACAAGTAATAGAACACAGGGAAAGGAAGAATGAAGGACAGTATTTTTTTGGTAAGCTTTTCAGCTAGGACACCAAGAAAACAAGGCCAGATGTTTGCAAGAGAAGGCGTTGGTGAAAAGTATAAATGACAGTGAATGTCAGGTGCTTACCAGTGAAGGTTGCTGCGAGAAGCAGCAGAAGCAGAGGGGTCATCCCAGCCGTCCGTGCAGACGCCATGGTGTGAGCGACACCCTGAGGGACACCCTGAGGGACGCCCTGAGGGACACCCTGAGGGACACCCTAGCCTCTCTCTGAGCAACACCCTGAGCGAGACCCGGAGATGCGGTTTCGAAGGCTATAGACCAGCAACGACGCCGTGCAGTTCTGGTGGTGCAAATCCGCGGCTTCACCTGCTCTCCAGGCGGTCAGCGTCAATAACGTTACCTAGAGCCTGGAATCCGTTAAGTTTCACCTCAACTTTTGAAGGAATGGTGCGTGTGCAGGTGGGGGAATGGTGCGCCGTGTCAGCTACCAATCGGTGAAACGGCTTTTCCTTTCTGGAAGTTTGATGGTCCAAAGAATGATGATGATCACTACGGAAAGGAGTGCAGAGGAAGCCGATACTACTCAGTGGGTATTGAGTTATCACCCGAACCTGTGTATGAATGACTGGTGCGCCTGTTTATACCCATCGAGCATACCATAGTAACCGTGACCGCTTCGAGTTTTGCCGCTTGCACGGAAAGAGTGAGGGAGAACGAGTGAGGTTGAACGTTTTGGCGGCACAGCGCGCGCCGCGGCGCATTTCAACACCTATACAGCCAATGCTGCGACTGCGGCACGCACGGTGGCTCGCTTTGAAAGGGCAACGATTCCATTTGAGAGCCGACCGGGACCAGACCCTGTTTCGCATTCGTCATTGCGGGCACGTGCGAGTGAGAGGGTGTGCCGGACGGTGAGGTGTTGCTGTGCTCCAGGACAAGAATGCGTGTACTGTACCTCGGTATGTCTAACTGTAACTAAAACCGACGGTAACATCTCCGCGCACATTCCGGCGGAAACAGCCACCAGTTTTACTACCCGGAGGTAGCTTGTCTATTAGATGGGGTCGGTCAGTGTAGCTGTATCAATTTGTTCATCCAAGAAGGCCTTCTCGCGAATTGCGGCCGACCAAGTCAAACTTCAGAAGAGCTTCGCAGAGCAGAATCTGACGGTTGGATTTGGAAAAGTGAGGCGTGGCGGCGAATGGTGTGTGAGGGGATGGAAAGCTAAACGTGGCGGAGAACGCACAGAAAATGAGTTCCGAGAATGCCGAGACGATGGCGTTGAAAACTGGGATGTGAAGGAAGAAAACGATGTCCAACGGGAGGCTGCAAGCTCCAAGCTTTTCCATCTTCCGTGAATTGGGACTGGTCAGACGGAGAGCTCGAATTCAAACTCGAAACTTCCAAGGTTTACCGCCTTTATTTATTATCGCTGGAAGCCACACCGTTTAGAATAAATTATCTTCATTCCGTATCACACGCATATGACAAGAAAAGTAGTAAATGACGCTGGTTCTAACCATCATGTCGAAGTCGTATTATTTACAATTGTTGGACAGACGTAGTATTTCTGGCTCCTGATTTTTTGTTTCCGCTTGAATCAAGTGTCTGACTGCCTTGACCATTATGGCTGCTAGAACCTGCCCCACTATCATGACAATCACCACTACTCGATGGATATTCAGAATGGCCGGAAACTTCTTGACTGAACTTACTCACTTCAACACCGCCTTCAGCAGCCACATCCCCATCAATCCTGCGAATCTCCTCCATCTCACAGTCAAACTCCAGCCCTGCCACTTCCAGCTCCTCACAGAGCCCCTCATAGCTGCGTGTCACGGCACTTAGCTGATTCCGCAGATGCTCCATCTCCATCCTTAGGCTGGGAGCTGAACCAATCAGGGAGACAGAGGGGAAGAATGCAGCCAATGAGAGCTCTTTCAACCTCGCATCCCTTCAGAGCTGCATCAGATGTCTTGTGGTGACTTTTGAGTCGACTCAAAAGTCATTTGGTGTTTGCATGCAATATTTCAACGATCTTTACACAAGGAGCTACCGCAAACGCGGGAGAGCGAAAGTGGTCGGGCAGAACACGGAACCCATGCACGAGGGAGGGAACAGACACGAGCGTTTGTAGCTCCTCTCACCGTCACCGCCCTCAGAGCTACGTTCTCAGCACAAAATTCGACTTCTCAGCACGCCTCAAGGGTCGTCGTTCGGCTGGCTTTTCAGGTACCTACGAGACCTGATGCAGCTTGCACCCATCCACGCCACGCCATCCTCCTGCGCACAGCACATTCCCTGCCCAGGCTTCTACTGAGTCCACACAACGCATCAGATACCACTACTTTGTTGCACCTACCTACCTGCAAGTTGAAACTTACCTTCCCACAACTGTTGCAGGCAGGTTGCTCTCTTCACAACGCTGCTCGTCCCGTCCAGTTCCCTGCCAGTGCTTTCACTAGCTGCGAGAAGGGCCTCAATAACAAACAATGGGTCTCAAAACTCTACTTCAATCACGTCACAACGCTGCTCGTCCAGTTCCCTGCCAGAGCTTTCACTAGCTGCGAGAAGGGCCTCAATAACAGACAATGGACTAACCTGCTCTCAGGTGCTGCACCCACCTGCTCTCAGGTGCTGCACCCACCTGCTCTCAGGTGCTGCACCAACCTGCTCTCAGGTGCTGCACCCACCTGCTCTCAGGTGCTGCACCCACCTGCTCTCAGGTGCTGCACCCACCTGCTCTCAGGTGCTGAACCCACCTGCTCTCAGGTGCTGCACCCACCTGCTCTCAGGTACTGAACCCACCTGCTCTCAGGTGCTGCACCCACCTGCTCTCAGGTGCTGCACCCACCTGCTCTCAGGTGCTGCACCCACCTGCTCTCAGGTGCTGCACCCACCTGCTCTCAGGTGCTGCACCCACCTGCTCTCAGGTGCTGCACCCACCTGCTCTCAGGTGCTGCACCCACCTGCTCTCAGGTGCTGAACCCACCTGCTCTCAGGTGCTGAACCCACCTGCCCTCAGGTGCTGCAAGTTGCACTTTACAACGCTGCTTGTCCAGTTCATTCGCTTGACACCTTCCCCGCCAGTGCCCCCACCACTACACGCACGAGTGTCGATGATGTTACTTGCCTGCACTCAAAGGCTGAACCTACATGCTCTTAAGTGCTGCAGGTTGCTCTTCACAACGCTGCTGGTCCAGTTCACCCACTTGTACAACTCCCCCGCAGTGCCTTTACCACTCCAATTTGCAGGTCAGCAGGTGCCCCCACTCCCAGATACAACCCCTCTAGTTTCACCCTTACCCGCCCGTAAGTGTTGGAGATTGATCTTCACGACACTGCTCCTCCAGTTCGTTCGCTTGTACACCTTCCCCGCCAGTGCTGCTGCTTACACGACCTGCCAAAGCGCCTCAATACAAGACAAAGTACTTGCCTGCCCTCAAGTGCTGCAGGTTGCTCTTCACAACGCTGCTGGTCCAGTTCATGCGCTTGTACACCTTCCCTGCCAGTGCTTCCACCGCCTCCATGCGACTCATCAGCTCCTGCTGGTTACCACACACCCTCCCTGCCACGTCAGCATGCCACTGCTCGTACCCTGCCAGCACAGCTGCTGACGCGGCGCTTTGATCTTTCAAATCACGCACTGCCACGGTTGCATGGGAAGGTGGATGAGGAAGGAGGTGGGTGGCAGGAGTGGGCAGGACGAGGGGGCAGGGAAAGAAGAGGGTGGGGGGAAGGGGTGAAAGGGCGGAGGGGAAATGTGAGGGGGAGGGAAATGTGTAGGTTGTGAGAATGGAGTGGCAAACTACACATGGCAAATGCACAAGGACTAGTAATGGGAGAATTATGTCTGCCTGCTCAATGAGACAGAAATATGCAACCTGCAATGGGAGACACAACTTCCAAGACCTGTATCAAGAGTATTTTGGTATGGGCTATTTGAGTCAACTCTTGAGAATCAAAAAGCCGCAGCCACGTGACCATGTAACCGTGTCACCAGCACTCCCATCCCATGTCTCACCTATTCTCTGCACATGTGCTGCCATCTGCTCTTCTCCACTGGCGGCTGTGGCTGCACCAAGTGGTCCCTCCTGCATACCATGCCTGCTGGCAGTGGTAGTGGTGGCGGCAACAGCACGTGCCTCAGCATCACCAGCAGCAGCTCTCCCAGAAGCTGTAGCAGCTGTAGCGGCTGTAGCAGTGGAAGCAGGGGATGTGGAGTTTGCAGCGGAGGCAGCACCACCAGTGGTATTAGCAGCAGCAGCGGCAGCAGTGGCGGCAGCGGCAGGGAGGTGGGTGTTGGTGTGGGCTGCCTGGAGGAGAAAAGGGGTGAGCTGCTGCAGCAGCGGAACGCTCTGCACCAACAAGGGGTGGTGAGAGGGGGAAAGGGGGATAGACTTTTGAGTCGACTCAAAAGTCACCTCGGTGTGGACTGCTTGAAGGAGCAAAGGGGTGAGCTGCTGCAGCAGCGGAACGCTCTGCACCAACAAGGGGGGATGGAGGTGGAAAGGGGGGATAGGAGAGGGAAGGATCAGGGGAAGGTTGAATGCACTTGAACCTTCAACCTACTGCACTTGAACCTTCAACCTACTGCACTTGAACCTTCAACCTACTGCACTTGAACCTTCAACCTACTGCACTTGAACCTTCAACCTACTGCACTTGAACCTTCAACCTACTGCACTTGAACCTTCAACCTACTGCACTTGAACCTTCAACCTACTGCACTTGAACCTTCGACCTACTGCACTTGAACCTTCAACCTACTGCACTTGAACCTTCAACCTACTGCACTTGAACCTTCAACCTACTGCACTTCTCGAAATCAAAATATTTCACAACTTCACCTTTGCACAGGTTTAAAGATCGCAAAGAGATAAGCTGCTGCAGTAATGGAACACTCTGAGTAGGGTAGGGGTCTCACTCTGCGGTGATTTACTTCAACTCTCATTCCCCTTCCTCCTTACGACCCTTCCCATTCCCCTGCTGACTCCCTTCCCACACCCCAATACCCATCTAAATGCCCACACTCTCTGCGAGCATTCTTCCTTTCTCTCCAACCTTCCCCCAATAGCACCGCTTCCAACCCCACCCCAGCGCTTCAAGTTTCAACAATACTCACTCAAACCGAATCACTTTAGGACGACTCAAGGCCTTCCATCCTTCCCCACTACTCCCACAACACTTGCAACTCGACTTTCGAGTCGACTCAACTAACTGCATCCCTATCACCCTTCGCACCTTTCTTTTCCACCACCCCCCACCCCTCCCCACCCCTCCCCACCCACCCTCCCAGTTCTTCCCTGCCACCCCTACAAGTATCCCCCCGTTGTGCACTCACCACTCTACCCCTCTACCACACTATACTATCCCCACCACCCCCACCACCCCCACCACCTCCCGCACCGCCCACCACCACCCACCATCCCTCACCATTTCCCACCATCCCCTCCTTCCCCCCCCCCTGCACCACCTGTCGCAGCGCTCTCAGTCGTTGCAAAGACTCGTCCTCCTCCTCTTCCACCTCCCCTTCTCCCGATCCCCCACTACCCGCCACTACCCCTCACCACTCCCCCACCTCCCCCCACCACCTGCCGCAGCGCTCTCAGTCGTTGCAAAGACTCGTCCTCCTCCTCCGCCCCTTCCCCCGCCGACACCACCGTGATGACGTCAGCCCCGCCGGCCTGAAGCGCGTGACGTGGGACGCGCGGAGGAGGCGGGGGGGCCCGGGGAGGGGGAAGGAGGAGGGGGAAGGGGGGTTGGGGGGGGGGGGAGGGGAGGAGGGAACAGGGGGTGACGGGGGCAGTGGGAAGAGGAGAATGGAAACCAGGGTTGGCGGGAGGGCGAGTAAGTGGGGTACCAGATGGGGAGGTGGAGAGGAAGCGGGGACCGGGGGAGGGGGAAGGAGGGAGGGGTGGTGGGAGGGGAAGGGAGCAGGGAGACAAGGAGTCGGGGCGAATCTCAAAAGCGACAAGATGGAGGCGAAGGTCAGCGAATCGCCTCGACTCACCTTGAATCGCCTCGCGTCACCTCATTAGGCGCATAGAGGAGGAGACTAGAGACGGCATGTTTCTACTTTCTGGAAACTCGAGCAGCTCAGGTTCAGGCGACGCGCTCTTATAAGCTATCCACATAACTGCGTATAAATGCGTGACGCAGCAGGCGCATGCTTCCATTAGCACGTGACTCTAAAAGTGCGTGATTTGACTGAGAATTTAGGGACTCGCCTGGCGAACGCGGCTTGCAGCAGCTCCCATGGAAGTCGACGAGGAGCGGCGAGATAAGGGTGTCTAAATTAGACGTCTCGTGAAATTTGAAAATAAAGACCGAGTCCAAGTGACATTAGTTCGCGAGAATCATGAGAACAAAAGCACCTAGATGTTGCCGTTCGAGCTTTCACCGCACTATACCACTCCCCCTCACTGCAAACCGCTTCTCATTTTGTTCAGATGCTGAGTAAAAAACTGGCGCCGTTTGCTTTACAAGGACTCGGTATCCGAAAGTTGTAGTATTATATAATCATATGACCGCAATACAAAAAGTAGATACTTGCATTGCATATTACGCAATTCTAGAATAGCATGCTACATAACATAGAAGTTATGGGCCGGTATATATTGGGAGACTACTAGTCCCTTATTCTGCTCTTGTACTTGCTCGTTGGCTACCTGAGTTGGCTAGTCTCGGTTGGCCAGTAAGTGCAGCAACATCAGCGCACCCTCACTTGAGCTTTCAACCCCTTGGCACATTCCTTCTGGACGCTGCTCCCAAAATATAGTATTTTTCCGCGCTCTGATTTTTGAACCCAGTACACATCCAAACCAAAGAACCGCCTCGGCCCCACCGGGTCTGCTCTGGAGAAATCGCAGCTGTCAAACGCCTGCTTGTTTGGGAACTGCTGCACATCTCTCATCTGGCCGAACCAGCGGAACACTGAAAGGAACACAAGGTGGGGTTTGGGTTTGGGATGAGAAATGAGGGCTTTGGGAGAGTGGGATTTGGTAGCGGGGTAAGGGATGACGGAAACGGGGGATATGGACGGGTGGGAGTTGAGAGGGTGGCAGGGAGAGGGGAGAGGGGGAAAGTGGGGGAGATGAAATAGGAAGACGGGGGTGAGCAGGAGTGATGGGAGGGGTTGGGTGAAGCGGGGGGGAGCGGAAACAGTACGGAAAGCACGGGTGGAAGGGAGGGCGGAAAGAAGGGGTTGGGGGAAAGGGATGTGAAACGGGGTGGTTTGCAATGGCACAAGGTGAAGCAGCGGCTGAGAGGGGGCATTCAAACGCAGCAGTCTTTGTTGGATGTAGAGATGTGTATGAGTAAAGACTCGCTGTTGATTCTCATTGACTTCTCGTTGACCCCAATGACTCATCGTTGACTCCCATTGACGCATTGTTGCCTTCTGTCAAGTCATCGCTGACTCCCGTTAACTCATGTTGACTCACGTTGACTCATATGTGACTGAGCGACCTCACAAACAAATCCTCCAATCATCACTTCTCTAGTTCCCAGGCGAGCCTCCCCCGTTCCTCCTTCCTCCACGGGATCCACGACGCACGAACCCAGCTTCAGACCACCCATAATCGCCCTCATTGACTGCCGTTGACTCTCGTTGACTCACAGAGGAAATCTCCCGGTCGCACGGCGGGCATCTTCAAGTCGAGCAGCCCCTTGCTCCACGGGTTCACGTTCGACCGACCCGACTCCAGGCCTATCACCACCACTCGAGGCTGGAGAAGTAGAGGCGGGGAGAGTAGTGGAGACAATCGGATATTAGAGGAGAGAAATGGAGAGGGGGCCGGAGCGAGGCGGGGTTGAGGTGGTGGTGGAGACTTGGCTGGGTTCTAAGGTTTGGCGGATTGGCTGAGCTGCTTGTGACAGACGATGAGCTTCTCACAGGAGATACACAGTTCAATCGGAAACAAATGCAAGCAAAGGCGAATGCATGCGGGTAAGAGAGTCCAGACAGGTCCTCTGCACCCCAGCTGGCAGAAGCCGGAGAAGCTTTTGAGACTCCTCAAAACAAGGACAAGGACTGCTGCAGCCCAACTGACGGAAATTAAGCAAGTATTCTAAGAGATTTCCGACAGCAGCGCGTTGAAGAAGTTTTTCTTACCAATGCTTCTGTGACGCCTGATGACCCGCAGAGAACGAGAAGCGCGCCGAGTAGACCGCCCAATTATCGTAGAGCGGTTGGGAGAGGTTCAAGTGTTCGACGATGCGGAAGGCGATGATGGTTCAGCAATGGCCCGGGGATGGTTCGGCGACGCGCGGAGGCGAGTTTCATGTGAGGATGGGAGGAGAGGGGGATGCGAGTGGAAGAAGCGAGGTAAAAAAGAATGAGAGGTAAGGAGACGAGAGACAAGGGGAATGACAGCTCCAAAGAGGAGCACTGGAAAAAGGAACGAACAGAAGCACCTTCTTTTTTTACAAAGAAGTCGCAAAGATTTAGAAGATTGGGGACATAGGGGGAAAGCAACTGAGGGTTGACGAGTTGAGGAGGTAACGGCTGAGAAGCTGAGTTTTGACTATTTTTTAAAGGCTGCTGGTGAGTCAACTCAAACGAAATTTCGGTTGCAGAGCCCGCTACATTTAGCCTTTTACCGGCCGTGACAAGTAGCAGAAGCAGGACCGAAGAAACGAACAGCTTTCCCGAAGCTCCTCCTTCGCTGCCTTTCCAAAGAAGATGCATCGCGAAGAATGTTGTGTATTATGAAACCTCCACTCGTTTGGTCCCAGCGCAGTAAACGAGGCGTTCCTTATTGGCGTTTTCTTTGTTTCCGCAACGTAAACGAGGCACGACGTTCAGCGCAGTAAGCTCCCCACTGATTTCTTTCTGAGTCGCTTTCTAGCAAAAGGGAAGGGAAAACGAGAGGGGAAGGCGTGCTATGGTCTGGATGCAAGCGTCGCGCAACTGCACGTGTATACGGTAAGATCGCCGAGCCGAGGGTCTAACTAGCAACAGATTCACTGCTGCCGCCGATCGGTGAGGGACGACGGCATGGGTGGTCGCTGTAAGTTCTTTGCTGGACCAAAACTCGACCGCTGGCGGGGGAATATGCACAGATAATTTCGCGGGTACCAACTTGCAAGTAGGAAAAGACATGTTCCGTGGATTCCAATTTTGATGCTCGATGGAGGTTGTGGGGCGGCTCGATTTGGTCGAACCGCCTTGGCTTGCCTCTGTTTTTCTCAGGATGTTTGACCGTTGATGCATCAATGCACTTCACGAATCTCCGCTGTTGTGTGAGCCAACGAGTTGTAAATGCGTAATGTAAATTAGTTAGGATGATACATGGGAGCCTCATATTTTTGCAAACAATAGCACACATATATTTCTTAGATAAATCTAAAAAAACTATGAGAAATTCGAATAATGCTTAACCTCTTTCAAAAAGCTTACCCATTTTGGGATTTTAGAAAGCCTAACCAGGGCATTGGTAACGAGGTGTATAATCTTCTTAAATTCTGGTGTGATTGTACCGAGGTTGAGGTTGGGTGGAAATGTAGGTGCATCCTTTCCATCGCAATCTTGCCGTCTCGTTATAACCAGAAATGGCGGTCAGTAGCAGCGGAAATGCCGGTGTGCTTGTGCTGCTTCGCCAAGTATCGAGATTGCGACTTTCGTTCAATATTTGACGTGAAGCTAGAATGTTGAAGTATCCCGAGCTAATGCCGACAACCAGCCATTTCCGCATTTTTACGAATGGATAGAATAGCTGTCTGCAAAAGTTGGCATTGCTAACTGTCGCTTCGAGATTCGTATCTTCTACTTGTCAGTTTCCCGGAGCAATCACACAAATCTCCGCATTTCAGGCATTCGTTTCGTTTTTACAACCGCTAGCTCGTTCGCTTAGGCATGACCTGACTGATACAAGCGGCACTGCCAGTGTACCGTTTCCAGAGTTATTCATCAGTTGACCATTCGCGCATTGCATCCCCAATGTCGTTCTCCTTAACCTCCTTCCTCTACGGCCCGAACCTGTTCCCTTGTCCTTAGTCGGCATAGGGCATTATCCTTCTCGTCAAACTAAGTTCAGGAACATACACATTCCTTTCTTTCATGATTACGGTTACATATTCGTTCGTAATTGCGCTTCTTCCATTCCCTACGACATAGTCCACCATGTCGTCACCGCCAGCCATTCGATTCGCGGCCCGTCGCTTCCAAATCGCCTTTCTCCTACCTCTCCTTCTCACCGTCGCTACAGCCGCCTCTCACGTCTCGCAACGTCTAGTAGATTCCTATAACGGGGGATGGGAAGGAGAACTAGGGTTACCAGATGCAGGAGGTGTACTAGCGGATGATTCTGCGTTTCAGGTGTCGTCTAACGGCGTGACTCGCGCCGTGTTTCACGGCCGGCGCGCGCTGCTGCAAGCGCCGGCACCGGCCTCAGAGCCTCCGCTCTCCGATACCGCGGATCCCTCCGCCTCCGCTCCCGCATCCTCCGCGCCCTTAACCCCTGCTTCCGCTCCCGCTTCCGCCTCTCCTTCCGCTCCCCCTTCCGCCTCCCCAGCTGCTCCGCCTTCCGCCTCCCCTTCCGCTCCTTCTGCCCAGCCCTCCTCCCCATCCCCTGGGGGGGCATCAAGCGGGACCCCCCTAACGACCCCCGCGGCTCCCACTCCCCCGTCTGGCGCAGGCGGGGGGAACGGGGGGAATGTGGGGGATGGGGGGGCAACGTTCGACATGCCGGGACCTGTGTGCGAGGGGCAGTGCTGCTCCAATGCGGCCCCGATAATCCCGGACGGGATGCCCAAGATGACGTCATCGTGGCTCAGCAGCCAGCTGGCGCACGGCGCTAAGGTGTGTGGGGAGTGAGGGGAGAGGGGGAATGGGGGCGAGAGGGAAGAGCGGGAATGGGAGAGAGAGGAAAGACTGGGAGAGAGGGAATTGGGGAATAAGAAAAGAGTTTCAGTTGGAAAGTAGAGAAGAGGGTGAATGAAAAGGGAGGGAAGATGTGAATGGGAAAGGAGGGGAAAGAGGATGAGTGGGTGATAAAGGAAACAGGGTAAATCGGGGAGGACAGTGCGAGGGCAAGTGGAGTGTGGAGGAGAGAGAAGAAGGTATACGGAGGGTGAGTGGATAGAAGGGATAAGAATCTTGTGGTTCATTACCCTGTGTCACACAAGGCCACATTACCCTGTGTCACACAAGGCCACATTACCCTGTGTCGCACAAGGCCACATTACCCTGTGTCACACAAGGCCACATTACCCTGTGTCACACAAGGCCACATTACCCTGTGTCACACAAGGCCACATTACCCTGTGTCGCACAAGGCCACATTACCCTGTGTCACACAAGGCCACATTACCCTGTGTCGCACAAGGCCACATTACCCTGTGTCGCACAAGGCCACATTACCCTGTGTCACACAAGGCCACATTACCCTGTGTCACACAAGGCCACATTACCCTGTGTCGCACAAGGCCACATTACCCTGTGTCACACAAGGCCACATTACCCTGTGTCGCACAAGGCCACATTACCCTGTGTCGCACAAGGCCACATTACCCTGTGTCGCACAAGGCCACATTACCCTGTGTCACACAAGGCCACATTACCTTGTGGTTCATGTCTCGGTTGGTTGGTTCGTGTAGGGTGGACCAAATGACCACCTCTCCTCCCACACTCTCTTTGCTCCCCTTCCTCCCACTGCCCACCACCCCGTCACACTTCTCCCCCCCCTCAGATCCACGTGCCACACCAGGGCCATGTTTTGAGTCCACTCAAAACACGACCCAATCCACGTGCGCCACCAGGGCCGCAGCTTCTGGTGGCGAGCTGCACATGAATCGACCAAACACAGGCCTCCTCCCTCCCCCCCGCTCACCCCACCTCGTCCGATCCCCCCCCGCCCTCCTTCCCCCCAGATCCACGTGCGGCATCAGAGCAGCGGCTTCTGGTGGCGAGCAGCAGTTGAGTCGAGTCGTCCCAACGCAACGCTTTTCCAAGTCTCCCTGCCTCACTCCTCCGTTTTACCCCCCCAGATCCACGTGCGGCATCAGAACAGCGGCTTCTGGTGGCGAGCGGCGGATGGGAAGACGTGGAGTGGCAGTGTGGCGACCAGCAGCGACTTTGACCAGCCGGACGTGTCCCAGGCGCTCACTGTCATTCGTGTCAGCGCCACCACGGTGAGTCTGGGCATGTGCATGTGCATGTTTTTGCCTGTGGGAGAGGGAGTTATGGAAGGGGATGAGGGAGAGATCATCGTGGAGTGGCAGTGTGGCGACCAGCTGCGAATTTGACCAGCCAGACGTCTCCCAGGCGCTCACTGTCATTCGCGTCAGCGCCACCACGGTGCATGTCGTGTGTGTTTCTGTGTGTGTGTCTGTGTGTGTGGATGGGAGAGGAGGGTGGGATGGGGCGGTAGTGTGTCTCAGGCGCTCACTGCCGTCATGGTGCGATCATGGGCGTATGGTCATTTCTGCATGTGTGTGTGTGGGTGGGAGAGGGGGGTGTGATGGGGCGGCAGTGTGTCTCATCTCAGGCACTCACTGCTATTCACGCCATCACCGCCATGCCATGGTACGTCCTTAGTGGGAAAGACTCCTAAGTGGTGCCTTTCTCTTTCCCATGGTCCGTCCGTTTCCCCCCCACTCCCCACTCCACCGCTCCCAACCCAACTATCTCTCTGTGCATCTCTTTGGAGTGATACACTCCTCTGTCTAGCACTCCTCCTCTTCCCCCTCTTTTCCCACCCCTTCACAAACCAAGCTGCAGACGCCCAGTGCAGCAGCGTGTTCCCTGTTCAAGTCCCCTACAGTATTTGAAGAAGTGTTTTGAGACGTCTCAAAACACTTCTGCAGACGCCCAGTGCAGCAGCGTGGTCCTGTTCAAGTCCCCTCCAGTATCCAACTCTCCTCTCTCTTACCCTTTTCCTCTCCTCTCTTCCTCCGCTGCCCCTCCTTCCAACCAACCCCCCTCCCCAGATCCAGCTCCAAACTCCCAGCAGCACGTGCCACGTTTGTACAAGGCCCGGCCCCGCCTCTGTCTCTAACGTGCCACGTTTGTACAAGGCCCGGCCCCGCCTCTGTCTCTAACGTGCCACGTTTGTACAAGGCCCGGCCCCGCCTCTGTCTCTAACGTGCCACGTTTGTACAAGGCCCGGCCCCGCCTCTGTCTCTAACGTGCCACGTTTGTACAAGGCCCGGCCCCGCCTCTGTCTCTAACGTGCCACGTTTGTACAAGGCCCGGCCCCGCCCATATCCATCTCAAACGGTCCATCTCTCTGTCTCTGTGACCCCTTTCCTCTCCCATCCTCTCCTTTCCTCTCCCATCCGCCTCTCTCTCTCTCTCTCTCTCTCCCCCTCCACCGTCCCTCCCATCACCCACTCCCCACCAGATCAAGCTGCAGACCCCCTGCAGCACGTTCCTGTGCAAGGCGCCTCCCTCCCGGCCAACTGACTTTTGAGTCGACTCAAAACACGTTCCTGTGCAAGGCGCCTCCCTCCCGGCCAACGCGTTGTACCCGAGAGGCATTCTCGCCACCACTGCCCACGCCACCGACCCCCTCGCCACCTTGACACACGCATCAGCCACTCCCATTTCCCTCATCCATCCACCCCCCTCTGTCCCTCTGCCTTCCCGCCTGTCTTCCCCTGTCTTCTCTCGTCCTGCTCTCTCTCCCAACCCAACCCCCCCTCCCCCTCTCCAGATCAAGCTACAGACCCCCAGCAGCACGTTTCTGTGCAAGGCGCCGCCCTCCCCGGCCAACGCCTCATATCCAAGAGGCATTCTTGCCACCACTGCCGACGCTACAGACCCCCTCGCCACCTTCACCATCATCCCCATCCCCAACTCGCGCAGAGGCAGCAGCAGCACCATTGATGCTGCTGCTGCTACAGGCACTGACAGCAGCAATAGCAGCAGCAGCAGCAGCACTGGCAGCAGCGGTAACACCAGCAGCACCAGTGGAAGTGATTATCTAGGGTTAATTGCCCTGGCGAGTGCGGACGGGTATTACCTGTCCATGGGGGAGGTGGCTCCTGAGTTTGTTGATGTGGTAACCACGGGGGATCCGGCAGCGGGAGCGGGTGGCGACGAGTGGCTGGATGTGCGCGAGGTGATGACGGTGCCTGCCATCCGCGGCGTGAATTTGGGCGGCTGGCTGGTCGGCGAGGAGTGGATGAACCCGAAAACGTTTCAGTACATGGCGTGGGGGGATGGCACGCGGGTGAGTGAACTTGCGATGTGTGGGGCGGGGCGCCTAAAAAACTGTACATGGAGTGGGGGGATGGCACCCGGGTGAGTAGTGAGTAGTAGTAGGTTCTAGTTGCTGTGAGGTGCGTGAGGAGGTTTGAGTCTCTGAGTCGACTCAAAAGTCATCTCGGCTGGTTGTTGGGCGAGGAGTGGATGAACCTGAAGGCGTTTGAGTGATTGGCGTGGGGGAATGGCACTCTCGGGTGAGTAGTGAGAAATAGTAGGTTCTAGTCGCTGTGAGGTGCGTGAGTGTTGAGTGTTTGAGTCGACTCAAAAGTCACCGTCGCTGGCTGGTGGGCAAGGAGTGGATGAACCCAAAGGCGTTTTAGTATACGGCATGGGGGGATGGCACTCGGGTGAGTAAGGGCGTATCCATGTTCGGGTCATGAGCACTGTTCTGGCTACTGTTTGGGTCATGCGGAATTTGCGCATGACCCGAAGTGGGCTGCCTAGCCGCGCGCGGCCCCAGCTTTGGGTCAATGTGCAGGTGTTGGGCGACTGACGTGCACGACCCACCACCAACCAATCACCTGGCTGCACGATTCTGTATTTACTGCAATTTTTTGGCGGTCGTCAGTCGAGTGTCACAAGTGGGCAATGTCCCACGTCTTACACCTCTGCACCCAACCACTCGGCAAACTGACCCCATTGACCATGAGTGTGTCTAAAATTTCCCGTGTCTCGCTCCCAACATTTGGGGATTCACGCCGGGAATTTTTTCGGTGGGTTTCTCGTGGTTTCGCGTGGGTCTTGCTAAGGATCTTTCGAACTGTTCTGGCATCCCTTCATTGGATGCGACTGTTGTGGGGAGTGTGATTTTGGCGCGAAAACCTTCGCAGCTCTTTGGGGGTCGCATGAGTTCGGAGGACTCAAAGTGGCGTTTTATGTTGTTTGGGTCATCCGCAAATCGCGGATGTCCGGAACAGTGCTCATGACCCGAACATGGATACGCCCTAAGTTTTCTTCTGAGACGCTTCAATCTTTTGTTGGAGTAAGCGGAGCTGCAGGCAGGGTTTTGAGACGTCTGAAAACACTTCTTCATAAGCGGTGCTGCAGGCAGGGCCATGGAAATCGGGTCTAATTTTAAGTCGACTCAAAATATTTTGCTGGAGTAAGCGGTGCTGCAGGCAGACCCATGGAAATCGGGTGAGGTGAATAGCTGCGATGACAGATGTGATGGGTCGCTGTGATGAGTCGCTGTGATGAGTCGCTGTGATGACATGAAGGTGCAGTGAGTGGGCTTTGAGATGCCTCGAATCACTGTAACTAGTAGCGTGGGCTGGGTTATTGAGTCGACTAAAAAAGGCAGCTTCAAGGCGCCTCAAAGGGCCACATCAGCGCAATCAGCACAGGGGCAGAGAGAACCCTGTCTGTACATTCGCACCCTTTCGGATTTGAACCGCCCCCACCCCCATTCCGTGCCTCGTCATCCCCTCTGTGTGTTCTCCTCCCCGCAGGTTACATTCCAGTCAACACCCACAGACATGTACAGCAGTGCAGTCAGCACAGGCAGAGAACCCAACTGTCTGTTCATTCGCACCCTTTCACTCCCTCCCATTCCATGTCCCCGCGCCCACCCCCCAGGTGACATTCCAGTCCACCACCACAGACATGCACAGCAGTGTGTTGTGCACACAGATAGGTTCACTCAGACATGCACAGCAGTGCAGTCAGCACAGGCACAGAGAACCTATCTGGGTGTTCATTCACTCACACCCATTCCATGTCCCCGCGCCCGCCCGCAGGTGACATTCCAGTCCACCACCACAGACATGCACGTCAGTGCAGTGCAGTCAGCACAGGCAGGGCAGTGAACCCATCTGCCAGCTCATTCATTCGCACCCTTCCACTCACTCCCATTCGGTTGCTCATGATTCCCCCTGTGTGCCCTCCTCCCCGCAGGTCACATTCCAGTCCACCACCACGGACATGTACATCAGTGCAGTCAGTCAGCACAGGGTCAGAAAGTTCATCTCTCAGCTCATTCACACCCTTCCATTCACTTCCACTCCATGCCCCCCCCCCATCGCCCCCCAGGTCACATTCCAGTCCACCACCACGGACATGTACATCAGTGCAGTCAGCATGGGTGCAGATGCTAAGGTACGTTCTCCGTTCAAAGGCGACTTCTGAGGTGCCTAAAAAGCTGGTGCCGAGGGTATTTAGCCGTTCACTTTTGAGACGCCACGCCTCACAAACAAAACGAAGGGACCACTGTAGGGTTTCGCACCACCGCCATGCTGCTGTTATCAGTCGTGTTTTGAGTCGACTCAAAGCACGACTCGTTTCGCACAGCCTTGCTGTTATCAGTGCAGACATTCTGATTCATTCGTTTCCCTTCTGTCTCTGTTTCATGACATTCCCCGTACCGTATCCCCCATACCGTGCTCATTTGGTATCAGCACGTCTGATGATCCGATCCCTCACCAATCATCTGTCCTCCTTTCACAAATCCCTCATCCCCCTTTCCCCGTCCCTCTTCCCTCCTCATCCCTCTTTCCCCATCCCTCTTTCCTCCTCATCCCTCCTCACCCCCTTACCATATGTCGTTATTTCATTCTGCCGTTCTATCTCTCCCCAACCCCCGGCCCATCCCCACACGAACACCCCTCCCTCGTGTCGCCAGCTGGAGTGTAACGCGGCGGCGGTAACCATGTTACAATACTTCCAGCTACTCACCGTGCCAGGCGCTGCAGAGAACGTCCGCCAGGTGGGTGGGTGGGCTCTCTGTTGCTTTCAGGTGGGCTCTCTGTTGCTTTCAGGTGGGCGCTCTGTTGCCTTCAGGTGGGATCTTTGTTGCCTTCAGGTGGAATGCTTGTTGCCTTCAGGTGGGATCTCTGTTGCCTACAGGTGGGGATGATTTATACCTTGGAATGGGCTCTCTGTTAAAAAAAGGCGAGTTCTCTGTTGCGGTCAGGTGGGTGGATCACACACCCACCACACCATCACGAGCGGTGGGGCAGATGGGGCACACTACTCTCCTCACCACACTACTCTCCTCACCACACTACTCACCTCACCACACTACTCACCTCACCACACTACTCACCTCACCACACTACTCACCTCACCACACTACTCACCTCACCACACTACTCACCTCACCACACTACTCACCTCACCACACTACTCACCTCACCACACTACTCACCTCACCACACTACTCACCTCACCACACTACTCACCTCACCACACTACTCACCTCACCACACTACTCACCTCACCACACTACTCACCTCACCACACTACTCACCTCACCACACTACTCACCTCACCACACTACTCACCTCACCACACTACTCACCTCACCACACTACTCACCTCACCACACTACTCACCTCACCACACTACTCACCTCACCACACTACTCACCTCACCACACTACTCACCTCACCACACTACTCACCTCACCACACTACTCACCTCACCACACTACTCACCTCACCACACTACTCACCTCACCACACTACTCACCTCACCACACTACTCACCTCACCACACTACTCACCTCACCACACTACTCACCTCACCACACTACTCACCTCACCACACTACTCACCTCACCACACTACTCACCTCACCACACTGCTCACCTCACCACACTACTCACCTCACCACACTACTCACCTCACCACACTACTCACCTCACCACACTACTCACCTCACCACACTACTCACCTCACCACACTACTCACCTCACCACACTGCTCACCTCACCGCACTACTGGGGCGTGTATGCCAGCACTACCACCGCCATGCAAGCTCCCATCCACCAATGTTCGCTCATCCCTCATGCAGCAGCAGCAATCTCTTCTCCTACCATTCTGCTCCCACCTCTCCACGCACACACACACACACCATCACAGGTGGTGGGCAGATGGGGCAGTACTGGGGCGCCACCACTTTGTGGACCAGGGACAACGAGTCGCAGGGCGGCAGAAGTTTTTATTTTGGCTCAAATTTTCTCGGTTCTTGCTCCCTTCCTCCCTGCACGGACACCTATCCACTACAGGTGGTGGGGCAGATGGGGCAGTACTGGGGCGTGTATACCGGCGTCACCACAGTCTGGACGAGGGACAATGAGCCTCAGGGTGGCAGCAACGCCTTCACACTCTCTCTTGCCCCTTCATTCGTGCACTCTTCCCACCCATCCACTGCAGGTGGTGGGGCAGATGGGGCAGTACTGGGGCGTGTATACCGGCGCCACCACTTTGTGGACCAGGGACAACGAGTCACAGGGCAGCAACACTACTTTCTCCTGTCTCTAATTTCCCCTCCATTTGTGCTCCCCCCCCCCACCACCCCAACTCACACATGACTGCAGGTGGTGGGGCAGATGGGGCAGTACTGGGGCGTGTGAGCCTGTGCCACCACCGTGTCAACTCACATTCACTGATGTTCAATTCTCATGCACACATCCACGCCCATTCTTGCTCCCACTCTCCCCACGCACACGCATCACAGGTGGTGGGGCAGATGGGGCAGTACTGGGGCGTCTACACAGGCGCTACTACAGTGTGGACAAGAGACAACGAGGCAGCAGCAGTCTCTACCTTCACTCACTTGCCCCTTACTATTGTGCTCTCACCCCCAACATCACAGGTGGTGGGGCAGATGGGGCAGTACTGGGGCGTCTACACAGGCGCTACTACAGTGTGGACAAGAGACAACGAGGCGCAGGGAAGCAGCAATGCCTTCACACTGCTGCTGCTGGGGGCGCAGCTGACCAGAGACATTCCCATGAACGACTCGCTCCGAGTTATGATCCAGGCTCCCAACGGGCAGCTGCTGCAGGTATGTGTGTGCGTGTGTGTGTGGCCTTTAGGTAGGTATAGTGCGCTGCAACAGCAGCTGCTGGGGGCACTGCTGACCAGAGACATTCCTATGAACGACTCCCTGCAAGTCATGATCCAAGCTCGCTCTCAACGGCCAGCTGCTGCAGGTATGTGTGTGGAGTGCAGGTATGTGTGGAGTGCAGGTATGTGTGTGGAGTGCAGGTATGTGTGTGGAGTGCAGGTATGTGTGTGGAGTGCAGGTATGGCTTCTGCTTGTGTGTTTGTTGCGGGCCCTCCCACTCTTCCTTGCTTCCCTTCTGCTGCTGGGGGCCCTCCCACTTTTTGAGAATTCTCAAAAAACACGCGCTGGGGGCGCAGCTCACCAGGGACAGGTTTTTGAGACGTCTCAAAACGTCTCCAAACGTCTCAAAACGTCTCAAAACACTGCTGTGGGGGCGCGCAGCTCACCAGGGACAGACACGCCCATGAACGTCTCTCTGAGAGTCATGACCCAAGCTTCCAACGGCCAGCTGCTGCAGGTATGGTGGCTGGCTGTGGGGTTTAGGGTTTCAATGCAGAACACTTCAGACTCAAAGGGGATGGTTTTCTTTGCTATGAATACTTAACATGGAGACACGTGTAAAAAGTGTATTTTTGAGATGTCTCAAAAATACACATTTTACAAAGGGGATGGTTTTCTTCACTAAGAAAACTTAACATGGAGACTCAACGTGGGGATTCCTGTTTGCTCCTCCTCCTGTCTGTCTCCGCCTCTCCCACTTCCCTCCTCCCATGCACACGAGGACGGCACCCTAACAGGCGACCACAGCGACAGCGAGGTGACTTTTGGGTCGACTCAAAAGTCACCTCCTCCCATGCACACGACACGAGGACGGCACCCTAATAGGCGACCACAGTGCCAACACCACCAACCAACGAAACCCGAAGTTTGGATTCTTGCCTCGTCTCTCCTCCCTTCCCATCTTGGCCTCTCTAAACCCCCTCCTCCCCTCTCCTCCCCCCTCCTCCCCCCAGGCGCACGAGGACGGCACCCTAACAGCCGACTACAGCGCCAATGCTCCCTTAACTCTCCCTCCTTTCCCCTCTTTCCCCCTTCTCCTCCCCTCTCACCCCCCAGGCGCACGAGGACGGCACCCTGACAGCCGACTACAGCGCCAATGCCACCAATGAGACGCTCTGGTCGGGGCCGGCTGTGTTCTTCATGGACCTGGTGAGGGGCGGAGAGAGGTAGAGAGAGGTGCTGGCAGAGAGGTAGAGAGGGGCAATGAGACGCTCTGGTCAGGGCCGGCTGTGTTTTTCATGGACCTGGTGAGAAGGAGTGACCGGCAAAGAGAGGCACAGGGAGGTAGATAGAGACAGGTAGAGCGAGCGAGGCAGAGAGGAGCTGAAAGAAGCTCTGACCGGAGCCGGCTGTTTTTTTATGGATCTGGTGAGGGAGAGACGGAGAGGGGTAAAGTGGGGTAGAGAGGGGTAATGAGGGGTAGAGATGGGCAGAGCAGAGAGGGGCAGAGAGGGGCAGAGAGGGGCAGAGAGGGGCAGAGAGGGGCAGAGAGGGGCAGAGAGGGGCAGAGAGGGGGAGAGAGGGAGAGAGAGGGGAAGAGGGAGAGAGAGTGGGAGAGAGGGGGAGAGAGGGGGAGAGAGAGAGGGGCAGGCAGGCAGACGCTTTTGATCAGGGCCAGGTGTGTTTGTCGTGGACCTGACGAGGAGGGAGAGAGGCTCGTGCTTTGTGCCTGACACTGGCTCACACTGGCTCACACTGGCTCACACTGGCTCACACTGGATCACACGGGGTGAGTTACATAAAATAGAGCCCCATGGGCTGTCTTATCTCAACTAGGGCGTCCTAAAGGTGGCCGATCTCGTTTTCATAAAAGTGTACAACCTACGAAATCTGCTCGTGAAAAACACGAGATGTGCCCTCGAAACACACGCTGTTCTTGTGCTCTCCCTCCCCTACCCCTCTCTCGCGCCCAGGTGAGCACAGTGCGGGGTGACTGGCAAGCAGCATACACAGCCGGCCCAGAGCAGGCATCAACTCTCTTCGATTCAGTGCACTCAAAGCTGATAACAGAGCTGGACTGGCAGGACATGAAGGCGAGGGGGGTGAACACCGTGCGCATCCCCATCCCCTACTGGATCGCCCAGGAGGACCCCTCCTTCGCCTTCTCCTCCCCTGCTGATACCGGCAGCAACAGCAGCGGCAACAGCACCAGCAGCAATGGTAGCAGCAGCACTCCCGCTGCTACTCCTGGAACGCCCGAGTTTCCCTACCCGCCGGGTGCTCTGGCGCATTTAGACTGGGCGTTTGAGATGGCGGCGAAGTATGGGCTGAGGGTCTGGCTGAGTGTGCATGTGGCTCCTGGGTCGCAGATCGGAGCGGCGTTTTCGAGAGACGGGTTGATCCGATGGTCCAAATTGAATGTTGACCACACGCTCGATTTCGTCCGCTGGATTGGTGACAGGTTCGGAGGGAATCCGAGCCTGTTTGGCGTGGGGCTGCTGCATGAGCCTGTCGCCCCGTCGTACTATGGAGTATTGGGTGTAGACGGGGACGAGCTGCGGGAATACTACAGGAAAGCGCATGACCTTATAAGGGAGCGGTGCACGTGCTGCTTCGTGTCGATCGAGGGGCGTGTGGGGAAGAGCATGTGGGACGTGGCGTTTCACATGCTTGACACGTGGCACCCCAATGTGCTGTATGAAACGCATCTGTATAATATGCTGGCGGGCGTCCCGATGGCTACCAGGAAGCTTCCTCAGCTGGTGGAGTTGGAGATAGGGGAGGAGCGGAGCAACAGGCCGACGCTTCTGGACAGCGCACAGAGCGTGAGTGTGGTGGTGCTGGTTGTGATTATGGTGGCGGCTCCAAACTCGACCACCAGTATGGTCTCACCTATCTGCAGGATTGATGGTTGTGTTGGATGTGGGTGTGATGGTGGTGACTGCACTGGGTGCGGCAGTGGTGCATGTAATGTGAATACTTTGAGGTGCACTGTGAGTGTGTGGTGGTGTGTATTGGTCTCATGGTACTTGTAACTGGTGAGTGCATCAAATATCAGCAAGTGGTTTGAGCCAAAAGAATCAGGATTCAACACCAACCCCACCTCACGAGCGATTTTTGAGAATTCTCAAAAACCAACCCCACCTCACCCACCTTTCTGCCCCCCACCTTACCCCACAACCCCAAACCCTCACTCCCCTCCTTCCCCCACCCCCTGTCCCCTCTCCCTCCTCGCCCCCCTCCCCCAACTAACCCCCCAAACTCCACCCCTGCAGATAGGCCGACCCATTCTGGTGGGCGAGTTTGGGGTGGCGATGGCGAGTAAGGGCGCCACGGAGGAGCAGCAGAAGCAGTTCACCCTTGCTCAAATGCAGACTCTGATATGCTAGTCATGCTCCCGCCTCCCCCTCCCCATCCCTTCCCGTACCCCCCACCCACCCACCCGTCATCCCACCCTTGCTCCTAACCCCTCCCAGCTTCACTCCCCTCCCGTTTTCCCTCCCCTTCCATCCCGACTCTCACCCCTCCCACCACCCCACCCTGCAGATAGGCCGGCCTATCCTGGTGGGCGAGTTTGGAGCGGCAATGGCGAGTCTGGGCCCCACAGAGGAGCAGCACAAGGAGTTCACCCTCGCTCACATGCAGGCGCTGGGGCATGCAACTCATGCTCCGGTCTCTTGCTCCCCCGTTCCCCTCAGCCTTGTCCTTCCTCCCTCCCGTCATCTATCCTTTCCCTCCTACCCCTTCAACCCCACTCTCCCGCTTCCCCCCCACCTCACCCTGCAGATTGGGCGGCCTATCCTGGTGGGCGAGTTTGGAGTGGCAATGGCAAGCCTGGGTGCCACCAAGGAGCAGCAAGTCTGACTTCACTCTAGCTCACATGCAGGCGCTGGGGCATGCAATGCAACTCATGCTCCCGTCCGCCTCTTCATCGTCCCTTTCCATACCTCACGCCCACCCTCCTGTCAGCTTTCATTTTCTCAGCTCTCGATTTCGCCCCCCCTTCCAACCCCACTCTCCCCTCCCTCCCACGGTGCAGATCGGGCGGCCTATCCTGGTGGGCGAGTTTGGGGTGGCGATGGCGAGTAAGGGCATCACAGAGGAGCAGCAGAAGGAGTTCACCCTCGCTCAGATGCAGGCGCTGGGGCATGCGCAGGCAGGATGGTTCTTCTGGTCCTGGAAACTCAATGTCACGGGTATGTGGGATGAATTGGGCTGTGGAGTCGGATGCAATATGGGAACATGCTTTTACAACGTGCATTGGGATTAGGGCAAGCACATTATTTGTTCTGACATCATGTTCTCACTACTTTTGTGTTCTCGTTTGTTTCTGCAGGCAATGCCAAGTGGCAGTTTCCTCTAAGCATGGCCATGGGTTGGTTACCTAAAAAGGATGATGGTAATTGGTATTAATTGTGGTGCCTATCAGCATGTGATTATGAATAATCACACCTAATTAGTATGCAGTAGCCTGAATTCTTATATACGCAAATACACCTTAATGTCATTTCCGTTTCAGTAGTAGGCCCAATCTTGCCATGAAAGACATGTGGGTCGCCCACCTACGACGAAGTGACTTGGTGCTGTTTGTAGGCCTAGATGCTTCACGGCCTGTCGTCACCACAGGCTCCATTAGTGTCTGACTGATACCATCCTCGTTAGGGTGGTCATCTTTCTATGGGAGTGTTTTTGTTCCACGAGTGTGGTTACAGGTGCGGCTTGACTAGTAGCATGCTGTTTACAACTCTTCTAAACCTCAGAGTAGTGTCGAGACGACACCACCTTCACGAAGAGCCATGGCTTCATGTTTACAGGCACTTGAGAATGTGAGGCTGGAGGCTCACACATGCCAGCTACTACAACACATTTTACACCAGCTAAAGCTTGCTCGAATACATTTCTCCCCATATTTCTTTCGAGAGGGTGGTTGCGAAATTGTCTGGGCTGGTCGGGTTTGCACCAAATGCGGCGAGGGTAGCTGCCAGCCAATGCCAACGCTGCTGGCATCGCTTTGAATACCAAATCTATTCCAGGACAGCCTGGTTTGACTTACGTGAGTTTCCATGTTGCGTACAGTGCGACGTCGCCACAATCTATCGCCACGGACGAATCGTCCCAAACTGGCCCTCCTCAGATGCTTCGCCACAATCCGTCGCCACAATTTCCCCCCACATTCCTTCCCAAAAACCTTTCGTAAAAGCCTTTCGTCAGTTCTTTCGCGACAGTTTCGCCACAATTATTGTTGCTGATTTGAATGTCCTCCTCCGATCGCCTCACGCTCACTGACCTCCCCCGATCACGGCGCTCCCACCCTTGTTATCTGCCTCGACCAGTCAGCTATTGACAGAATAAAACCTCGCTCCCATGTTTCTCATCGGCACTTTCTGAGTCGACAATCCTCCACGTCCCGTTCGCGCTTATCCAGGTTAATCAGTGACATACCTCTCATTTTCAATCGTGGTGCTTTCGCGACTCGACGTTATGGGCAGATTTCCTGCTCAAAATGCGGCGGCAGGCCGCTTACAGCTGATGCTGCGGCTGTTGCTGATCGCCACGGCGCTGTACATCCCGCAGCTTCGTATTGCGGAGGCGGCGTGCACCAAAGTGCGGAACGTGCTCGTCGTCGGCGCGGGCATCTCGGGGGTCTCCGCGGCGCGGCACATCGCCGTCACCAACGGCGAGTGCTTTAAGGTGCGTCAAAGGCGCTTTTCCATTTTTAACTCCGAGAGAATTTCGCGCTTTGTCACCAGTGGCTTCGGCCTCGATTCCCGCCAGGGGATCGGGACGTCGCTCATCTCCGCAAAATGCGGCCGCCAAGAGAGCTGCTTGCAGCACGCCGCGCTCCAAGGCGCGCCGCCCTGTTTCGCGGTCAATGCTTGCGATGGATGTCGATGCAGATGTCGTCGCGTCAGATTCTCGAGATTGCGCGACCCGAAACCACGTGAACGGCGGGCCGCGCGCGTAACGATTCATGACACATGACCCTGGCATATCGCACCGTGACAAAGCCCGCGCTCCGCATCATGAAATTGCTAGTTAATCGGTTTCGCTACCCTCCCTCTCCCCTGCAGGTGACGGTGCTCGAGGCGCGCAACCGCGTTGGCGGGCGCATGTGGAGCCGCACGGAGCCCTCGCCGGCCCCGGGCGTCGGCAGCGGCGGCGTGATTCGCGGCGAGATGGGCGCGCAGTGGATCCAATCAGCGACGGGCAACCCCATCACCGCCATTGCGCGCCGATTCAAGCTCAAGATTGGCGAGCAGAACGGCGAGGAGATCCAGTACCGCGCGGGCGGGAGCGCGTACACTGCATTTCAGCTTAAAGTCGCGTCGGCTAAGTACGACTGGGCGCTGAAGCGCGCCAAGCAGATCGCGAATAATCAAGACAACGACATTTCGATGGAGAAGGCGTTTCGTGCTGCCGGAAACTTCCTGAACCCGTATATTCAGGTCCGTGAACCTTCACATGCGTACATTCGTGAATGACTCTGACTAAATATTATTTTGAGACGTCTGAAAACTCTGGATATGACTAAACTTTCATGCACCGTGACGTTAAGTTGCGCCAAAGTTACACGTGGGACGAAGGAAATCACGGCTCTAACCATGTGGTGTGGGCCCACCATGAGAATGTACCTCTGAACCCACACCCCCGCCCCCAACCCCGCCCTTAACCCCACTCCCACCCCCAATCCCACCCCCATCCCCAGCCCCACTCCTACCCTCAATCCCACTGCCAAGCTTCAGATTCTTTCCCTACAGCAGGCAGTAGCATGTGGCGCAGGACTGTGAGATTGAGTACTCGGGCGAGCTCTCAGCCGTGTGGGCCTGCCCTGAGAATGAACCCCTGAACCTCCATTCCCTTTCCCACCCGCACCTCCACCCTCGAACCCCAAAACTGCTTTCCCTGAAATTCTCACCCTCTCGAGTGGCGGTGGATTTCGAGTTTAAGTATTCGGGCGAGCCGTCATTCGTGCCCTCCTGGTACTACCAGGTCACCTTATCCCCTCCCCCTCCCTCTCCCCCTCCCCCTCCCCCTCCCTCTCCCCCTCCCCCTCCCCCTCCCCCTCCCCCCTCCCCCTCCCCCTCCCCCTCCCCCCCCCCCTCCCCCTCCCCCTCCCCCTCCCCCACTCCCACCCTCTTACCCCATAACCCCTTCCTCTCCTGAAAACCCTGCAGTCGCGCGTGGCGGTGGATTTCGAGTTTGAGTACTCGGGCGAGCTGTCAACGGTGTCGGCGTGGTACTACCAGGACAGCTTATCCACTCCCCCTCCCCCTCCCCCTCCCCCTCCCCCTCCCCCTCCCCCTCCCCCTCCCCCTCCCCCTCCCCCTCCTCCTCCCCCTCCCCCACCCTGCAGTCTCGCGTGGCGGTGGATTTCGAGTTTGAGTATTCGGGCGAGCTGTCAACGGTGTCGTCGTGGTACTACCAGGACGAGGCATTTGACGGGCCCGATCTGGTGGTCACCAACGGCTACGATAACATCCCCAAGCTGCTCATGCAGGTGCGTGGGCCAGTGAGTGTGCGCTGTGAGTGTGTGTGTGGGGGAGTGTATGCATGTATTTGTTTGTGTGTGGGGAAATGTTCAAGGTTTTGACGGTCCGGATCTGATTGGATCTTATCTAATCTGGTGGTCACCTACTGCTACGCTCTATGCTCATGAAAAGCCTCCCCATCACCGAGGTGCTCCTGAAGCTGCGTGGGGGAAGTGTGCATGTGGGATCGTGCATGGGAGCGTGTCTGTGTCTATGTGCTCATCCCTCGCTCACTATCCATCACTGCTGCAGTTCTCAACCCTCACTCTGTACCCACCCACACCTCTCACTACCACTCGCCATCTCCCCTTGAGGAGGCCCACCAACTCCAGAGCGCAACTACTCAAACCTCTCTGTGGGTGCCTCAAACCTCCTCTCACTCTCCTCCCTTCCTCCTGCCCCATCTCCCCCTTCAGGAGCGGTGCGGAACACTGGCAAGGAGAGCACCACCAGCGCCACCCACCCTTGCCACCTGCCTCTAAGTCCCCGTGGATGTTCACTTTCCACCCCATCCCTCCTCGCTTTTCTCCTCCCTTCCCTGCTCCACCCCCTCTGCAGGAGGCCACCAACGCCGGAGCAAAGCTGGTTCTCAACTTTGAAGTCACAGCTATCACGCGGCTGAGCTCAGCGGCAGTGCGTATCACCGGCAAGGACACCGCCACCGGCGCCACCCGCTCCTACTCCGGCGACGCTGCCATCATCACCCTCCCCCTCGGTGTTCTCAAGGCAGGAGTTGTCTCCTTCTCTCCCGCGCTCTCCGCGCGAAAGCAAGGCGCTATAAGGCGCGTCGGGTTTGGGAACGTGAATAAGGTTTTCTTTTTCTACAACACCACGTTTTGGCCGACCTGGGCGGATGAATATTTTATCGAGGATGCGCAGCTTCCGGGAAACCGCGGGCGGTGGGTTGACTGGGTGAATTTGAAGCGAGCGTGGGGTATGACGGCTTTGGAGGGTGTTGCGGTGGGTTCGTATGCGACCCGCATGGCACAGATGAGCGAGGCGCAGTGCATCAGAGATGCAGCAAACAAGATTAAAGCCATGTTTCCAAAGTACAAGACTGCAAAGGCGCACGCGGTGTGGTTGCAGCGGTGGAATTTGGACCCGTATGCGCGAGGTGCATACAGTTATGGAAGGCTGGGGATGAAAGGGGATGGTGACGCTACAGGAGATTTCAACATTCTGGCAGAACCGGAGCAAAATTTCCTATTTGCAGGGGAGCATACGAATGGAGCTTATAGAGCCAGTGTCCATGGAGGGTATTTGTCTGGGATTCGGGAGGCTAAGAGAGTGCTTAGGTCTTACTAGTACGGAATTCGAATGCTCGTTAGTTACCTCGTTTAGGGAGGCATTGCTATAGGCTTAGGGTTAGAAAATCCTTAATATCTCAATGGCTATTTGGAAAGCATAAGAAGTCGAGGATATTCTATCGAGGACCAGCAAGTTGACAGTGGGCTGTCTACTTTAACCAGCAAAGAAGTACTAAAAGACTGGATGCAAAAAGAGTAATTGTCTGATACTTCTGTATTTACAAACCAAACGTTTGGGATGGAACAGTTAGAGCGTACGCGCTGTGGTGCGCGATGGTATTTTATAAATGTTTGGAGGGTGCCGCCGCGACAAAGTGGACGTCGTAGCTATTTGCGGGCGCGACAAACGGTAAATAGTGAATCTAGACAAGTCTTGCGCGACATTTCTAGCTGCCGACATTTCCAAGCCCCGTCACAGCTTTCCCAGCGAACCAATCCCTCACTTGCAACGGCCGACAAACCAGGCGGTAACCTGGCTGGCGCGAGAGGCAGGCGCGAGACCAAGAAGGCGAGTCGCTGAAGATGCATTTTGCAATGAGATGTCGAAGGCGACGCGGACAATAACATTGCACAACTCAAATGCTTTCACTCCCATCCCATTCCAACCATCTCATCCCATCCGACCCCTTGAAATCACATCGCATCCCATTGGAACGAAACCCATATCATCGTATCTTATCCCATCTCATCACTCTCACCTCTCCCTCCCTCCCTCTCATCACACCTCGTGGCTGAATTTTCGTCCACGTGACTACATCACTTCAACAAAAAAACTGGCTTCTTCCACCTTGCCTGCGACAGTTCCTGTGTTCTGGTCGAGTGAGACGTGCCAAGTCGGCGCGCGGAAAAACAAAAACAAATCGCTGCTCGGGATTCTGCACAGCATCTGGACGAAGAAGTCGTCCGAATGCAACAAGGCCCACCATACGCCGCACATCCCAATGAGAAATTCACGGGAACTTTTTCGTGGTGTTCTCCCGACGATCGCGGCGAGCAGCCTGGGCCCGTCCCGTCCCTTTTCAGATCGGCGATCTGCCGCAAGTCCCTTTTCAGATCGACCCTCAAGAGACTTGCTTTTAGCCCGCTAGAACAGACCTTTCAGCGAGGATGTCGGTTTTTGCCTCGCCCGCGACTTATCACTTTTCAATCACGGGCACAGACTACCGTTCGCGTCGTCGCACGGCCCATCGTGTCCCAGAGAACGCAGAGATCCTTATCCCCCTGACCCCAGAAACTGTTGAGGCGCCTCATTACACTTTCACTGCATTCCTGATGCGACTACCTCGCACAACTGACTCGCGTCTATCACTGCTCGGAATTTTTCCTTACTGCTGCTAGTAGTAGCTAACTACAGTTTCGCCTAGTTCCCGCGCGCGGCAGTGGCTTGTTCGATCGTCCTCACGCTCGCTCTAAAAAAATCCAGCAGACAGGAACTACTTCAGAAGCAACACAAGCTCCTAAGATGCGGAATAGTACAGCGGTGATCGCGGCGTGTGTGGCGCTTCTCGCGCTCTCCTCGAGTACGTCTGCCACCATGACGACACAAACTCACGCCAAGCCCATGCCTCGTCAACCGAGATTCAGCGCACTGACTGCTTTCCGCGCCACGTTAACTTAGCTAGCATCTCGCGCGAGCCACTCACAGCGTATCTCGCAGTGAATTTAGGTTCACACAGCCTGCATTGGCGCATCGCTTTCCTTTTCTCAGTGATATCACTACTGAGAATTCTCAAAAGACATTCAACAACTTTGACACTGCGTTGGCGCATTCTAGTATCGCTTTCTCACCGTTGTCTCCTCAATGCTATCAGTGGCCTCTCTTGCATCGCGCATTTCTCCCATAATCGCCCAATCGCAGGTGCAGTTGACGCCAAGGTAAAAAGCGCTCCGAAGTCTGCAACTGCGAAGGTAACAACCCGACCCTACCGATTCCGAAACGCTTCAAACCGTGAAGCTGAAAAGACTACCTGATGGCGTACCACGGCTTGCGTAGTACTGACAGGATGGCTTACAACCAGCCGTGACAGTGCGCTTGCTCGCATGTCAACCACATGACTTCTGAGGCCCCCCAAAAGTCAAACAGTGAAGCTGAAAAAGACTAGCTGATGACGTACCACAGCTTGCGTACAGGCAAAAGGCTCATCACCAGTCGTGACAGTGGGCATGCCCGCATATCAACCAATGCAAAACTGTTGCACCACTTGACACCCTGGCGTGAAAGAGCAAACTCTTGTGGGTAGATCATACATTCACTGATCACACAGACGACGTCACGTCCTCTACTAGGTACTACGGTAGTAGCACTGTAAACTGCTGTCTCGCTCCGTTGATCTCTTCACAATGCTAAGGCGATAGCGGGTTTTTTCTTCTGATTTTCTTGGTAGGTCTTTCTTTCTTCTTCTTTGTTCTTCTTTTTTCCTTTCTCTTTCGTTCCGTTACAGCGTGCTCTGCTGAAACTGCTCTATCCATCTCACCGTGCGCACCACTCCCAACGTCCCACGTCCCACAGATAGTGGTGCCGGTGGGGTTGGAAAAGGGTCGCTCCACTGTAAACCCGTGGAGCCTAGGCGTTGACAAGTGGACTCCTCCAGTCGTGAGGCCCGGCACATTTCTTCGTGAGTGTCCCGACGACTCGGCATTAGTTAATTGCTTTCTAGCTTGTATAATGCGGTGATGGAATTCATGCTCATGCAACATTCAGACAAAGGCCATGCCGGGGAATGAGGCCTGCGAGTGCCTCTGTAGACGATTATATACAAGTGCGAGTACATCCACTCACCCGCCCCTACATCTGATGCTTGCAACACTCGCTGCCTCTGTAAACGAGTTTCTACCCTTACTTTCGTGCAACCCTCCATCCGTTACAATTTTCTTTACCTTTCTCGCTACAGTAACTTACCTCTCTCTGTACCTGTCTCTTGCAACCCTCTGTCTCACAGCTCTCCCATCTCCACTCTTGCAAACCCGCCCTAAGGTGTAACTCATCTCCACACCTGCCTCTTCACTCTTCCCTCCCTCAGTTTTCAGGTGGATGGACGCGGAACGAGATGTGCAGCAATTCCCGGATAAAGACAGTTTCGATACATGCAACTTCTACAGTGCAGATCCCTTGGGCCCTCCAAGAAAAGTGGGCGTGGATGTGTTTTTGGTGAGGAGAGCTGAACGAGGCAAGACTCTGTATTTTGGGAGCAGAGTAGGTACTGACTGCTACAGTGGCCTCAAGGTGGCTATTCCTGTAAGCTGAGGCCTGATACACGCTCAAGCACAAGAGGAAGGATTAAAAAGGGACATCTAGTCCTATACGCACCCACAGAATAGGGTGTACACAACTGGCATGGAGACTTAGACTAGGAACCGTGCAATTTCAGGGATAATTACTGGTACCTAGGAGGAACCTTATCGTATAGAAGAGATTGTACCATCAACGCTAGGTATAAATTCGCCTATATTTCTGCTTCTGTAATACAGTAGCAACATGAGAAATCCTGAAATGCCCTCAAGCAGATCCCTTTTAAAGGAACTTATTGATAGAGTTTCGAGGCGGGTGCGGGTCCAGTGCGTACGTTACAGCTCATCCTATGTGGTTAATCTTGCTGCGCTAGGGTGTTCCAGGAACTTCGCTGGGGAATGTTTATTGCTGAAAGCACGCTAAAAAAACATGGGGGACGAGATGAGGTTGTAGCTTCAATAAAGATTATTACATGTGCCAAAGGATTGTGGTAGACATGTCTAGTGGTGAAACCACCTTTGAGATTGTAAGCAGTACATTGTTGGGGGCTCTCTCTCGCTACATTGCTTCTGTCTATGAATCTCAGCCGTTGGATCGATAGCTGGGCCAGCTTTCTAACCAGCACTTCAACATTCCGTAGCTTGCAGCTCGCTACGCTACCCACATCTAGGGTGTTCCAATTCTTACCGCTAGAGTGTTCAACGGTTTAGGTTTTCCATTTGCGGCGATCAACGACAAGCTCTTTTACTCGGAGCCCGCCATGCCGTCGCATCGCTATCGCGTGTTTCTGCGAGCGGGTATATCGGAGGAGCATAAAGAGGATGTTTTGCGAAGCTTCTTCGAGAAGTTCGGGACCGTGATCGACGTGTACGTGCCGCGCGATCCGTTCACCGGCACGCTGAAAGGCATCGCGTTCATCTCGTTCGAAGAAGAGGAAGCCGTCAAAGCCGCGGTACGCACATTTCTGTAAAATCCACGATTAGGTCTGGTGTGGATTTGACCTTAACCATGGAATCTGACGAGGTGAGGTGAATTCTTCCGTTACCCGTCGTTCCCTATCTCCTCGTTCTCTATCTCGTTTTATTTTACAGTCGTTTGAATTTGTGGTCGTCAAACTATTGAACGTCGTACCAGCGTTTCGATCGTCTTCCTTTATTCACAAACGACTGCATATATTAACAGCAGTAGTAACCAGAGGTGAAAATTTGGTAATGCTCTTTCTCGTACCCTCCGTCAGGTGGAAAATGACTCTTACGGGATTTACGGCTGCTCATGCCTATATCTGAGAAACAGCTTATCGTTAATGCTCATTCACGCCCCCCCCCTTCCCCCTCCCCTCTTCCCCCCCCCTCCTTCCCCTCCCCCTCAGGTGGAAAACGACTCTTACGAGATATGCGGCGTGACCATTCCCATAACCAAAGCCGAACCTCGAGGACCGGAGCAGCCATCCCGCCGCCGAGCTTACAACGACGACCGACCCTCCCACCGAGCCTCCGGCTACCCCCCGTCTTCCCTCGCCATGGCAGCCGCAGCAGCACCCCGAGCCGCTCTAGGCTCGGAAGGCTTGGATTACTACTCCGTCACTCCTCTAGTCACGTCTGGCGGCTATGGTGCCGGACTAAGTTCGGGATATGGAGGCGGGTATATACTGTCGAATGCTATGGAGGGGTATGGGCGCAGCGGAGGCGGGGGAGGAGGCGGAGGCGGAGGCGGAGGGGGAGGATTTGAGGACGAGTTTCGGATCTTTGTGGGGGGAGTGGCGGAGGAGATCAGCGAGCAGGACGTTAAGGGGCATTTTGAACAGTAAGGGTTTTGCGTACCGTTTGTCCACGTTTGTTTGATCGTCTCGTCCATCATCCGATATCATGGCCTTGCTTCGAGTTTTGAGACTTATCAAGACATCGGCGCCTTGTTTCTTCCTTCCCCTCCGTTTTCCCAAGGACAGAGCCTCCGTCGCGCCAAATGGCTTCAGCTACGCGCCTCTCTCTAACGCTTTTGCTGCCACCCTCCCCCCCTCCCCCACTCCGCCCCCTCCCCTGTTCGCTCCCGCATCTCACAGGTACGGCACGGTGGAGGACGTTTATTTCCCCAAGGACGAAGCCTCAGGCTCTCGTCGTGGTTTCTGCTATGTGCGCTTCAACTCCGTCGCTGCACTCTCTCCCTATCCCCCCATTCCCCCTCTCTCCTCCCCTGCCTGTCCCCACTTCCCCCTCACAGGTACGGAACGGTAGAGGACGTGTATTTTCCTAAAGATAGAGCCTCCGGCACTCGGCGCGGCTTCTGCTACGTGCGGTTTAACTCGTTCGCGGCGGCGGACAGCGCGTGCGCGCGCAGCCAGCGCATGATCAAGGGCTCGCCCCTCCACGAGATCCGCATGGCGCAGCCGCGCCCGCCCCTGCTCGCGGGGGGAAGGGGCGGGGATGGGCGGAGAGGAGGGGGAGGCGGAGGGGGAGGGGGAGGAGGAGGTGGTGGTGGGGGGTATGGGGGCGGATATGGGGGTGGGTATGGTGGTGGTGGTGGTGGTGGGGGAGGGGGAGGGGGAGGGGGAGGGGGAGGGGGATATGGGGGCGGGTATGGGGGTGGGTATGGGGGAGGGTATGGGGGTGGATATGGGGTCAAGGAGGAGAGGGAGAGGGATTACGAGAGGGGGGGAGGCGAGGGGCGGAATGGGGACGGCGGGGGGCGCTCGCGGTATCGGCCGTATTGATAAATGGGGTGAGTGAGTGTCAGTCAGTGTGAGTGTAAGATGGTGGTGGTGGTTGTATTTTGGGGATGCTTCAAATGGTGTCCTTTTGGTTCGACTCCAAAGTCCTGCTGCCCGCTCGCGGTACTGGCCGTATTGATGGGGTGAGTGTGAGATGGTTGTGGTTTTGTCAGTGTGGTGTCTTTTTTAGTCGACGTAAAAATCACCTCCGGTCCTGATACTGGGTGTACTGATGGGTTAAGTGTATTTGAGTCAAATTGTCGATGAATGAGAATGAGATGCTGGTCGTCAGCGTGGTGAGATTGTGTTTTGAATGGTACAGTGTTGCTTCATGGGTTGGGTTTCATACCCTTCGCCGATCATTCATTCTTGTTCAAGGTTGTTAATATGTGCAAGCGTAGAGTAGCGCTGTGACGCTTTCTTTGTGTAAGGCCATGGCATGCCACCTTCTTGCAACGGATTGAGTCGCATCTCGCAGCATGCCTAGTGCGTGCACTTCATGTGTTGCCTGTTATTGCGCCTAGTGGTCGTTGTGTTTTCTATATGCTCCTTAGGGTTTAGGGCCATCTGCTGGCTCACGCTTTGATCTCTTCTTGTTCAGCAGCCTGCATCTGCCTCTTTCTGACTGTTTCTGGCTGCTTGCCTCTCTATGTCTGTCTCGTTGCATCCCTCGTATGTACCGGCATGGTATGTATCTTGAGCCTCGAGTCGAGGTTAGCCTGGCAGAGAGGAGGATTGGTCAGGGGCAGAGAGATGGAGAGAGAGAGGGAGGGTGTGAGTGACTCGAGTTAGGGGTGGGATGAGCAAGGGACAGAGTGAGGGAGCAAGTTGTCTGTTTTACTGACTGCACTGCAGGGCGACCTGTTCCGTTCGTTCGTTGTTGCGCTCACTGTTACAGATGACACCAACAGCCGGCACTGACGGTGAAATTACGGTGTAACAACGGTGTCACAGCGATGTCACAACGGCGTCACTCACGGGGCGTTAACGGATGGATGGAAGGAAGGACAGGAAGAACTGATGGATGGATGGATGGATGCATACAAGGCCGAGCTCCTTTCACAAGCCTCGTACGGTTTGAGCAACTGTACGGTACGATCCGGTTTCGTACGGTACCGACCGACATTCAGAAACAGACAAGCGGACATGCACGGACAGAGGGAGGGAGGGAGCGAGGGAGCGAGGGAAGAAGAGGTGGTTGCTTGGTCCGAGCCTGGCTGAGGCAGTGCTGTTTGCCGGAACAGCCCCTATCCCCCTGCCCTTGTGCCTTCCCACCTTCCACCGTCGACCCTTTCTTCTCCCCCACACACACTCCCCTTTGCCGTTTACCGTATCCCCCTTGCACCTTAAACTTCTTCCCTTCCCCCTCCCAAGCCCCACTCTTTTCTTCCCGTGCCAGTCCTCTGGCCCTCCCCCTCTCCTCCCCACTTTCCTTCTCATCCCGTCTCCCTCCGTTGCCCTTATCCACTCTCATTTGTATGATCCTCCTCCTGTGACGCCTCCATGGTATTCGTTGTGATGGTGAGATACCGTATCCTAAGGGATTGCATGTTGATCTACTTCTTGAGTACCGTCTCGTCCTTGTAGCTTTCGGTGCCGTACCTCTATTTTGCTGTGAACACGTTAGGAAGATCCTGACTTGAACCGCAGTAGGTAGGTAGGTCATTTGAAGTAAATACCACTGAAGTATGTCAATGTGATGTGAATCCCCCAGTCTATATAGGTCTTGTAGTGTAGTGCACATCACTTGCCTAGCTTTTGTTCAGCTGGTGTTGGCACCTGTGCGTAAACTAGGAATGCTCGCTAGAGATTGGTGGCTGCCAGGGAAACAACTGCAATGTTTGTCCTGGAATGCGTGTGCTATGATGCGACACTACTGCTGTAAATCCTGCAGTAGCCAGGCTAGGGACAAATGTCAGACTGGTTTAGATGTTAGGATACAGGATTTTTTGGAAAATACTGCTGTCATAGTTTATTTAGGTGAACAACCTTGTGATGCGAGCAGCAAATCCTTTTGACTGTTCACAAGTGGCCCTAATGTGTCCTATCCAAATGAGATGGGCACCAGTTTTAGAGTGCTGACCACCCCTTTACACCTGCTACACTTTCCCAACCGAGAACTTCTTAGGTAGCTCAATCTTCATATCAAAGTCACCCTTGCCCTCGCTGCTGTCTGATCCGTCAAGCTCCAAAAAGGCTGCGAGGATGTTCATTTTGATGATGAAGCTCAGGGCCTTGTCCCTTGGCAGTGCCTGCACACACACGTGCGAGCACAGCACACAACGCAGCAGCAGTCACAGTACAGCATACAAACAGAAAAAGGAAACACAAGGGATTGGTCAGGAGCGTGTGTGGTTCTTATGCGGATACTGCCTTCTCCCTTGGCAGTTCCTGCACGAGTGCAAGCATGGCTCGCAATTAAATGGTCACATGGCAAAGAAGCAGAGGGAGGAAACACAAGGGAATGCGTAAGAATGTGAGGGTCCTCCGTGGTTAGTGAGGGTCCTCCGTGGTTAGTGAGGGTCCTCCGTGGTTGGTGAGGGTCCTCCGTGGTTGGTGAGGGTCCTCCGTGGTTGGTGAGGGTCCTCCGTGGTTGGTGAGGGTCCTCCGTGGTTGGTGAGGGTCCTCCGTGGTTGGTGAGGGTCCTCCGTGGTTGGTGAGGGTCCTCCGTGGTTGGTGAGGGTCCTCCGTGGTTGGTGAGGGTCCTCCGTGGTTGGTGAGGGTCCTCCGTGGTTGGTGAGGGTCCTCCGTGGTTGGTGAAGCTCGGGGCCTTCTCCCTTTCTCTTGGCAGTGCCTGCACGAGTGTGAGCATGGCACGCAATTTAATGGTCACACCGTGGGATGGGATTGTAACAGCAGCATTCATAAAAGCGACTCATCCCCAGCAGCAGTCTCGCCACGCGGCTGAGCTCAGTTCGTCTTCCACATGCTGCTCTCCCTTCTCCATGATACTTGAGTTGAGGACTCTGAAACATATGTTTGAATCTACACGCTACTGGTTTGCTTCATCTCACCCCCGGCAGCAATTGCCCACGCGGTTCAGCTCAGCTCGTCCTCCACATGCTGCTCGCCCTTCTCTGTAATCTGTTGGGGTTACGTTTTCTTCAGAAGTAAATCGACTAGAAAGCTGGTTGATTAGTTGGAACTCACCCCGAGCAGCATCCTGCCCACGCGGTTCAGCTTGCCCTCCACATTCTGCTCGCCCTCTCCATGACATTTGACTTGAGTTGACTTAAAAACACAAATGTGAGAGCACACACAAATGTGAGAGCACACACAAATGTGAGAGCACACACAAATGTGAGAGCACACACAAATGTGAGAGCACACACAAATGTGAGAGCACACACAAATGTGAGAGCACACACAAATGTGAGAGCACACACAAATGTGAGAGCACACACAAATGTGAGAGCACACACAAATGTGAGAGCACACACAAATGTGAGAGCACACACTGGCCAGTTCGACTCACCCCGAGCAGCATTCTGCCCACGCGGTTCAGCTCGTCCTCCACGTGCTGCTCGCCCTTCTCCATGATTTTCCTCATCGCCGTGATGTACATGCTTGCTTGCCTGCCACACCAACGGAGAACAGGGAAATGGCACAGATAGGGCACACATGCCACATCACCCACGCATGCCACTTTCCCCACCCACACCTTCCTCTCCTCCTTTCAGTCTTCTCTGAGTGCATCTAAAGCCAGTTGCCACAATCACCACCCTCCCCTCCTTGCCCCTCCCAATAAGTCTCCTTGTCGCACCTACCCTATGTTGCAATGCCTCTTGCCCCACTCACTTGCTCTCTTCCTTTCTCACTTGCTCTCTTTCTTTCTCTCATTTGCTCTCTTCCTTTCTCACTCACTCTCTTCCTGTCTTATTTGAAACCTTCTCCCCTTAAGCCAATCTCTCCTCCCCGTCCTCCCCCTCCTCCATCCCTGTCCCATGAGCCCCCATCTACAATGCACAATGCACCTACCAATCGTATACCACATCCCCTCCCTCCCGACTCACTGCTCTCCTCCTCTCTCACTTGCTCTCCTCCTCTCTCACTTGCTCTCCTCCTCTCTCACTTGCTCTCCTCCTCTCTCACTTGCTCTCCTCCTCTCTCACTTGCTCTCCTCCTCTCTCACTTGCTCTCCTCCTCTCTCACTTGCTCTCCTCCTCTCTCACTTGCTCTCCTCTCTCACTTGCTCTCCTCTCTCACTTGCTCTCCTCCTCTCTCACTTGCTCTCCTCCTCTCTCACTTTCTCTCCTCCTCTCTCAATTTCTCTCCTCCTAGCTGACTGCCACCCTTTCCTCTCTCTCTTCCTTGCCCACCCCAATACACCCCCTCCCCACTCTGCACCTATCCACACCACACTCCCTCCCCCACCACTCACTTGCTCTCCTCCTCGCTCACTGTCACCCTCTCCGCCTTGCCCAGTCGCTCCTCTCTCCCCTCCTTGCTTGCTGCAATAAACCCGCGGGCCAGCTCGTCCAAAGCTGCTATGCGCCCGGCCTGCTCAGGAATGGTGGAAGCAAGGGAGGGAGTGATCGTTGGGGGGATCTCAGAATAAACGCGCACACATACACACACACATACACACACACACACACACACACACACACACACACACACACACACACACACACACACACACACACACACACACACACACACACACACACAACACACCACACCACACCACACCACACCACACCACACCACGCCACACCACAAGTTGAGAGGTCTGTCTGTCACCTCCCACGCGCCCCCGTAGCACCACACATCTCGCTTGCCTTCAACTTGCACTCGTGCCTTCAACTTGCACTCGTGCTTTCACATCACCACAACCAGCTCACCACCTTGTCAGAGAGCATTCCCGTGGTGGTTCTGTGTGTCTGTGCATGTGCATGTGTCTGTGCATGTGCATGTGTCTGTGCATGTGCATGTGTCTGTGCATGTACATGTGTCTGTGCATGTGCATGTGCATGTGTCTGTGCATGTGCATGTGTCTGTGCATGTGCATGTGCATGTGTCTGTGCATGTGCATGTGTCTGTGCATGTGCATGTGCATGTGTCTGTGCATGTGCATGTGTCTGTGCATGTGCATGTGCATGTGTTTGTGCATGTGCATGTGTCTGTGCATGTGCATGTGTCTGTGCATGTGTCTGTGCACATGTGTCTGTGCATGTGCATGTGTCTGTGCATGTACATGTGTCTGTGCATATGCATGTGTCTGTGCATGTGCATGTGTCTGTGCATGTGCATGTGCATGTGTCTGTGCACGTGCATGTATCTGTGCATGTGCATGTGCATGTGTCTGTGCATGTGCATGTGTCTGTGCATGTGCATGTGCATGTGTCTGTGCATGTGCATGTGTCTGTGCATGTGCGTGTGTCTGTGCATGTGCATGTGTCTGTGCATGTGCATGTGTCTGTGCATGTGCATGTGTCTGTGCATGTGCATGTGCATGTGTCTGTGCATGTGCATGTGCATGTGTCTGTGCATGTGCATGTGCATGTGTCTGTGCATGTGTCTGTGCATGTGCATGTGTCTGTGCATGTGCATGTGTTTGTGCATGTGTATGTGCATGTGTCTGTGCATGTGCATGTGCATGTGCATGTGCATGTGCATGTGTCTGTGCATGTGCATGTGCATGTGTCTGTGCATGTGCATGTGCATGTGCATGTGCATGTGCATGTGCATGTGTCTGTGCATGTGCATGTGTCTGTGCATGTGCATGTGCATGTGTCTGTGCATGTGCATGTGCATGTGCATGTGCATGTGTCTGTGCATGTGCATGTGCATGTGTCTGTGCATGTGCATGTGTCTGTGCATGTGCATGTGTTTGTGCATGTGCATGTGCATGTGCATGTGTCTGTGCATGTGCATGTGCATGTGCATGTGCATGTGTCTGTGCATGTGCATGTGTCTGTGCATGTGCATGTGTCTGTGGATGTGCATGTGTCTGTGCATGTGCATGTGTCTGTGCATGTGCATGTGTCTGTGCATGTACATGTGTCTGTGCATGTGCATGTCCATGTGTCTGTGCATGTGCATGTGTCTGTGCATGTGCATGTGCATGTGTCTGTGCATGTGCATGTGCATGTGTGTGTGCATGTGCATGTGCATGTGTCTGTGCATGTGTCTGTGCATGTGCATGTGTCTGTGCATGTGCATGTGTTTGTGCATGTGCATGTGCATGTGTCTGTGCATGTGCATGTGTTTGTGCATGTGCATGTGCATGTGTCTGTGCATGTGCATGTGCATGTGTCTGTGCATGTGCATGTGTCTGTGCATGTGCATGTGCATGTGCATGTGCATGTGCATGTGTCTGTGCATGTGCATGTGCGTGTGCATGTGCATGTGCATGTGTCTGTGCATGTGCATGTGCATGTGCATGTGCCTCCTAGTACCTCATCTTGTACGTCATGCTTGCACCACGAGCTCACCATATCAGAGAGCATGCCCGTGTTGGTGCGGTGGGTCCCCGCCGCCCTGTTCACAAACGCCACAAGGTCTCTCAACTCCCACGCGCCCTCGTAGCTCTCGCCTTGCTTGTTGGACGGAGGGAACCATAGTATGGTGGGGTAACCCGTTATGCTGTACCTGCAGTGGCAAGAAGGAAGACAGGATAGGCAGCGCAACAGCATGCAGACATATTGAGGTGCCTCCCACGCCTCAACGCGCCCTTTGAAACGCCTCGGAAAGCATGCCTCTCAGCTACCGCGCGCCCTCAAAATTCTCGCCCTGATTGGTGGAGGGAGCGAACCACTTGATGGTCGGGTAACCCGTTGTGCTGTACCTGCAGTGGGGAGTGAGAAGAGAGGGTAGAACAGAGAGGGGAGAGGATATGCAACGCAAGAGCATGCAGGCATTTTTGAGGCTGCTCACACGCCTGCCAGCTCCCACACGGAGAGATCCACGAGAGCTCCGATGCACTCTTGTGGCTCGGAGCTCTCTCCGTGCTTGTTGGAGGGGAGGGAGGGAACCACTTGATGGTCGGGTAACCTGTTGTGTTTTTGTGCCTGTATTAGCGGGTCAAGCTGGCAGATAGAATACAACGGAGACGGGATGGGACCGGTGGCCTCAGATGGATCACCTTTTGACACACATCAGAAATCGCCTCACATGGAAACCACTAGGAAGTCGCCTCACGTGGAAACCACTTGGAGAGGATATGCAACAGCATGTGGATACTTCGAGGTGCCTCACGTCGTATTATCCACTTGATCATGGGGTAACCAGATTCACCTCTTGTTACAAGCACCCACGCAACATCGTCATCACCTCACTACAAGCACAAACCACAATATTGCACCATCACCATCACCATCACCATCACCATCACCATCACCATCACCATCACCATCACCATCACCATCACCATCACCACCACCACCATCACCATCACCATCACCATCACCACCACCATCACCACCACCATCACCACCACCATCACCACCACCACCACCACCACCACCACCACCACCATCACCACCACCATCACCACGTGGCCACTCACTTGTCTTTGAGCTCCCTTTGCTTGCTCGCGTCTAGCTTGGCGATCATCACCCTCTCCTCTTCTCACATAGCACCATGCTCTCTCTCACTAGTAGCACCTCTCACTATAAGCACACCATACCATCGCCAAATTGCCACTCACCTCTCTTTGAGCTCTCTGTGCTTGCTCGCGTCCAGCTTGGCGATCACCACGTTCTCCTCGTCTCTGAATGCCCGCCCAAGCTGCTCGTATGCCTGGTGGGGGGATGCGGAGAGGAAGGGGAGAGGAACATGTGAGGGGGAGAGAAGGCGCACGAGGGAAAAAGTCAGTCTGCCTAGCTCTCAATCACCACGTTCTCCTCATCTCTGAATGCCCGCCCTAGCTGCTCGTATGCCTGGTGGGGGGATGCAGGAGGAACGTTTGCGATGGAAGGGAGAAGAACGAGTAAGAGGGAAAAAGAAGAGAAATGGTGGGGAGGGAGAACAAGGAGGGACGAATGGGGTTGGGAGAGGGAAGAGGGAGGAAAGAGGGAGGGAATAGAGGAGGAAGTGAAAGGACAGAGAGCAATGAAAGATGGGAGAGAGAGGGAAACGAAGGAGTTGGAGCAATGAGAAATCTGAAGGAGACGGGGAGAAGAGGAAGAGAGGAAGAAGAGAGTATGCTATGCTGTCACAGGGTTGTTAATGCTGTCACAGGGTTGTTGATGCTGTCACAGGGTTGTTGATGCTGTCACAGGGTTGTTGATGCTGTCACAGGGTTGTTGATGTTGTTGTTCTTTGTTTCAGAAATCCATTTTGTTGGAACGAATTGAGATTGAACGAAATCGGACGGAGCAAGTGGGATTTTGGGCAAGGGAGCAGCTGAATTACCGGAGCAAGGTCTTGGCAAAACGAGCACCTGAAGGGAAGATGCAGTGCAGGGGCAGCGTGAGGGAGAGACAAGCATAAAGTTTATAACACCAAATTGGAAACTTGATGCTTCACACACATGCTGATTTCACAGCCCTACCACCATACAGTACCGCAAGCCACACAAGAGAAAGGATAGGGTAAAGAATGTGGATATACACACAAGGAGCAGCATCGGCAACATACGGATAATGGATTTGCATGCATCATCCATATGCATACATGTGTAATTGAGAGTCAACCGCAAATTACACCCAAATGTGCGCATGCACAGAGGAAGCAGCATCAGCAGCACACGAATCGGCTTAGAAAATGCTCGTAAGGCTTTGAAAGAGGCACCCAAAAGGCACTAAAAAAACGATAAGAAGGCACGAGAAAGCACTCGGAAAGCACTCGAGAAGCATCCAAAGGGACGGAAAAAAGAGGAGCCAAAAAGGCCAGCTCCCTCTGTGTCTCTCCAGGGCACGTAACGTACAACTCCACGAGCAGAAACTTGAAAGCTTACAAGAACCCTTGAGGGTTCCAACAGGCACACCAAAGACACACCTCGCTCTGTGTCTCACCAGGGCACGTAACGTACAACTCCACGAGCACAGAGTCGGAGGGGATCCACCACCACGTGACGGCACGTGGTCCCTTGAGACTTGAGAAGAGACTCCTTTACAAGGCCGTTACCCCCCTCCCTCTCTGTGTGTGTCTCACCAGGGCGCGTAGAACTCCACGAGCACGAACGTGGAGGGATCCAGCACCACGGGCAGCAGGTGGTTCTATGAGTTGAGAGCTCTCAAGAACCCTTTCTAGTTCCAAAACGCACCCCCCCCCCCATTCGCTCACCAGGGCGCGTAGAACTCCACGAGCACGAACTTGGAGGGATCCAGCACCACGGCAGGTGGACCCTTGAGACTTGAGAAGAAACAATCCTACAAAACAGGTACCTCCACCCCCCTCCCTCTCTGTGTCTCACCAGGGCGCGTAGAACTCCACAAGCACGAACTTGGAGGGATCCAGCACCACGGCATCAAAGGTGTTGGGCAACAGGGTTACCACGTGCGATGGTGGTGGCGCTGGTGGCTCAACACTGGTGCCTGCCATGCCATGCCACACAGGGGGGTGCGGGAGGGAGTGGGGGTTTCAGCACCAAGGCATCAAAGGTGTCGGGCAGCAGGGTTACCACGTGCGATGGCAGTGGCGCTGGTGGCTCGACACTGGTGCCTGCCATGCCATGCCACACAGGGGGGTGCAGGAGGGAGTGGGGGTTTCAGCACCATAGCATCAAAGGTGTTGGAAAATAGGGTTACCACGTGCGATGGCGGTGGCGCTGGTGGCTCGACACTGGTGCCTGCCATACAGGGAGGTGGCAGAAGGGGGGGGTTCAGCACCATAGCATCAAAGCTGTTTGGCAATAGGGTTACCACGTGCGATGGCGGTGGCGCTGGTGGTTGGACATTGGTGTCTGCCATGTCATGCCATGCAGGGAGGTGGTGGAGGGAGGGGCGAGAGAGGGTTGAGGTGCATCGGTTGGTGTGCCCGAGAGGTTGCACGTCTTCGGGGAGGTTTTGAATGCCATGAAATGAGCATGGATGAGCATGGGATGGGCATGGGATGGGCATGGGATGGATGGGCATTGGATGGGCATGGGATGGGCATGAGATGGGCATGAGATGGGCATGAGATGGGCATGAGATGGGCATGAGATGGGCATGGGATGGGCATGGGATGGATGGGCATGGGATGGGCATGGGATGGGCATGAGATGGGCATAGGATGGGCATGGAATGAGCATAGGATGGGCATGAGATGGGCATGAGATGGGCATGAGATGGGCATGGGATGGGCATGGGATGGGCATGGGATGGGCATGAGATGGATGGGCATGAGATGGATGGGCATAAGATGGATGGGCATGAGATGGATGGGCATGAGATGGATGGGCATAAGATGGATGGGCATGAGATGGATGGGCATGAGATGGATGGGCATGAGATGGATGGGCATGAGATGGATGGGCATGAGATGGATGGGCATGAGATGGATGGGCATGAGACGGGCCGTAACACTCCAAGAGAGAAAGCATAAAGCTCACTCACCCATCTTTCTATTCGTGAACTCCACCAGATCGTCCACACTGCGCTCCCCTGGGTAGCTGCCAGCCACCCAGTGACTATGGCTCATGTGATAGGCCTTCACACTTCAAAGGGAAAAGCATCAAAGCTCACTCACTCACCCAGCTTTTCGTTCGTAAATTCCACCAGATCCTCCACAGTGCGCTCCCCTGTGTAGCTGCCAGCCAGCCACCCAGCCAGCCGGTAGCAGTGTGTGGTGTCAAGGAAAGATTATTCAATATAAGAGGAAAAGAACCTATGAAAAAACAGCTGCAAAAATGACTTGTTGTGGGTGCGGAGATAATTCAAACGTCCCGCATTACACATGATGACCATGCGTGACACATGTGAATATCAAGTCATGCGATCAGATTGGATATGCGATCAGATTGGATATGCGATCAGATTGGATATGCGATCAGATTGGATATGCGATCAGATTGGATAAAGCCATGCCCCTCCCCTCCCCCCCCACCACCCCTTCCCTCACTGATCCACACTCTTCGCCCCTCCCCTCCCTTCGCCCCTCCCCTCCCTTCGCCCCTCCCCTCCCTTCGCCCCTCCCCTCCCTTCGCCCCTCCCCTCCCTTCGCCAGTCCCCTCCCTCAACCCCTCCCTTGGACTCTGAACCCTAAGCCCCTCGTCCCTCCCCTCGCCCCTCTCCGTACTCTTCAGGTTTGGAGGCCCCTTTCGGAAACCACTTGAGCGTGGGGTAGCCCTTCACTTTGTACTCGCTGCAGAGCTTCTTGTGTTTGTCACAGTCCACCTACATGATGAGACGGCAGAGGAAGGCAGGAGCACAGAGACGAATAGAGCTGACATGGGGAGTGGGAGAGGCGGGACGGGAGGAGAGACGGGTTAAGGCTCTGTAGAAGGGAACGGAATAAAATACCTATTTGAACATTCCAGGCACCTTCCATGTGTTTTCCCCGCTCCTTCCATGCACCTTCTTCCCTCCGTCTTAGCTCTTTCCTGGCTTGCCCGCCCCGCTACCCATCTCCCAGCCACAATCAAATCAAATCTGATTCCACATTCACCTTACCGACAACCACCGATTCGGTCTCTTTAAAGGCAGCCCCGAATTTGTCATAGTCCGGGGCCAGCTTCTTGCAATGCCCGCACCTGGCGGAGGTGAAGCGGGGGGAAAGCGGGGGGCAAGCGGAGGGGAAGCGGGGGGGAAACGGGGGGAAGAGGGAGGGAATCGGGGAAGAGCGAAGTGGAGGGAGGGGGAGATGGGGGGAAGCGAAAGGAGGGGGGAAGGAGGGAAGGGTAAGGGTGAATGGGGAGGACGGGCATTGCGAGTCAGAAAGGAGGAAAAGAAGCCGTTCGCAATCCGTTTGTAAGCTGTGCGAGCAGCTAACGGGTGGCGCCAGTCTTTACTCGCTTCGAAGGCACGCATCGTGATTTGCGGAAACTTTTGACGAAACAACTTGCGAAGAGATGGGAGACAGCGGGAGAAATTTTTCTTCTCTCTCTCTTTTTTTTTTCCACAAATGGAAACGGTCCGCTACTTGGCTACGGAGCGTCGAGCATTCAGTCGTCGAAGGAATCACGTTCGATACGCGGTCTTCAGGCGGGAATGGTCGCGCTGGTTAGTCGAAGTGTAGGTAAGTGTGCGTGTATCGCTTTTCCATTATTTACCACGGTGCGTAGAATTTGACAAACGCGGCCTTTTCCTTTCCGACAAAGTCTGCGAAATTTCCGGGGCATAACTCGACGACGACTGCGACGACCGCGAACGCGAGCGTCGCGAAGACTAAGAACGACAGGCCCGCTCGGATCGCCATTGGAATGAATGATCGCTAAACGGCTCGATTGTTGTGCGCGTGCGAAATGGATAGGTAGTGGGACGTAAGCAGTCAGAGAAAGAGTATTATGGCGATCGCGTTCTTCTAATATGTATTGATGTGCGCATCAAGCACTAAGAATATAACGCGTTCCGGCCTGATTTAGCGCGGGGTGAGGGTCTGTACGGCGCCTTCCGTTCAATACTGTATTGCAGGTTCAACAGCTTTTCAATCCAGATGATTCCATGCAGTTTGCCTAGTGGGCAGCTATAACACCTCGCTACCCACTGGGTCAAAACGAGGGTGTTATTTGGCGCAGCGGAATGCCCATTAACACTTAGCCCACAGGCGTTACACTCGTCCCCCCCTGGTGTCAACGTCCCCGTTGACGAACTTCAGGGAGTCGGCCCCCGCAGGGACCTGTTCGCTGTGCTCCAAGCAGCGACTTCGCTGGTGGACCAGGCCAGCGGAGGATCGTTCACTGGGTTCAGTCAGGTTTCCACATTCAAGTTCTCGCCACAGGCGGAAAATGTGGATCAGCCAGGATTTGAACCCTGGGCTCTGATACCAGTATAACACCTCGCTACCCACTGGGTGAAAACGAGGGTGTTATTTGGCGCAGCGGAATGCCCATTAACACTTAGCCCACAGGCGTTACAGCAGCATTGTGCAGAGATTTTTTTATGGCACACCTCGACCACAGCTGGCGTTCCCCACATCACGAGTCACGACTCACGACAGCGAGGGCATCGGCCTTCCTCTCGGCCCTGATCTCGCGGGGAATGAGACATCCTCGGCCCGAATAGACAGAGATATTTTATGTTACAGCTCAACCACATCTACTCTCGGAGTTTCGCGCTGCCCGCGGGCAAGCAACATCTCCGATGGCATGACATGGCATGCGATCGGGAGGCATGAAATTTGCCTTGACCCAATTCCTCCCAATGGCACGCCGGCTTCAGAGAGTTTTCTGACAACGCGCTACCTGACGAAAGCTGGTGATGCATGAGGGTGCTCTACACCGCATCCCACTCGGGATGGGAAAGAGTTCATCAGGTGCCGGGCCAACTTCGCGCGGGCAATATCGATTTCGCCAATGTCGAACGAGTGTCGCCACAATCGGCCGAGCTTGGTGTGTTACAATCATCATACGGTACACGAGTTGCACAAAATGTGCACCAGCCAAGTTCGTTCAGCATACAACTCCTGAACAAAAAATCAGCAGTCAAGAGTGTAGAGATTGATACCCTTGCATTGCACTGTATACGAATCTTCCCTGTGAAGGCATTCGTATGACCAATGAATGGATCGCACAGCAAGTGCAACCCCCAGAAATGAGTCGCTTGAGTCAGGTTTTATATTCAGTATGCACCTGCACTCTGCTGCTGTTACCTGCCGGTACATCCTTGTTGCGACGACTTTTTTTTTTTTTTTTTTTTTTTTTTCGTATTATTCGTCTCGTCAGGGACGATCGATGCCACCTTGTACACGTTCCCCTGCTCATTCGGTTAATGCCACTGCAACATCACATGATGAACGGTACCGTACTAGCTAAGTGACTGACTGCTATGTATCTGCCGCGTCAATTTACCATGTGCTGAACCACATTCCTTCTCATTTCGTAGTTTACTTTGACTGAACCTATATTACATGAGTCGCCCAAATGATGAACTGTGAACGCGTAACTGTTTATTCCGTGATGCATGTCTGATGATGATATAAGTAGATGAAGTAAATGCAAATGCATATGTATAATGCATATTCTACCGGTAATGAAATAAATGCACAGCATGATGGAAGTGCGTAACAGTTAATTGACGCAGACCCTATGCTACCGCATCCCCTGCCTAGCATGGGGGGGAGCTCAATAGCATAATTTCTGAATCATCCAACTGTTACATGAAACAACACAATCTATGTGATCTAAAAAACGGGTCAATTCCATCAAATCCAGTTCGAATGGACACACTCACTGAGTGCGCAAAGAACCTTCTCGGAAATGATAGTTTGATCCCAATTTTTAAACCCCACAGACATGTGTTATTAATGCAATAGAAACATGAATGAAAACGCATACGCACACAACACAACGCATACACATCATCATACACATTCACACATACACGCACACACGAAGCCAACTAACAAAGCATATTAACCGCAGATGAAATAGAAACCTAAATCACCAAGACATTATGTATCCTATACTGTAAGTCACAAGCAATATCAGTCTACTCCTCATATTGAGCTCGACTGCCTGAAAAGTAAGACAAAGCTGGGTTGAGGAAAGGAAGGCAAATGGGAAATAACAAGGCATAATGAAATTACGAGAAAAAGGAATAATGAAGAAACAAATGAAACAATACAAGGGCCAAGAAAAACGCCATGAGCATTGAAGGGTTAGAGCTGACAAATAACAAGGAGAAAATGTACTAAGGCATAAAACGAAAGTAAAGAACGAGAACAAAGGGAAAAACACATAACGGGACAGTAAACGAACGAAAAGAATATAACAAATACGTTGAGCGAGAACAACGGAGACCGAGAGCGAGAGCGAGCGAGAGAGAGAGAGAGAGAGAGAGAGAGAGAGAGAGAGAGAGAGAGAGAGAGAGAGAGAGAGAGAGAGAGAGAGAGAGAGAGAGAGAGAGAGAGAGAGGACGAGAGAGAGAGGACAAGAGAGCGAGAACGAGAGAGTGGACGAACGAGAGAGAACGAACGAGAGATTTGACAAAAGAGAACGAGAGAACGACAGAGACGAAACGAGAGAGAGAGAGAGAGAGAGAGAGAGAGAGAGAGAGAGAGAGAGAGAGAGAGAGAGAGAGAGAGAGAATGAGAGAGAACGAGAGAGAGGGAAAGAGAGAGAGAGAGAGAGAGAGAGAGAGAGAGAGAGAGAGAGAGAGAGAGACAACGAGAGAGAGATCGAGAGAGAGAGGACGAGAGAGGGAGAACGATAGAGTGTGAGAGATCGAGAGAGAAAGAAAACGAGAGAGAACGAGAGAGAGAGAACGATAGAGAGAAAACGAGAAACGAGAGGGAGAGAACGAGAGAGGGAACGAGCGAGAGAGAACGAGGGTGAACGATCGAGAGCGAGAGCGAGAGTACGAGAGTGAAATAACGAGAGAGAGAGAGAGAGAGAGAGAGAGAGAGAGAGAGAGAGAGAGAGAGAGAGAGAGAGAGAGAGAGAGAGAGAGAGAGAGAGAGAGAGAGAGAGAGAGAGAGAGAGAGAGAGAAGAGAGAGAGAACGAGAAAACGAGGGAGAACGAGAGAACGAGAGAAAGAGAGAACAAGAGGAGAGAGAGATAACGCGAGAGAGAGAGAGAGAAAACGGGAGAGAAAGAACGAGGGAGAACGAACGAGAGAACGAGAAAGAACTAGACAACGAGAGAACGAGAAAGAGAACGAGAAAGAGAACGAGAAAGAGAATGCTCCAACCTAATAATTTAACTCTCTGAACATAATTGTTAATAATCTTGTCAAATTTCAATTAAGGAAGAGGAATAAATCAAGAAACAGCGTACGGAAGAAGACAAAAGTAAGAGCAAGAGCTGAAAAGAGCAAGCAAGTAGAATGTAAATCGAAATAAAGGAGAGAACAAAAGTACGGTGCATAACCTAGGAAGAAAGGGAGGTTAAGAAACAAAATAGGTCTACATCTCGTTTAAAAAAAAACAACTCTCAACCAAATGAGCTAAACTAGAACCCACTCTCAACTAGAATGAACTTAAGAATAGAGAGAATGAGGCTTACCTTAACTAGGAGTTATAGTCTGAGTGGTGTGAGTGGCGTGAGTGGCGTGAGGGACGGGGAGAAGCTAGAGTAGTCTGACTAGGTGGAAGAGAAACGGAGGAAAAAGACATGTGACGAACCCTAGAATGGGAAGTTTCTTATTGCATTAAAGCACAATATTAAGTTTAGCCAGTTCTAAACATGGGTTGTATAGCATAGCTCTGTCGACGACGTCGTTATCGCGAAGGTCGGGAGTTCGAATCTGATCATGGCCGAAGATTCGGTTAAAAAATGCTTTTCCTTTCTGTAGTTTTATTTGTTTCAGATTTTCAGTCACCCTAAAACCAAATCATATGAACACAACAAGAATAACTTACCCTAAACAACCACACCCATCTGTTATGTACACCCTTTCATTTGTATACTACCATATTACATGAAACATGTATCTATGAATAGCAATGATTCAGCAAATATCAAAGTCATGTTACGATATTATATAATTCTCACTATAGATCAGATGTATCTAAAAATAACAGTGTAATGTTGCTTCGCAACCCTAAGACGATTTCGTCGCCTCTTGTTTTTTTTTTTTTCGTATTATTCGTCTCGTCAGGGACGATCGATGCCACCTTGTACACGTTCCCCTGCTCATTCGGTTAATGCCACTGCAACATCACATGATGAACTCGAAGGCCTAAAAGTTGCTGCTGCAGCAGCAGGGGTCCAGGTCGCCCTGCCCCAGATGGCACTGCCCCAGATGGCACTGCCCCAGATGACACTGCTCCAGATGGCACTGCCCCAGATGGCACTGCCCCAGATGGCACTGCCCCAGATGGCACTGCCCCAGATGGCACTGCCCCAGATGACACTGCTCCAGATGGCACTGCCCGAGACAGCCCTGCTCCACTGCCCGTGGAAACACGCCAAGCGCCAGTCACGTGAAGAGCTGGAAGACCTTGAAGTAGTCGCAGCACCACCGGGGATTCAGGTCGCTCTGCTCCAGATCGCCCTGCTCCAGGTCGCCCTGCTCCAGGTCGCCCTGCTGCAGGTCGCCCTGCTGCAGGTGGCCCTGCTCCACTGCCCTCCATGTGACGCCCTCTGCTTCTGAGGCGCCCCAAAAGTAGACCCGTGGAGAAAAGCCAAGCGCCAATCACGTGAAGAACTAGAAGAATCTTATGCCGTGGCTGCACCAGCCGGGGTCCAACTCGCCCTGCTCCCACTGCCCTCCCGTGAGGCCGTCTGCTTCTGGGTCCCGTGGAACAAACCCAACCGCCAATCACGTAAAGAGTTGGAAGATTTTAATGTCATCGCTGCACCAGCGGGGGTCCAGATCGCTCTGCTCCACGGCCCTCCACGTGAGGCCCTGCGCTGCCATGGCTTGGAAACACTGGGGCGTGGACGGGCGCAGCTCCACTGCTATGAATATCTGACGGGGGGAGGGAGGGGGGTGGAGAGTTTGGGGGGGCGCAGGTCGGAGGGGGAAGGGGAAGGGAGAAGCGGGAGGAGCGGTTAAGGGGAGGGAGGAGCGGCTATGAGTTGAAGGTGGGGAGCCGGCAGGAAAAGAGAAGTTGAAAAGAAAATTTGACACGAGTGGAAAATATGGAGAGGGCTGAGAGGGCTTGAACTGGTTAGGGACGTCTCAAAATCTGGGGAGAGTTTCGAAACATCTGAAAGCACTAGCGGAAGATGGAAGGAGGGCTGAGAGGGCTCTTCCCGAGGTGCTTGAGACACCCCTTGCGAGGTGCTTGAGACACCCCTTGCGAGGTGCTTGAGACACCCCTTGCGAGGTGCTTGAGACACCCCTTGCGAGGTGCTTGAGACACCCCTTGCGAGGTGCTTGAGACACCCCTTGCGAGGTGCTTGAGACACCCCTTGCGAGGTGCTTGAGACACCCCTTGCGATACAAACTCTAAGCGCTCGACCCAAGGTGCCCTCCCTCTCATGTACCGCTCATATGACTCGTGCCTCTGATACACCGCTTGAGTGCTTACACTCCCATCCCATGGCCCGCCATGCGCCGCCTACACAGAAACATGTGCCCCTGTACTGATACTCACATACACTACAGAAAAACCGCCAGGGGGCTTACCCCGTCAGGGGGCTTACCCCGCCAGGGGGCTTACCCCGTCAGGGGGCTTACCCCGTCAGGGGGCTTACCCCGTCAGGGGGCTTACCCCGCCAGGGGGCTTACCCTAGTGCAACTTCTGAGGCGCCTCAAAAGTCAGAAACACCGCCAGGGGGCTTACCCTAGTGCGAGGTCCCGCCAGCTGCTTGATCGTGCGGCAGAGGGCGGGCATCTGATCTGCCTCGTACGTGATATCCGATCCAACGATCAGATCTAGATCCTTCACAAAATCCTCGACATCCAACGACTCAGATTCGGCGACTCCTCCTTCCCCTCCATTCACACTCAACGCTCCTAAAGTCTCCGCCAGCGGTGCTTCTGCTCCTGCTTGCTCTCCTGATGCTCTCACTGCTCCTGCTGTCGTGTCAACAGCAGGAGCAGCCGTAGCACCACCATCACCACCACAAGCAACCACACCATGAGCAGATAATGGTAGGATAGCAGCTGCTCCGGTATCCGTCTCTCTCTCCTCCCTCTCTCCTTCGCTCCCCCCATCCCCGCACGCTCCAGTGTTCCCTCCCCGCCGCCCGCCGACCTCCCCATCCGTCTCCGCCAATTCCGCACTGCCAGATGTCCGCCTATGCGCATCCTCCCCAGAATCCGCCCTCCTAGGTAACTCCTCCCCCAGATGCACCTGCCTCGGCAAGACCTCCCCCCATTCCAGCTGCGCCGCAAACGCCCTCCCCTCGAGCGCGTTTTCCGCAATGTTCCGCCTGATCCCGCGCATACACCTGATATCGCGGTCCGTCAGGAGCACGCGCGCTCCTAAAGCCGCCGCGGCGAGCCCGACGACTCCTAAACCCGCTCCCAGCTCCAGCACCCTTAGGTCTTTACATGACCCTTCCGGCCACGCCTTTCCGTGCGCGCCGAGCCACGCGGCGAAGACCAGAGACGCGTCCCACACCCACGCACCCGTCACGGATTTCCCCGTCTCCGAATCGCGCGCGTCCTCGAGCTCGAAGATCCGGATCGTACGGCTGCCTAAATCGACCTCTCGCACGTTCACCATCGTGACTGTTGGATTGCGGATAGTGAACTCTTTTTCTCTCTTCCCGCGCGTACTTTTCGGTCACGAACGAATCAACTGAACGAGTTCTACAATGCTCTGGACCACGGAATACATATGTGTCGCAGATGCGGCTCGGTCACTGACAAGGAAGACGAAGTTTCAGTGCAGAGCGAGTCGTTTCAAGCAACACAATGACGGATAAAATTGAGTAGCGTACCCAGCATGAAGCATAATGTTTAAGTACTTTCGATGTGAGAAAATTCTCCAGAACAAAATAAAAGGTCTGCCACTATGTACAGCGCTGCTGAGACAATTGATCGAAATTACACAGGACTAAACGGCCTGGTTGGCGCAATAATTTCCAAAGCTGTGAGTGGTACTCAAGGGTAACAGAGCGCATGGTACATCAAGAACGTTCTAGCAGTTAGTGACCTGACCTAAAATGAGTTTTATGACCTTGTGACAGACTTGAACCGCCGCCACTGCCCATCAGCCGCCCGGTAGTACGCGCCACTGGCCTTCCCTCCACTGCCGCCCACGCTGCCTGGACTGCTGGTAGCACTGTTGGGGAAGCTGGCAGCAGCAGGGGGAGGCACCGCTTTGCCTGTAGGAGTTGTTGGATGGGCAGGTGTGCCGTCGCTGGTACCATTGTTCCCTCTGGTGCTTGTATTGGTTGAATGGTCCACACCAAGCCCCTCTTGTTGCCTGCTTATCCGGTCTTGAAGGGTTCTGAGAGCTGATGATGCTGACCCTCCTCCTGCTCCTCCTCTTCTTGCTGACAACGCTGCCAGCACCGTTCTTGCTGCCTGCCCCATCCTGTCTCTGTCACCACCACCACCATCGGTATCGCCATCCCCATCAGCGCCGCTAGCAGTACCACCACTGCTGGAGCTACTCCTTCGCTTGGCAATGATAGCTGCGCCGTCCTGTGCCGCCCAACCACCTTGCTGTGCCGCCCCCTTTCCATGCACCGCCAAAACACCATGCCCAGGCCCAAGCGCCGCCTCCATTTCATGCCATCTATTCGCCATCGCCTCATTGTTCATCACACCATTGGCCACGAGGCCATTCGCCGCCCCGTCATTGGTTGCCATCTCACTCCCCATCACGCCTCCTCTCACCCGAGTAGTCCCCATCCCGCCATTTCTCGTCGAGCCTAAGCCTGCAAACCTGCTGGGTAATCCACCATGCGCCATGTCCCCATGCTCATGCCCCTCTCCACCACTCTGCCTCTCAGCCCCCCTCCTGCCAGATGCCAGCCATGCCAGCAACCTTGCCACTGCTCCTGCGGACTCACCACCAACTGTCGCTGCTGAATCTGCCTTGGCTGCAGCTGCCCCTGCTGCTGCATCAGCCCCACCTGCACGCCCCGTTGCCCCATTCCCATGCGACCGTGTCCCATGTCTCGCCTCCTCAGGTGCTCCATCATACGCCCCTTCACATGCCCCGTTCACATGTTTCCGCCCCCAGATTCCTCCCCCTCTCCCAGCCGTGCTGCTCCCCTCTCCGCTCCTCCCATCCCCCTCACTCCCCCCTCTCCCCCTCCACCTCATCCCCAACCCCCACACCCCACCACTCCCACTCCCACTCCCGCTCCCATCCCCCTCACTCTTCACCCTCCCAATCCCCCCTCCTCCCAGCCTCCCCCCTTTATCCCCACTCCCTCCCTCCCTCTTCTGTCCTCCACTCCTCCCCTTCCTCCCTAGCACCCGCTTCACTCGCAGCAGCAGGGAGCGCAGCAGCAGCAGGAGGGCAGCGAGCAAGGCGAGCAGCAGGCAGCAGTTGGTGAGAACGGTGTTGGCGTGGACGGCTAGGTCCCTCTGCAGCCACGCAGATATCACCCTGTGCTTCGTTGCCTCGCTCAGTTCCACCTCCACCAGTTCTACCTCCCCCTTCCCTTCCTCCAACTTCCCTACCTCCCCCTGGGAGGGGGAGTCTCTTGCAGTGTTACCCATAGCAGCAGCAGCAGAAGGAGGAGGGGTGGAAGTGGAGGGGGTGGTGGAGGCAGCTCCGGATTTGAACCGAAGCTGGGCCTTGGCTAGGTGCTTGAGTGCCACGGCAAAGGCGGAGGCTCGGAAGCCGAAGTAGAGGCTCGGGCCGGGCCTGAGGCACTTGAGGGACCACCAGGACTTGGAGATGAAGATGTTGTGATAGGTCTTGTCACACTCCTGGTGGGCAAGGGATGGAGTCAAGGCATAGGAAAGAGGAGATTTTCTAGTCGACTTCTTGGCCGATTTTCAAGTCGACTCCAAAAGAGGAGATTCTTTAGTCGACTGAGCTCTGAGGAAAAATGAGCGCCATCATCCGTAGACACCCCAGAAGCATTGCCTAAAACACCTCCCTGGTCTTTAAATACACCAAGAGGAGAACCAGAAAACCCCTGGCCTTAAAAAAAGCCAGAAGCAGCCCCCTGTAACCACCCTCTCAGCACCTACCTCCTCTCCCCCCTCTTCCTCACATAAACCCCACTTCTCTGCAATCCCTCCCTCATCCGAACCTGCATGTTCAGTTCGTCCCGGGCGTCCCTCAGAGGCTCGAAGCACAGCGCTGTCATGAGCTCCGTGTTCCGATCCACCAGCCGCTGCCGAGCCTCCTCCACTCGAGCCTGCATTTGCACCCGAACCTCCTCCACTGAAGCTGATGGCAGGTAAGGCTGCACTGCCGTGCTGTAATTGGCGAGAACCAGTGCGGCTAGATGGCGAGCCTGGAAGGGCAACAAGGGGTGAAAGCCAGGTGGGCAGGTAGACGACTTTTGAGACGTCTCAAAAGGGCAACAAGGGGTGAAAGCCAGGTGGGCAGGTAGAAGGGGTGGGTGGATGGAGTGGTAAGGATTTGGTGGAGAGGAGTGGCGAACGGGATCAGTAAAACAGGGTGGAAGACAGTCTGTACAACCATTTACACGCTCAAGACGTCCGTATTTTGTTCGAGGAGAACGTGAGGCTGCTTCCCGAGGCGTTGTTGCCTTATGTCCGAGGTTGGGTCGGAGGGGCTAATGCCATTAGCCCCTCCGACCCAACCTCGGATGTAAGGCAACAACGCCTTGGAAAACCGCCTCCCGTTCTCCTCGAACAAAACACGGACGTCTTGGGCGTACAAATGTTTCAAGAAAAGCGAGTCTTAACTCAGCCACCACCACATGGTCATTGCGGTTGAATCTCCCCCATGCGCCTCCTATACTCCCCCACCAGCCTCCCCTTCATCTCCCCACAGAACCCCCGCACTCCCCACACATTTCACCCTCACTTTACAAACACCTGTCCTTGGACAGGCATTGAAATAGTGAGTCTCACCTTGGCCACCACCACCTCCTCGTTATCTGGCAATGGGTGTATCTCACCCACGCTCCGCCGATACTCCCCCACCAGCCTCCCCTTCATCTCCCCACAGTACCCCCGCACTCTCCGCGCATTCTCCTCCCCCAACCCCCTCTCGCGCTGCTTGCCCCACTGCATTGCCTGGAACAGAAAGAAATCAAACTTCTCGTGCCCGGGCACCACCCACGCCAGCCCCCCCTGGGCGATGGCTGCAGAGAAGGCATCCTGAGCGAGGAGGGAGGCGTTGGCGTGGAGGGAGAGGAGCCATCGAGGGGGGGGAGGGGGCGTGGAGGAGGGGAGGAGGGCGAAGAGGGCGTGGGAGAAGAGGTGCGGGTCGTCGGTAGGGGAAGGGAACGTGCTTGGGTTGTTGTTGCTGGTGATGGCACCAGTGGCAGCTGCAGTGGCAGCGTCACCAGCACCAGCAGCAGAAAGGGAAGCATCAGCAGCGTTGGCATCAGGAGTTTTGGCGTGAGCATGAGCATGGGCGGCAGCATAGGACAAGAATGCCGCCCGGAACGTGTCATGGTACGTGCGGTGGTACGCCACCCTCCCCTTGCCCAGCAGGGCGGCGATCAGCCGGTCGTTTGCTGACGTGGCGGCGGAGCAGTGGCTGCTGACGTCAGCATCGAGGCGGGAGCGAACCACGGGGGCCAAGGGGCTGCTGCTGTGGTCGCCCAGAGTGCCCGTGAACCTGCGGACGTTCGGTGAAAGGGGTTGACGAAAGGGGAGGGGGCGGGAAGAGGGGTTGGGTGCGGGAAGGGAACCATGGAGAAAAGTGGGGCTGCTGCTGTGGTCGCCCAGAGTGCCCGTGAACCTGCGGAGGCACGTGGTGAAAGCGGGGGGGTAAGACGGGAGTGAGGGAATTAAGGGAAGAATGTGGAACCACGAGAGCCAGACGGAGACCTGCTGCTGTGATTGCCCAGAGTGCCTGTGAACCTGAGAACGTTCGGTGAAAGTTGGGTGAAGAATGGGGAGGGGCGGGAAGGGGGGAGGGGTTGGGTGCGGGAAGGGATCTCCATGGAGAAGAGTGGGGCTGCTGCTGTGGTCGCCCACGCTGCCCATGAAACAGTGTGGAGGAAAGGGGAAGGGGTTGGGTCTGGGAAAAGGGGGGTTGGGTATAGGGGAAAGGGTATTGTTCGATGGTCAAGGATGGGGAGAGTGTAGAAGTATGGGAGCCAGAGGGCTGCTGCTGTGGTCGCCCAGACTGCCGTGAGCCAGAGAGCACGTGGTGAAACGGGGGTGAAGTTGGGGGAAAGGGAAGAAAGGAAAGGAGGGGGGTGGGGGGGGTCAGGGAGGGGATTAGTTTTATGGTGAGGAGTGGTAAGATGGCAGCATGGAATGGAAATCAATGCACTGCAGATGTGGTCGCTCAAGTTCTGTGAGAAGCTGGAGAAATCACTTGCCTATAAAGCTTTCATGCAAACAGGCTGCTACTGCTGCTCAATTTGTGGAAAAGGGAGGGCCAGACGGAGGCGTGTGAACTGCTAGCTGTAACGCGACAGGTGGAGAGAGATGGAGGCAGGTGGAGACAGGTGGAGACAGGTGGAGGCAGGTCCTCTATTTACAGCGGAATCACCTGTCAACAGCTGCCATGTGAACGGCCTCGCACTGCTGCTCCAGCAGCTGCTCCCTCTGTGGGAGGGGTATGGCAGCGACAGCCGCGTGTGCTGCCTGCTGCAACTCGTCTGCCAGTGCTGCCAGCGCCACGTGCACGTTGTGCTCATTGCTAGACCTGCGATGATCGGATAACAGGAATAAGTCGGGTGGGGGATACAGGACAAAGATTCGTCTACCCGCTACCAGCACCATATGCGCATTGTGCTCGTTGCTGGACCTGAGACAAGAACGGAAGGGGGGGAGAGGGGGGATAAGCCGGGGGGGGGGGAGGGGGTACAAAGGCGGGAGGAAAGGTCAGAAAGAGGTCAGGAGTCTCATCTGCCAGCGCTGCCAGCCAGCGCCACGTTGGTGGACCTGAAAGGGACCAGACCAGAAGAGCAGGAGGGGGAGACGTAGGCTGGGCATGCATAAGGATACAGACAGAGAGAAAAGAAAAAGCCACATGATAAGAGTAAAGTTTTGAGACGTCTCAAACCTTCACTCTTATCAGGGGTATACGTGGGCCAGGCCGGGCATGCAGAAGGTACAGACAGAGAGAAAAGAAAGCGAGGGCTTGTCAGCCAACCAGCACAACGCTGCCAGTGCCACGTGCACATTGTGCTCGTTGCTAGACGTGCGTTGACATGAGAATGCCCATGGTATGGTGGAACAATGAACAGCCGATTCTAGAGCCACTTTTGAGAATTCTCAGAGGCAGTTTTTGAGCCGCCTCAAAAGAGGAGGCTATGGAAGACACCCACTGCCAGTGTGTGCGTGCGTGCGTGCGTGGCTTGCTGTGGCCCATCTTGGCAACGAGCCTGACTCCACATATCGCGGGGGACTACTCAGCAGGAAACTCTTGCGGCGCCTCACAAGAGGAGCCTTCGGAACACCTACAGGTGCGTGGGTCCAGCTGAACCTGTTTTTGAGTCGACCAAAAAAAATGTACGTGGGTCTTCTAGCCGTACCTAAGCTCCTAACCTGACCTGGCTTGATGTGGTCGAGCCGGGTAAAGGCTTACTTCACAGGCTACAAGCATGTAACACGACGAGCCTAAGCAGGACATGACCCACCTGTAGTGCGGCTTGATGTGGTCGAGCTTGGCAAAGAGCCTCACTCCACACGTCATGGTGGAGCGGTCTGCTGGCACGCCCACACTGCGCGCCATGCAGTAGTGCTGCGCATCTTGCTCTGAAGGGAAGGGAGGTGACGGGGTGTGCAGGAAAGGAAGCCGGGTGCCAAGGGAGAAACGCAGGAGACAATTCAGGGATGCAAGGCTACAGAGGAAGAGAAGAGAGCACAGGAGGATGAGAGGCAAGGCTACAGCAGCAGACGACAGAGCGAGGGAGTGTAAGGACGAGAGAAAGAGAGTGAGAGAGCGGACCTGCCTTGGAAAGGACTTGCTCCATGCGCTCCGCTGTGAATGTGGCTGACAGCAGCCGAGACGCTGGAGTGGGGGATGCCAGTGCTGCAGCAGCGGCGGGTGTGCGAGCTGCTTCCTCTGCCACAGCTGCAGCAGGCTCTGCAGCACTGCTCAGGTCCCATGCACGGTCGCTCGTGTCCCATTCAATGGCAGTGCTTGGAGCAGCAAAATTTTCTCTCTCTTCAACTGTCCCACCCATGTCTGCAGCAGAAGCAGCAGCAGCTGCAGGAAACCCACTCCTATCACTAGCACCGGCAGCAGCGCTGGCAGCAGCAGCGCGGGTGGCTTGAGTGAATCGGTCGAGGGCAGCATCGGCATGCAGACGAAAGAAGTGGACGGCGGAGGCGAACGCGCCGTCCAGCAGAAGGTCCAGCATGACTTGTTGTATGTGGCGCTCGGCGTTTAGTGGGAAGTCACTGTTCACAAAGTGAACGAGAAGAGGGAGCAGGCGCGCTGGAAAGGAAGGGAGTGGGCGGGTGAAGCGTTGAAGGGAAGATGGGCAGGAGAGGTGAAAAGGAAGGAGTTTAGTGGAAAGTCACTGTTCACTATGTGGAGGAGCAGGGGGAGCAGGCATGCTGGTGGGAAGATGAGTGGGAGAGTGAAGCGAGGAAGGGGGGACATGCAGGGAAGAAGAGAAGTAAGGAAGGCGGTTAGTGGGAAATCCCTTTTAAAAAGCGAACAAGCAGTGGGAGCAGGCGCGCTGGTGAGGAGGGAAGTTGGGTGGGTGGAGGATGTAAGAGGAAAAGGAAAGTAGGGGTTTCATGGAAAGGCACGCAATGCAAGAGGCAGTAAGCACACTGTGAGGGAAATGGAAAGCGGAACGGAAAGGGGACGGGGAAAACGATGCGAAATGGTTGAAATGATCCCCCTAAAAACTCACTCACCCACAGTCTCCCCTGTGAACTTCTGCCCAGCACCCCCCTTCGCCTCCAGCGACCCAATTACGCGCTCTCGCACGGCTGCCACGTCAGCAAGGTACCCTGGATGCAGCGCTGACATCAGCTCCACATCAGCAGCGCCCAGCCCCGCCCCGCCCACCTCCTCCCGGAGCCTGTTGATATCCGTGGGCGTGCGCACAGCGAGGCACGCTATACCCTGTGTGAAGAGGGTTTCTAGAGATTGGTCTCCTGTGCGCGCGTGCGCTGCTAGGTAGCGCTGCAGGTACACCATGGGGGAGACGGAGGAGGAGGCGTGGGAGGAGGTGGAGTGGGAGGAGGCGGAGTGGGGTGTGGTGGAGTGGGGTGAAGGGGAGTCTTCCTGCTGCTGCAGGTCGAGGTCGAAGCCTTGCACCACCCAGGTGAGGGGAGGGAAGGTGAGAGTCTGCAGCAGAAGCCGTGGGTCAGGCAGATGGGATGCTGCTGCTGCAGGAGAAACAGCAGCAGGAGAAGCAGGATCAGCACCAGCAGCAGCCGCAGCAGTAGCAGAAGCAGCGGCAGCTCCATGAGCAGCAACAGCAGCAGCAGAATTGGCGTGAGCGGGACCCCACCCTCCTGAGTGCAGCCAGTTCTGCAGGTTGAACACATGTGCCTGCTTCGCTAGGTCCGCCAATGCTGCAACTGACTGCGCGTCACCTGGAGAGAGGCACAGAGAGGTACAGAAAGGTGGAGAGAGGTACAGGGAGGTACAGAGGTGCAGAGAGGTGAACAGAGGTGTACTACCATCAGACTGTCGCATGCTTGCAGCCAGAGCCGCGCCACCATGGTCAACGTGGACCCTCCATACCATCCAGCTCCTCCCCCTCAGGTGCTGGTTGGTTTGCCCTATCCCCCCTCCCACCTCAGCAAGTGTACGCAGGGTGTTGTAGATAAAGAGGGAGAACAGCAGCGTGTCAGCAGCGTACATATGACAACATCGAACGGCTTTGTGTCATATGCCCTCAGAGTGCCATCCACGTACAGCCCCTCCGAGTCCATCAGTCATATTCCCATTCCCCACGCACCGAGTGTGCGCAGGGTGTTGTAGATGAGATGGGACGACAGCAGCGTGGCAACAGCAAACAGCTTGGCGTCATACGCCCGTGAAGCGCCGTCCCCATACAGCCCCTCCGAGTCCACCAGCACCACCACCGCTCCGTCCCGCGCCTGCAGGCGGTGAGGGGGTACTATGCGCACCCACAGCCCCAGGGTCTCGGGGTCTGGACGCGTGCCAACTGGGAAGCCGCGCGTGGAGTTGAGCAGCACGTTCAGCAGGAAGGACTTGCCCCTGCCGTGGGGAGGGGAAGGGTAGGAGGGAGGGGAAACGGTCAGACGGGAAGTTAATCAGTCATGGAGTCAGCAAGAAGGTGGGGAAGAATGCAGCTAGGCGCGTGCCCATTGGGAATCCGCGTGTGGAGTTGAGCAGCACGTTGAGCAGAAGGACTTGCCCCTCCCGTGGTGGGGGAGGATGTGAACCGACGGGCCGGGAGAATGTAGGGTGAGAAGGGGGGGGTGGGGAGACATGGGGAGAGGAGGTGGGCATGTACGTTGAAGTTGAGGATGACAGACCTGCATCTGCGACAAAGAGAGGTAAGGGAAAGGGGAAAAACGGGGGAGGAGGGCGGAGAGGAAGGGGGAGTGATTGGGCGGAGGCGTTCAAGCAATCAAAAGATGGTGTGGACTGGCTTGGACGTCGTGTGTGGAGTTAAGCAGATCGATGAAGGGAAAGGATTTGCCACTGGCGGGAGAAGATTGATGAAGAGAGACAAGGGGAGTTGCTCTAGGAAAGAAACTGCCCGTGCTGGTGTATGCTTATCCAAATGGAGGAAAAAAAACGTTTTCGGAAGTCTCAGAAATAGAGCCTGGAAGTCCTCGAAACCCGGGGAGAGGGGTGAAGAGAGAGGAATGTAGAGCAACGTTCTTGCTGAGGGACACGTCAACCAGGGGCGAGGGAAAACATGGTGGACCACGCACTGATGATTTCTTACCCGTGGTAAGGACCGACTACAGCCACGAAAGCCACGGGCTGCTGTATTCTCTCCAACACATCCAAAGTGGACTGAACCACTTCCAACCGATCATGATTCGGCGACGGTCGTAGCAGCTGCATCGGCTTCGCCTCGTCGTCCCATTCTTTCGTCAACCACCCGTTCGCTTGCTCCGTGCTGCCTGATTGATCCCTTCCATGATCGCTACTTCCATGTGGCTCCGTGCGTGATCCGTAGCCAGGTGAAAGTACACGTTCGCGGAATTCCGAATACGGAAGGTCTCCTGCTGGGCTGCTAGCGTGGAAGTGAGGAAAGATCGCGAAGCAGCAGAAAGCAAGAAGGTAGGTACGTAGACACGAGCGAGTCGCCATGACCACCGGCATTGCGATATGTTCCAGCGAGAACTAAAGGGCCTACGGGCCGTCCATTGGTATTCAAAACGGATGCGACTCTGATGAACGGACCTACGACAAGGATGCGACTCCGATGAACGGACCTACGACAAGGATGCGACTCTGATGAACGGACCTACGACAAGGATGCGACTCTGAACGGACCTACGACAAGGATGCGACTCTGATGAACGGACCCTACGGAAACACTTCTCCGAGACTCGGCGAAAACTTGCGCTGGAAACCATAAAATTTCAGGCGCGAATCTCGAGGCTCTGGCGGTGATTGTCAGGAACAAAAGTTGACATCATGGGCTATCTGTTCAGTTAACTTGACTTCACATACAGAGAGTCTCATCAAAGTTATTACTAAATGTCCAAATCATGTTAGATTTCACTCATCAGCTAATTAGTACGGAGAATACATACCTCGTTTTAACATGTCGTCCTCTTGTATTGTCACGTAATTTATCGTCTCAGGTTCTATGTATTGTTAAAATATCTATAGAGATCATTTTTTATCATTATAAACTAATTGCTAGAAAGGCATAGTGCCGGCGTTGCGGAAGCTTGATTGTAGAATAAGTAGCAAGAGAAACTTGCAACTGAAATGATTCAGAACAATAGGATGATTATGAAATGACAGAGCAGGGTATTTATCTTGAGCAGCTAACCCCTTCAGGATGGTTCTATCCACACCAACAACGCCACACCAATAATTCTACCCGCCAATAATTCTTACCCTCCAATAATTCTAGACTCCAATAATTCTGACCCTCCAATAATTGTACAATTATTGGAGGGCTGAGAGTCTTATAAAGGAACACTACAGTAAAACCTAACAGCATTAGTATCATCTTATGTTTGTATATTTAACACTCCCCCTTGCTGTAGGTTTTACTGAGGCGTGACTGAATGGAGGATACGTTGGAATTGACGATTGAATTTGTGGTAACGGCGTTGATTGCGGCGGTGATTTCGGTGGTGGCGGTGATCACGGCAGTGACTGTTGATTGATCCACCCTGCTGGGGTTTCGAACGTTCCGTCGAGAAAGTGTCGGCGGGAACCATACTTGCGACGGCTGCACGATCCAGGCTGAGTAGGCGCACGTCTCGCTTCTCAGGTGATTCCAGCAGTGCTACGCCCTGGGTCGCAATTCTCCCCGCAATCTCTCGGTTCTCGCTCAGCAGGGGTCTTCCAGACTCGTCATTCAGGCTCATTCTCGACAGATTGTCTCAGGGTTTCTCAGCACTTCCTCCCGTTCGGTTTCTTGTTCATCGTTTCCTGCTGCTGCTGCTGATGAGACTATGGCCGATTTCCTTTGCTATCGCGCGACTGCTGCTTTAGTCGCCACGGATTTGCTGCGCCATGGCGCGATGTCCTTCAGCTGCGCGTCTCACTAGCGCTCGCCATGTCATGCCTGGTGCTTGGTGACAGCAGCGCACGTGACGACCTGCAGCGCCGGATGCGCGTTTTCTGAGGCTGCGGCCAGATCCGCGACTGCTGCTTCGGTCGCGCGGCTGCCGTGACCTTCTCGCTTGACAATCTGCGCGCTGCAGCTCCTTGCGCGCAACTGCTGTTCATGGCGCCCGTGGCGATCGGCAGCAGCGACTGACTGCAGCAGCATGCGCGCCGCTGCATTACCTCACATGTGGCGGCTTCTGCTGGTGCGCGCCCTCCCCTTGCCATTTCGGGCGACCTTGTGCTCGTGTGGCAGCATCTGCACTGCGACACTTGGCTCTTGGCAGGTGCGGGGCCTTCTCACACCAGCAGCTTCCGACGCCGCACCGCTGCAGCTGCGCGCCTACTCTGTCGTGACGAGGTGAGTTGCTCTTCTCCGTGTAACTACCACTGCTTGCACCTTGACCTCACTCATGTGTGTTTCTTGCTATTGATGTACTGCAGCACTGGCCGTGCTAAGTCGCTTGTTACTGCTCCCACGTTCTCTTGTGATTTTCCTTACCCCCGCCCATACCAGCTAGCGAGCGTGAGCGGCTGCAGCCGGCATCGGCACCTTGCACTCTGGCCCACACGTCTGCAGCTCCTGGTAGCGCATGGCTGCTGCTCCTGGCGGCTGCACGGCTGCTACTTCTGGCGGCCCACTACTGCTACTCCTGGCTGCGCACGACTTTCTCCTTTCGACCGAGGTGAGAATGCTTAGTTGACTCTTGTCAGTTTCACCCATGTTACTCTGTTACTCTGTGCTACTTCCCATGACCCTGTGCTGCTCCTCATGACCCTGTGCTGCTCCCCCTATACTAGGTGAACCCCGGAGGCAGCTGCAACTGGTACGCAAGCACCTGGCGGCTGCATCTGCTCCTGGCAGCTGCTTCTGCTCCTGGCGGCTGCTTCTGCACCTGGCGCCTGCGTCTGCAAATGTCTGCCAGCGGCACCCCGTGACTGGTGGCAGCAGCATCACCTGGTCGCTTGCAGCAGCTCCCCCTGACGCCCTGCAGCACCTGGAGCCCTGCAGCACCGGGCTGCAGCAGCTTTCCCTGATGCGCTGGCCGCTTGCACTGGTGCAGCTCCAGCACTGGGTGGCATCAGTATCAGCAGCACCTGCGTCACTTTGGTGAGCAGCACCAGCAGTGCCTGTCTCCAGTTGTCTCCCCCTTCTCCTCTCATTGGAGTCATACTTTTGTATTTAGTAGACGTCAGCTACCTCTTGTGATTCCCTCTGTCTACTTGCCTCATGTTGACTCATGCTGATGTTTCGTCTCCCCCTGAAACCTGCAGGCATATAAAGTCTTCAGGAACGGCCGCTGTAGATGGCGAGTGGTTGTGACCAACCAGCAGCAGCGACTGTCCAGCAGAATATCTGATGGCTGCTGTTGTTACTGATTGCAGTAGGTCTTCTCATGATGATATGCTGACTCTTGTGATGACGAAAATGAAAAGATGGTTGTGAGATGAAATCCTGATTTGTTGCACCCCAAGATACTCCACACCCCACTCCCCCTCTCACTCGTGTGTTTGGAGGCACGCACATGCGTGAGCACGCACATATCACCAAACACATGAGTGAGATGTGTGGAGTTACGTGATGCCGTGTTGTTCAGCTCCCCTTGAGAAGCCCGGACTTGAGAGTGCAGCTCCAGCAGCTTCAATGTGAGTACTGGGTGCAGATGGTGTTACATGTGAAATAGGTTGGAGACCGCACAAGTGGCTGCAGGTGAGATGTTGTTTCGCTGTGAGGGGCTTGGTAAGATAATCCGCAGCTTGCTGAGTTGTTGGGCAGTACTCCGGCCGCACAACGCCATCGCGAACGGCCTTCCTCGTCCAATGGTAACGTACGTCCATGTGCTTGATACGTTGACTCATCTGCTCCCCGGTTGCAAGCGCAATGGCGCTTTGGTTATCCACAAAGATGACGGTAGGTTCTTGCTGTTGAAAACCGAGGTCTTCACACAAGCGGCGAAGGTATGTGGCTTCCCTTGCTCCTTCAAACAGTGCAATGTATTCTGCTTCAGCTGTTGATGTCGCAATGACCGTTTGTCGTTTGGTCCTCCAACTGACAGCAGCTCCTCCCAAGGTAAACACGTAGCCTCCAACTGAGTGACGCCCCTCTTCGTTCGCATAATCCGAGTCCGTATATCCACGGAGCACCAAGTCTCCTCCTCCATACACCAGCCCCATGTTTGCAGTGTTCTGTAAGTAGTTGAACACCCGGTGGATTCCAAGCACTGACGCTGCTGTTGGTTTGCTTGCTTGCCTGGCCAGCACATGCGCCGCATATGTTATGTCCGGCCGCCCTGCTGTTGAGATGTACAGCAATGTCCCAACTTGTTTCAGCACCAATTGACCATCAATCTCGTCCGGTGGTTCTCCTTGTGGTCCAGGTTCCTTGGCGATCGGTGTCCGAACTCCGGAACGGCTGCCCTCCATCCCGAATGTCGCCAAAGCCTGTGAGATGTACTTTGTGAGTCCGAGTGCGATCGAGTCATTGTCCGCGGCGACGTTGAGCCCCAAAAACTGTGTCATGGTCTTGCTGACCGTTAAGGTAAAGTGCTGCTTCAAGTGTTGAATCACAGCGTCAATGCCTTCTGCGTCATGAGACTGGATGAGGATGTCGTCAACGTAAGTGAGTAGCCACACTGGGTCCTGTCCGTCTCTTTTCCAGATAAACAGAGAGGGGTCTGATTCGGATTGCACCATGTCCAGCGCCAACAAGACACCCCGTAAGTGCTGATGCCACAAGCGTGGTGCTTGTTTCAGCCCATATACACTTCTTTTGAGTTTCCAGACTTTGTCTCCGTCCCGCCTTGGTTCTGGTGGTCTCACGTATATGTCCCGGTCAATCGGAGCGTATAGGAATGCATTGGAGATGTCCAATCGCACCACTTTCCGCTTTGTAGCAGATGCACCAGCAACGAACACGTGAGAGGTAGGTCCTTGGCTGACCGGTGCATACGTCCCATCATATGTCCCCCAAGTTTGGCCGCATCCCTTGACCACCCAGCGCGCTTTGAACCGGTTTGGCTGCCCATGCTCATCTCGTTTCACCCGTAGAACGACTCCTTCCGACAGCACTGGTGTTCCTTTTGGTACGTCCGCTCTGTCCACCACTTCGTATGCATCCAGGTCATCGAACTTGGCCAATTCTGCATCCACAGCGGCTTGCCAAAGAGGTGCGTACGGGTCCTTGGTTATTTCGTGAAGTGTTTTTGGTTCTTTGTATGTCAGCTCCACTATGGGGACGTCGGTTGCTGCACATCCCAGTACGTTCTGCTGCTGCACGTTGGGAAATCGTGTGAATGTTTGTCCTGCCTGCCGCCTCCCAAACAGTACGTCCAGTCCTGTCATTTTGTCCATCCCTTGTCCTTCTCCTCCAAGTACTGTCACTGTTGGGTTGAAGTGAACCCGCCTTGGTGGCACGTCAGGAGCAGCCAGCGGGATCCCATCGGGTGGGTAGGCATAGTTGTATAGATGACCTGCGTCATTTTCTGGTTCGTTGTTGTCTGCACCTTCACAAACAGAGATGCCTGCCGCTGGTAAGTCACTTTCCCCTGTCTCTTCTCCTATATCAGCTTCAGTAGCTGCTGGTGGGTCTTCTTGAGCTGCGTCATTGGTCGTAGGTCCATGTTGTTCTGCTGTAGAGACGTCAGAAGATGACGTGGAGGAAGTGAGAGATGCGGGAAAAGAGTCGAATGCTGATCCAACGTCCTCTCCCCCGGAGGTCCATTCCGAGATATGAGGTGAGACTTCATCGATGTACCGTTGGCGTTCGAGCAGAGACTCGGCGTCCGGGAGCATGAGGTCGTCAAAGAAGCGAGCTGAGCGTGTGTCCGTGTCAACGTCGCTTGCCAAGTCCCGTACGATCCATGCTTTTCGTGAGTTAGAGAGGCCGAGAAACATGCCTGCCCGTCCTCGTTGTTCAAATTTCCCAAAGCTGCCTTGGGGAGGGAGAAAGTAGCAGAGGCATCCGAAGGTTCTGGCCATGGAGACATCTGCTGCCTTTCCCATCATCATGAAGTATGGTGAGTGTGCGGATGGGTTGCTGCTGCAGCTGATGCGGTTGTGTAACCATGCCGCATATCCCAGTGCATAAGGCCAGAACTTGGAGGAAAGGCTGGCCCCGGTAGTCATTGCTCGCACTCGGTCCATGAGTGTGCGGTTAACCCGTTCGGCGACTCCATTCTGCTGTGGCGTATGTGGTAAAGACGTTTGGTGATTGATACCGTGAGAACTCAGGTAATCCGTGAATGCGTTTGATGTATACTCCCCCCCGTTGTCCGTGCGCAAGGCAGCCAGCGGCATCTTGGGCAGCTTGGTCTTCATCTCACGGTGCCAAGCCGAGAAAACTGCAGCCATGTCGGACCGGCGAGCCAACGGCGCCACCCACACGTAGTTGGTGTAGTCGTCCTTGAGCGTCAGCACATAGCGAAGGGAAGGGTGAGCATCACCCAGGTCCATGATGTCGCTGTGCACGAGCTCCAAAGGTCGAGTTGTGGCATTGGTGCTTCCTGTGGGAAAGGGGTTCTTGCTCATCTTCCCTCGAAGACATGAATCACATGGGGGTTTGAGAGGGTTAGTCTTGTCGGATATGGTGAGTCCTTCAACATCACCATTTCGAAATGTTGCATCCATGGATGTGTATGATGGGTGACCCAAGCGCTTGTGGGCCATGCGATATGTGATGGATGCATGAGCAGATTGCACATTCGGCCCTCCAAGGTCAGTCTCATTCAATGCTTCATTCGGATGATCATGACCAGATGCATGGGCGGATGCAAGTGCAGGCTCATATTGCACCATTAGCACCCCATGCATGACCATTCCAACTCCAATGAGTACATGCTCATCCCCATCCGCCATTGTGATATCCGTGCGCCCATCCTCACGTGTGTGAATGCGAGCTCCCTTCTTGTACAGCTGGCAATAGGAGAGCAGGTTGGACTTCAAGCCGGGTACGTAGAGTACGTCCGTGTAGCGCACCGTTGCTCCATTGGGTGCCGTTGCTCGGATTGTTCCCGCCATCGAGCTCAACAGGTGGCTTCCGTCAGCAAGCTCCACATAAACGGGTTCGTTCAGCTCCTCTAGACCCTCAAACCACTCCTTTTCCGAAGTCATGTGTTGGCTGCATCCGCTGTCCAGCAGCCACATCGACCCTCCGGTTGACGGTGATGTTGCTTGCGACGATCGAACTGTTGCAATGCATGTCATGGTTCGTTTGTTGTCTCCCCCGCCTGCCCCTTGCTGTTTTGTCGCTTGGTTGTCACGTTTCGGACTTTCACTCCTTCGCGGCGAGGACGAGCGGCTACTCCAGGTGCGCTGGTTGGTTCTCCCTCTGTTTTGTGGTTCCCAACCTGGTGGTGACCAACCCGGAGGCGCCTTCGGACACTTGTAGAACGGGTGGCCAGATTCCTTGCAGTACCAACACACAAGGTTAGACCGTCCTCCCGCTGACCTTGCCGCATTCCGGTTGTCCTTTGTCTCGGTTCTCTCTTTCGCTGGTGAATTATCTCCACGTGCTTGGCCAGCCATGCGGGGAGGACGCTTGTCACGGTTGGTCTTGCTAATGAGGTCTTGGTAGCGTTGTTCCTGAATCATCATTCGTTGCAGTGCGTAGCTGTCCGAGATGTCGTGTAGCATTGCCGAATGCCTCAACTCCTCCCAATGCGGTGGCAGCCCGGTGATCAAATTTAAGGTGAATGAATCTTCATCCACCATTTTTCCCCCCATTGCCAGCTTATCCCGAATTGCAGTTGCTCGGTTGATGTAGTCCTCCACTCTTTCTTGGCTCCCCATCTTCAGGTTGTCCAATTGCCTCTGGAGAGACGCCTTTGCCACCGAATCCTTCGCCTGGTAAGTCTCCATCAGGTACTCCCATGCTTCGAATGCCAGACTGTATGACTCTTGGAACACGTCAAGTTGCAGCTGAATCGTTGCGCTTACGCTATGCAGAAGCACCCAAAAAGCCAGCGTAGCACGTTGTGAGTAATCTGCTTGTAGAACTTCCAGCCGTTCCATTGCATCTCGCATTTCTCCTTGCACCATTGTAACCGGGTATTGTAGCGTCACGAAGAACTCCCACAGGTTTGTCACGCGCGCGTTCATGCGAAACCGAAGAGCCCACTCTCGAAAGTTAGTGCCGTCGAATGGAGTTGTTGTGAACGCTTTGTCCACTGCTGCTCCCACCATTTTGCGTGACAACCTGTCCTTGTCTTCTTCCGTGTACTCGCGTGGAGACGGGTCGAAGAGCGTAGGCACGTTAGATGGTCGAGGTAGTTGTACCGTGCGTTGTGTGCCTTCACGTTCCACCACTTCCACTTGATCACGTCGCATAACACCACTTGACTGCATCCCGTGCCCCATGCGCCCCATGCTTCCTGCAGGTGCAGCTTCCATTTGAAACTGTGGCGCACGAGGAGGTACGACGTTGTTGCCAAAGAGGTGAGATCTGCCCATCACGGGAACTCCAATGGGATGGGAGTTAGTAGTGAGACGTCGCAGTGGGGGAGCACCAATAGTGTAGGATTCGAATCCCACACCTTCCATGCCCATATGACTGCTTCGACCACTCCCTTCCCCAATCTGCCCTCTCATGTTTCTTCCCACGCCGATCCCATCACCATGCTCCATCACATTTGTTCCACTTCCGTACGCATCGTCCCTCCCCGTTGCTGCCCTTTGCATGGTTGATTGAGGTTCGGGGTGGGAGCTCCCCTCTCCTTGGAAGGATGCATCCCTCCCTTGGGATGACTCTCCTCCTTGGGGTAAGCTTCCCTCTCCTTCACCTTCAATCCCTGCATCCATATTTGAAGTACGGGTTTGGTTAGTACGCGGAGTGCTTGCATGTGACTGTTCACGGATGGATGGGTTGCTGAAATCTCGAACTTGGGCTGGCATGTTGAACTTTGCTCTTAATGACGCTTGGAGTGTTGGTGGTGCCCTTGCAATCATGTTCTCCAGGTGCTCATGTTGAGCCATGATGGCTTCTTCAAACGCCTCGTATCCAGCATCGACTTCATCGTCGAATCGCGCCATGCCTCCAATCCAAATGTTGTCACTTGCTGTGCGAGTTTGCTAATGTCCCTGTCCAATGTGAATGCTGACAAGGTTCTAACCAAATTTCGGCAGCATGCCCCCTAGAGTAGCTCTGATACCATGCTAGAAAGGCATAGTGCCGGCGTTGCGGAAGCTTGATTGTAGAATAAGTAGCAAGAGAAACTTGCAACTGAAATGATTCAGAACAATAGGATGATTATGAAATGACAGAGCAGGGTATTTATCTTGAGCAGCTAACCCCTTCAGGATGGTTCTATCCACACCAACAACGCCACACCAATAATTCTACCCGCCAATAATTCTTACCCTCCAATAATTCTAGACTCCAATAATTCTGACCCTCCAATAATTGTACAATTATTGGAGGGCTGAGAGTCTTATAAAGGAACACTACAGTAAAACCTAACAGCATTAGTATCATCTTATGTTTGTATATTTAACACTAATGTAGTCATTTTTTGTATGCAATGATACACTATCAAAATGTACAGAGCATTGGCAGTCGTAACTGTATTCAGAGGGAGGCGCTACGATATCGAGTACCGCAGGTTCCCTCCAAATGAGCCTACGGTGGTTAATGTGTCAGCTTCGGGTTATCCAAGATAGAGATGAAACTACTCTTCCACGTCAGCGGCGCCGCTTTGCTGCAGATTCGCCTCATCACCACCCCCTCGTCTGTCAGAATGTTATGTTTGTCTAGCCTGCGGTGGGGTACTCAATAGTGAGTACAGCCCAATTTAGGGTTTGCTATATGTACTCAACTGCTTGCTAGTGAAACCCCTCACTTCCTTCCATTCCTCATTTCTTCACATCGTCAGTTTCCAGAAATGACCACTCGTTTCTGCCATCCGCTGTACCGCGTTTCCTCGCAGCCACTTGTCGAGAATAGAACTATGAATGAATGATTGAACTAGGCAAGAGGTGAGTACAAGTAGGGGAAACCTAACCCTAAAGTGTTGTACTCACTAAGGATTGACCCTACTATAACCTAGAGATACAATTGTAATGTGACGCACCCCCATAGGCAAAGTAGGGGACAGCAGAAGAGAACACAGCTCAGGGCGGATCACAAAATCACCACGCATTCTAAGCACAAGCAACTGGCCACAAGGCCAGTTCACATGCAGAGGTATGTAATAGCAAGGCAGTACACTGATCACAACCTAGCAAGAGAAAACACGCAGGTATAAAGATGTATAGCAGTGTACAACGAGCAATTCAAGCACCTAACAGATGAGGCAGAGTGGGCACAAGCCCAAGAGCAGTGCAGAAACGGTGATGATCACCAGACCCTGTCAAATGTTATATCTGCTACAGTTTGTTTAGGCTGTAGTGGGGTAGTTACTATGGGGTACACTAAGTCTAGGATTTCCTACTTTTACCCAACTTTTTCCTGGTTCAAACTTTCTTGTTCATTCTGACATGGTATCACGAGCCTAGGTTAGCCACCTAGGACCGCTTACTACTACGGGCCCACCATTCCGCTAGAAGCGCCCTCGTGCGCCCTACCTTACGTGCACCCTCGTGCGCCCTACTCTGCTCGTGCGCCCTCGTGCGCCTTCTTTCTGCTAGTGCGCCCTCGCGCGCCCCTCTCTTCGTTCTGCCCGCGCGCCGTCCTCTGCCCGTGCGCGCGTGGCCCGCTAGCCACCAGCGCGCCGCCTGATCGACGCCCGCGCGCAGTTTGCTAGCCGCCCACGCAGTTCGTACCAGCCTCTCGCGGCCCCTTGAGCCGCCCGCGACCTGCCTGCCCGTAGGCCGCCACCCGTAGGCTGCTTGCCGCCCATACGCTGCCCGTAGGCTGCCCTTACACAGCTCGTAGGGCGCCCGTACGTCGCCCGTAGGCCGCCGCCGCCCGTAGGCCGACGCTCGCGCGCAGGCTGTACCCCGCGCGCCACGGCTGCTGCACTCCGGCGGCTGCAGCTCGCTGGGACCCGCGCGTCGCCCCTACCTCTTCGCGACGCCCTTGCGGGCCCCGCGCGTCGCCCCCTGCCTCTTCGCGACGCCCTTGCGGGCCCCGCGCGTCGCCCCTTGCCTCTTCGCAACGCCCTTGCGGGACCCGCACGTCCCTCCCCGCCTCGTCGCGATGCCTCTGCGGGACCCGCGCGTCGCCCCTGCCTCTTCGCGACGCCCTCCGGGACCCGCGAGGCGCGGCTCCTGCGCGTCGCGCCGCCCCAGCGGGACCTGGGCGTCGCCCCCGCTCGTCGCGACGCCCCTGCGGGGCCCGCGCTACGTCGCCCCTGCCCGCCGCGTCGCCCTGCAGTACCCCGCGCCCGCCTTGCCCGCCGTGTCGCCCCTACCCCGCGCCTGGTCCCTGGAGCAGCCGTCCCTGCAGCGGCCGCCCCTGGCCCCTGGAGCAACCGCCACTGCAGCAGCCGCCCCTGGCCCCTGGAGCAACTGCCACTGCAGCAGCCGCCCGTGGCCCCTGGAGCAGCCGCCACTGCAGCAGCCGCCTCTGGCCCCTGGAGCAACTGCCACTGCAG